AAAAATCGCGCTAAAAATGCCTAAAATCTGCGAAATCGGCGAAAAATCGGAAAACATTTTTGAACTAAATCGATCTGGGAATGACTGTAAACCTATGTAAAACGGGTAAAGAAGACGAAAATGTTACCCGTTGCACTGCAACGGGTAACATTTTCGTCTTCTTTTTCCATAAATCTGGAGATACATTGCCACATCGAGAGATCACAACCTAACGCCAACTCGCAGGTTGGGTTGGTTCGCCCAGGTTCCTTTTAGATCAAAATGCTAATATGTTCAGATTTGAAATGCCTAGCTCCTTATCGAACCCAGTGGAAGTCTAGTAGCTTCTTCAAACTATCGCCAGTCATGAAAAGATCCGGTCAAATGACACGAGTTTTAGATCTATGAACAAGGCACGAAATGGAAAAGAATCGGCGACAGGCCACATCAGGCCTACACTTCAGAGCCGACATCACTATGTTATGTTATGTTAAAGGTGAGTGGGTAACGTAAGTTACGTAACCCCCATGTTAGTAAGTCGCGAAAAAAATCGGTTTTCCGATGCCGACCGCCAAAAATGGATTTCAGATTCGTAATCTACACCCCAAAAAACATATAATTCAAAAAAAAACACCCTTTTTTTTGGATGTAGTTAATCTGCAATAATACCGAGCCAAGTCCAGACTGTAGGGTGGATGGTCAAAAATTTCCCACTTGATTTTTTGAAGAAGTTGTGTTATCCGAGCCGTATGCGGCCTGGCATCATCGTGCAGGAAAATGGCGCCAGTAGACAACAGACCTCGCCGTCGATTTTGAATTGCCCGCCGTAATTTTTTTAATGTTGCACAATATGCATTGGCATTGATTGTGTCTCAACGGGTCATGAAATCGATGAGCAGTACACCTTGCCGATCCCAGACACACTAGCGGCGGAGTAATATGACACTGGTATACAAAAACTCGTGACACGATACGACAAATGCTTAAATTTGTCCGGAGATTATGTAGAGAAGTAGTGTAATACATGTTCTTTTCAATAAACATGTTTACATTTGTTAATATTTACTTCCTTTGGTTCAATTCCCAAACGGGTACTACTTTCCGGATGACCCTGGTAATAATAGCAATAAAGCCATGTTGAAAGCAATAAAGCCATGTTGACAGTCTGATAAGAGACCTTGCAAACGACACTGGTCAAACTGACAGGGAGATAGTTGCCCGGGCAGCTTTTGTCACCTATTTTGAATAATGGTGTCACTTGAGCTTCTTTTCAATCAGCCATCAAGATCCCTTCGTTCAAAGTTTTTCGAAAAAATTACGTCAAAGGGATAGTTGCTAACTCTTCGGGTAATCTGGAGTGGAAGCCGTCCGGTCCACATGATTTGTTGGGATTTAGAGCGATCAGACGCCTGAGAACCTCTTCTTGTATTTCAAAATTGTTAATTTAGAGCCGACTGAGCGTTCCTCAAAGGCTGGAATACTATTCAAGTCCTCTTCAGTGAATACGCTACTACTATTATGATTCGGAAATTTCTAACAAAAAATTTGAATTAATAGCATCAAAAACACATGTATTATTATCTTTGAAGCTTTCGTGTATTGTAAGTAGATAAGTAAAACTTCATTCGTGTATGGACATGCTATGTTGACAGCTACCAATGCTAGCCCTAACTTCAGAATGTGACTGGCGACTGAGCGCCAGTGACTGGCGACTGAGCGGCGGTAACTGGCGACTGAGCGCCGGTAACTGGCGACTGAGCGCCGGTGACTGGCGACTGAGCGCCGGTGACTGGCGACTGAGCGCCGGTGACTGGCGACTGAGCGGCGGCCATCAAACTGCGTCAGGCACACGTCTGGAGTGTCATCTTAAAAATATCAGTGAAAACCAAATTTGCTTCGACGTTCGTTAGGCTTAACTAAAACGCCTTTTAAAGGTTTATAGAAGCAATCCAACATTACACGAAAAACCGTAAAAATATTTGAAAATTTATGATAGATCCAGCAAAGCAAAAAAGTAAAGAGGAGGTAAAGAAAAAATTATTAAATGATTGGGTAACGATGAGTATATAACGTATTATCGTAATGACATGGCTGTGCTCCGATATTCAGATATCTCGCTGAGAACCCTTACCTGTTGAACACGTAAGACCTAACTTCTCACGCGAAATTTCAGTATATCAACTCGACGTGTTGGGCGCACATTTAAATGTATGACCAGCGCTCTTTAGGTTCGGCCTTTACACTTAGAGCCGTCGTTGAATATATTTTAATATATTATAATGAATATATTATACTGTATATTTTTTTCATGTCTCGACCGATCGCTTGTGAAGCGTAAATGTAACTTTGCCTCGGAAATGGAGCAGACTTGTCAGCCTCCTTCCTGAGCTTATGCTGCCTATTTGTCATCACTCTACTGCCTGACATAATGGCAATCTGGGCGACAGTTCTGTTCAATGCATGAACCAGCATGAATGAAGAAGCAAAGCACTTTTTAACAACGTCCATCGATATACTCCTGGTAAAATTAATTTAATTATTACAGTCTAAACTATAATTCTATATTCATCAACAGTGTTAATTTAGCAGTAAATCTCTTATGATTATCCTCTTACTGTATATGCTCACTGGTATTACATCATTCCATTACAACAGTGGTTCTCAAAGTGGGCGATGTCGCCCCCCTTGGGGCAGTGGAAAGATTTTGGAAGAAAGAAAAGGGCGGTCGGGGCAGTATGGGGGGCGGCAGTCCGAAGTCGAAGTCAGAAGTTCCAAAGTTTGTTTGACGATTTGCACACAACACGTGCAGCACAAGACTCCCAGCGATGGTTTTGTCACCCAGATCTGTTTTTTTTTAACCTCTCCTGGGTTTACGTCTCTGATAAATTAACGGCCGTACTCGCGGCCGGTCTCACAGCCAATTTCCAAATTCAATGATAAAGGAATATCTCTCAAAATAATGAACTTAACTCGATGAAATTTGGTACACGTATTCAGTAGGACCTAACAGTAATGTTTAGCTCATGAAAATTTTTTGAATTTTGGCTTCATTTATTTTTGCCATAGTTATATGGCAATACGGACCGAAATTCAGAGTGATCAAGGAATTTCTTCCAAACTACGGAACAGATTCGAACGAAATTCTGAATTTACAGTGCTAACTATCGAACGGTAATGTTTAGCTCTTGAAAATTTTTTCGATTGTGCCTTCGTTCGCGATTTTTTTTTTTCATTACACCTTCATTCGTGATTTAAACAGTAATAAGTGCCTAAATTCGCAGTAATTAAGAAATTTCTTCCAAACTACTGAACAGATTTGAACGAAACTTAGTATTTTAATACCTAACCTCAGCAACGGTGATATTTAGCTCGTTAAAATTTTTTCGTTTTGCCTTCGTTTGCGAGTTATACGGCTATACCGAGGCGAGTTATACGGTCGCATACGGATATACGTAAACGGCTCTTGGTTAAATCGGTCGGTAGAAAAGCCGGTTGTTCCTCATATATCTGTATAACTCGTGAACGAAAGCAAAATTGAAAAATTGTCACGAGCTAAACATCACCGTTGGGAGGTTAGGTATTTATATACAACGTTTCGTTGAAATCTGTTCAGTATTTGGGAAGAAATTTTTTGATCTCCGCGAATTTAAGCGACTAATTATCCGGCGATACGGGCCGAATATATGGAAGTGTGAAATCAAGAATGACGGTGAAATGAAAAAAAAAACTCGTAAATGAAGGTAAAATCAAAGTGTAAAATTAAGAATGACGGTGAAATGAAAAAACTAGCATATGAAGGTAAAATAAAAAAATTTTTAGAAGCTAAAAAAATCACCGTTTGGTAGTTAGGAATATACTGTATATTAAAAATTTCCTTCAAATCCATTCAGTCATTCGGAAGAAATTCTTTGATCACTGCGAATTACGGCCTGTATCACAATATAACTCACGAATGAAGGTAAAATTTAAAAAAATGTCACGTGCTAAACATCACAGTTAGGTTTTGATGAATACATGTTTCAAGTTTCATTGAGCTGCTTTTATTAGTTTGGGAGATATTACTTGATAATTGAATTTGGAGATTGGTCGTGAGACCGGCCACGAGTCCGGCCGTAAATTTGCCCGAGATGTCCTATAGGTTTCTAGTGCTGAAGCAGTTAAAATAGCTGAAAAATATATTGGTTCACTAAATTGGGTTCTATTTGTGAAAAACACATTTGTGTTTAACCTTTATCTTTTAAAATAGCAGCGTAATAAATTTCAAGACAGAGGCGTATGTTTTTATATGTGTTTGTGGGGTGCGATAGAAATTCACTAGGGAGCCAAAGGGGGGCGCCAGCCTGAAAAAGTTTGGGAACCGTTGTTTTACAACGACGCGCCAGCTGAAAGTCCACGGAAATTACAACGAACATTCAACTACCATGGACATTTCTGATCAAAGCAAATCACGAATATCGTAGCAGCGTCCTCCCAGCGATCGATTCCAAAATACTTATGCATAGATCAGTTTTATATGAGGTTAATCCTTTATTATCAAGCTTTATTTCGCTCACTGTGTGGAAAGCGCACGGTGACGCGGGCAGCCTGTAACTTCTTTTTTTTATTTGTGGCGAGCGGTCTCAGGGTCAGCTAAGACTTCAACAAAGCGATAGAATAAAACTCGAGAGTGCGAATATAAAATTTTGAAGATGCATAACGCCCAAGGGCACTCCGTTGTAGTTGTTCTTGGTTAAATGTTGTTCTTAACCTATCCCGTTTTCTATTCGATTATCTTTCATCGGGATTTTAAACTACTAATATATATTCACCTATTTTGCACGGAACCCTTACTATAGTTGATTATTTCGGGCCACGAAAGACTCATAAATAAATGAATTATTTACATGAACTAACACATTCATTACAAGATTTTCGTACAATGCTGAAATAAGTTCGCATCTTTGTAGACTTTCAGCCTTATTAAAAGTTACGAATAGCAATAAATAATAAAGGGTGAATTAAAATCATTCAATTAAGTTCGATTTCTTATTAACTGATAGTTTCATTCAACGTACCTAGGCGCAAAAATTGTCATGCTAGTCACGAATATAATGTAAGAACATTTGAGCATCAAAATTAACTATAGTCATGGATGCTATGGTCACTAATACTTTAATATATGCATCATTGAGAACTGATTCAAAATAAAATTTTCGTAAAATTATTTAAAATAAAACCAGACGATATTTTAGAATATTTTTTTATATTATTTAGTTTTATCTGCCTCAAATAAAGATAATCCGCTATTGTAAAACTAAAAATTTAGTATTTTTTAAGTACTAAGTCAAATCTCGGTCCATCTGTGCCGGCAAATTAGCGGACGTTTCGAATGAATGAAAACACGCCTCGTATGCCCGCCCAGGACTGACAGCTGACTCCTCAATTTATAAACCTAATATGTACATCATTCAGGAAGATGAAGTCAATGGTTTAGGCATGATGTTAAAGCTTATAAGCAACAGTAGAAGAACATAACTGTTCGAAATCAAGGCATTTAATTCCCCTTGGCCGTGGATGCGTAAACCGTGACAAACATTATTCTTGTCTAATGGCCTGGTAACTATTGACCTTCTGTAAACAATGGGTAGATCAAAGCATCCATACACACACAGTATCCTTCTCTAACAGTATGTATCCTTCTATTAACGTATGTATCCTTCTATTAACGTATGTATCCTTCTATTAACGTATGTATCCTTCTCTTACACACAGTATGGAAGGAATGCCAGTAATTCGGAAGTGACTTCTCATTATTTCTGCCGTGAGTTAAGGCGTCCACGCCCAGGCTGCGTCCTTCTCTGCGCTGGCGGGTGCCTTCTTCTTCTCGGAGTTGGCAGTCTTGACGTGGGGTCCGTGGTGTACGGTGTAGCGCGGGTCTGCCACAAGTTCATACATCAATTAAAAAATAATGATTAAACTCGCACTTCGTCTACTAAACTAATTATAAATAAATAGAGATCTTATGATTCGACGCCTAATTTTTTTAGATGATCGAAAGCCTGAGTATTGCAAGAGAATACCATAACCAAATAATTTTGTTTCATAATAAAAAAAATCTGCAGGAATTTTACACACAAATCATTTATAAAGGAAAAACAGGCAATATTGTCTAGTAAATTTGGTAAAAAACAACATTTCGCTAATTCTCTGCAGCATAGAACATGGGGTGACTAGACGAGTTGCGAACGAACAAGCTAAAGTATGTAATCGGTATGCGGTAGCACAATTCCGTCGAGCTCTAAACCAGCCTCTGATCGAGAGGGCAGGCCTGTTAATAATCTAGCTACCTCCCTAATCCTTGTACATTACGATATCATCGACTGTACATCAGCTTATATTATTATCGTATACATTTTTATTGAATTTCTTCCGAATTGACTCATATTTTTGTTTCTGTCATACCTATCGCGCTCGAAGGTTAATTTTACATCCACTTATGTTTCAAGAACAGTCATTTTACAGTAATCTTCCATTTTTGACATGTTCAGTTGCATTTTCATCTATTTCATTTGTCATTACATTGAAATCGATCTTCGTTCTCATCATTATCAGTCCAACAAATGCTGTTTTCCATTTACTTTTTCCTATACAAGTTCGCAATCTCACAGTTTCTTCAACCTCCATCAAAACCAGCGTTCGGGGCAACCACATTTCACCCAATAATTTTGTATGCAAGTTAACCGAACACATCTACATTCTACACCCACCATACGAATCAAAGCCAAGTCTTGTTGCTGGCATCTTGATCTGCCATTGCTGGATTACGAATCCGAAAATCTGAAGTATTTGAAGTAAACGATAATCTTATATTTTGATGCTGTCAGAAATTATCTCGCTTGTGCATCAGGAACTTCTGCGCTGTCCTTATTTGTGTATAGAATTATTAGAAAATAAGGTCCTAAAAAATTGGACGGAGACTTTCAAATCCTAATTAGGAAATTTGTAAGTCCGGCTCCAAGTTTTGGATGGTCAGAAATTGATTTGAAAAGAGAGAGACTGAAAAATTAACAAAGTTGGAAGTTGTCCACCAAATACGTCCGCTGCTGGTTTAATCGACCCACAGCTCACAGTTATCAAATTGCCTTTAATGTAAATGGAGCAACTGGCTTTAATTCTGATAATACTACAATTGGAATAAGAATTAATATCTGCTGGCAATCCCAAGCTTCCTTCCAAGCAGTCTACTCATCTATATGTGGCATGGAAGGGTGACAGAGTGTCAGCCCTGGCTAAGTACAAGCCTAATTATTGGGCTGCGAATCAACCAACCTATGTGGCACGGGAGGGTGACCGTGTGGCAGCCCTGGCTGAGTACAAGCCTTATTGGGCTGTGAGTCAACCCACCTATGTGGCACGGGAGGGTGACAGTGTGGCAGCCCTGGCTGAGTACAAGCCTTACTGGGCTGTGAGTCAACCCACCTATGTGGCACGGGAGGGTGACCGTCTGAAAGCCCTGATTGAGGACGGTGGACACCAAAGTAGCGGTCGCTGTGGCCTGGCTGATGACGGTTTGGGTGGTGCTCACTGTTGTTGTGCTGGTCTACGGTGCGAGAAAAAAGCTTTGTTCTATACGAGTTCAAAGCCTGTGCTGTTAATTTTAAGTTGAATGCATTATTACCAAACGAGCATAATTGCATTGACAAAATATCATTTAAGACGGCAATGAAGTTTCCTGAATGCCATTAAAGACTTCGCTTAAATTTTACAGCAGCTCGCATTCTTGAATACTTAACTGTATTAGTAATCTTGAATGAATTGTCTAGTTTCTTACTGAAGTCGTGGTAGTGAAGAGAGTCAAAGTGCTGGTGGTGGTTGACGTTGTGGTTGTCGTCGTTGTTGTAGGACTGGCGGTTGTGATGGTCGTCGAGAAAACCTGTCCCGCCGATAACCAAAGAGTTTAATATTAACGATATCAGGAATATGATTTTTATGAACATTTGATTATAACAATGGAAATTATTAGCGCTAATTTGGACAACTTTACTCAAAAGAAGACGACTCAGTGGTCAATTCTCGTTCGTTAATCTGATTCATCCCACTGATATTGTTAATCAAGTTGAGGCTTTCCATCACATTTGCTCACAATTTTTTGTTTACACGTTGAAACGTAGGCAACAATTTTTAAAGTATATATAGGCTAATACGTGTAAACTTAAAATGAGTATGATTTAGCATTAAAAAATCTGCTTTGGTTTATTAGAATCTGCGTCTTGCCTGCGTGGTAGTTGTGGTAGCAATGATGGTTTTGGTATCGGTAGCAGTGACGTAATGACCTGCTGCATAATGGCCAACATGGCCACTACCGCCGACATTGACGGTTTTGGTCACGTAGTGGTGTACTGTTGCGGTCGTACACTGCGGTATAAAAAAAATAAGTACATGTATAAACTACATGAGTATGTCAAATTAAACGTAAAAAATTCAAGTAGTTATGTCATGTAGAGTTTTAATTTCAACTCTTGTTCTATTGATTGAAACTAATTAGCAAACTAACAGCTTTGTAGGGACTGCCGTGGCCGTGATTCCACTGACCACCGTACGGCTTCACCGGTACTACCAACACCAATGTCGCCACCAGCATCACGCGCAGCCTGTACGTCACTGGGCACAACAATCATCTTAGGTATTATTGAAACTTCTCTAACTGAGATTCAGTATTGAGTGAGAGTAGCTAAGACCAACGGTGAATAATTGATTCATAGTTAAACCAATAAACGAATTACTAATATATATGTTCAACCATGAATCGATTAGTCCTCAAATTTGCCAGGTAAAATGTGCAACTAATCCGGCGTAGTATGGAATCGTAATATCATTGAATATTCATGTAAAACGGTAAAAGAAAATTAGTTAAATTCACTTTCAATATCAAGTTGAATTTGTTCACTTACTGATTTGTTAATTTAATTTTGAGTTGACAACGCAGTCGACAAGGAGACTGTGCTCGTGGACTTTGCCGAGCAACCAAAGGTTACTGCTACTCACTCAGCCTCGAAATGCCTCGTACTTGACGCAAAGAACATCAAATGAGGCTCTACTTCTAAGGTAGATTTGAAACATGCCCTGAGTCGTGAATAAATAAAGTACCGTAAGTTAAATAGAAATATCAATCAGTTTGATTTTAAAAATTGAATCCCATTGAATAAATGAAGCAATCAAAATGTCAATTAGGTGAGGTGAGCGTTTGCGGCTCACTGCGAGCGGCGCGGCTGAGCGCGTGACTATATAGGTGGCGTATGGGCGCGGGCGGCACGCGGCACACGAGGAAGCGACAGCTACAGCGCTGGGCGGTGACGGTTGATCAACCAAGCGGCGCAGTTTTCGGCTATGAAATGTCTATTCATTCTGATTTATTTAGGCGTTTCAACTTGAAACAAGAATGGAATCATTACAAACAAATCATTTTAGTCATGGGACCGTTCAGAATTCTGTTAAAATAATCTCTCAAAATTTAGGATTAGTTCAGATGAATGGACACATAGAATTAATGGATTTTATTCTTTAGGCCTTGCACGAAGAACTCACAGTGAATATCTCAAGCACAAGTAGCGTCGGAAGTACGACTTTGGTGCTCTTATATAATATATAGACCATAAAATTCGTTTATTTTAGAGCAATTATTTTAAAAGTATTGGCTCTCTCAGCTAATATTAAATGTGTCTACAATGATACAACTTTTTCGGAGCTACGGTCACGTTCGCGCGCAGTTAACATGAAGCTGGAGAGCCCGTCCGAAAATACATCAATTGATTGCGGCTCTTGGATTTCTTGGCGCTTCAGTAGCGAGGATATTGCTTTCCATGGATTTATTACAAACAAAATTTTTATTATATTAGTATAGATCATTAAGTTTTAGGAAAGTGCGGCAAGTCGATAATTAATTAAAACTCGTAAATTTTTAATTTATCTCGCATTGCTCGGACGCGTCTTCCTAGGCAACAGGAGCAAGTTCCACGCAGATCATGTTTACAGGCTGATTTTGCCTACGTTGGACAAATGACTTGTCACAGGAGATGTGGTCCAACTTAGTCTCAATGTCTCGCGTCATGAACATCATTAACCTATTTATAGAAAAGCCATGAACAACACTAACCTACAAATTGAGGAGCCATGAACACTGACCTACTTATAGAGAAGCCATGAACAACACTGACCTACATATGGCGAAGCCTGGTGACATCCTCGGCTGCAGGATATTGTTCCGAACCCCTCATGGCCGTCACAGACCCGGAATACTTTCAGATATTTTCACTGAATCTATTTCCGGACAGCAGCTCTCGTTTCATTCAATAGGCCACCGAACAGCTGAGCGATTCCACCCGCTCAGCAAGCCATAATACAGTAAATGGAAGGCTCTAATAGGAAGAAGAACGGTGTGAAGACCTGACGATTCAAACTAATATAATTGCGAGGAGATATAATTCAAGAAATTTATAAAAAATCATAGTTTAATCGACGCAGAAGAGAACGAATAGTGGATTATTTATATGAAATTATTATTTGTTATCGATAGTTAAATGGCGTGTTAGGTGCATGTTAGACCACGTCCACTAAAAATTTTGAAGCAATCATGCTCAATTGCACACGGAGGTTAGCAATTCCCGAATTATGTGTTTAACGAGCTAAGTCGGTGCGTATTTGCTCGTAGCGTCGCACTCGTAAGTCTTCAGAAACATTCCTGTAGAAACGTCTAGGTCGAAAGTTTAGGGACGACTCGTTGCCCACACAACTCTGTTAGAGACTTGCTATGGTTTCCCGCCTGCAACTGGATATTGCATAGCCTGTGATATCAGTAAAGTTGGAGGAATTGTTAAATGACGAACTCGTCAATAGAGTTGCTTTTCGTATGTAAAATCTACGAAAGGAATGTGCGTTATGGTGTAATGTATAGGAGAAGTGTGGAAAGATGAGCTTGATGCCTTGTTTTATTATTCATTGGGAATTTTGCTGAAGTATGCATGGACAGTCTGATGGAATGAATTTTTTAAGCGCAGGAGAGGAGAAGGATGATGGAGTGATGGAGGAGAAGCTGAAGTGAATAAAACTTATATTCACTATAGCAGCTGTCCGCATTTTGGCGTTATTTGTGTATTAAATAACTTTATTTCTCAGCACTTGAAAACGGTAATCGCACATGCATGCTATCAGGAGCGGTAAATTTTCAACTTATAAGTGATAAGAAAGCAATGACATTGTAAATCAATCTCACATCCGAAAGCATGAACCAGTTATTTCCCATCACAAAACAATGTATGGCATAGCAGTGTTGTCAATAGTATCATGTTAAATGCATTTAATAGCAATCATCACTCAAAGAAAGCATAGCTAATGCACTTGTGGGCTTCTTCCGTGCCTGTAAATGCATTGTCGCACAATGACATTAAGCGGCTTGAGCTACTTACCTAGAACGCTCTTCGTCCTAATCCAATTCACTCGGCTTTGTGGTTATTTTCATCCTCTCCAAGTAAGTGTTGAGGGAACCAAAACTATAGGGCATCGTACGTTATTAGGTGGAGAGTATTTAAGCAGGCACGGCGGCTCGAATCTTCGCCAGTCCAGAACTTGCTGTTAACTCAAGCAAGTCGCTCCTGTGGACTTTCTGCTACATTGCCCTAGAGGGAGAATCGCAGACGCAAGCAAACTCCTGTAATTCACGTGGTTGTCTCAATCAAGAAGGCTTCAAGTCGGCTTTGATTTCTTCAGGCTCATTGCATTGAGGAATCCACACCGCCAGCCTCGTGCGAAATAACTGATTGTGTGACTGAAGCAGAGTTTGGTTCAGCGACAGCGACGATGTCTCACAGCCACTACGCGAGTGCCTCGAGGGGAGCCCTCACGGGAGGAGCAAATGACTTCGTTTTCGGATACGCCCCAGGGGTGTCGGTGGTGGACATCGTACCTCCTCATATGAAAGATTTGATTCATCCTCACTGGAGTAGCTTCCCGCCCCCCAACCCCATGTGGCACTACCTACTTGGGATCATTTACATCGTAATGGGCGTTTTGGCAACCTTTGGTGAGTCGGTACTGCTCTATACGATACAAGATGTAGTGTAGGTAGTATTTTGATTGGCAAAATATCCAGCCTCGTACTTCTCAAAATAAAGTGCAAATTATTAAAAAATTTATTATTGAAATTATACCGTTGAAATTATTCTAAAATTGTAGCCTTGACATATTCTTCTCTACTATACAAAATTGTCGTATTGGCTGTTCATTTTGAATAATACTATGCCTACACTACAGGCAACGGCGTTGTGATTTACCTGTACATGAAAATCAAGAAGCTGCGGACGCCGTCCAACTTGCTGGTGCTGAACCTCGCCATCATGGACATGCTGATGCTGCTGTCGCAGTTCCCGTTCTTCGTCTACAACTGCTTCCACGGTGGAGTTTGGGCCTTCTCACCCTTCATGTGCGAGCTATATGCCTGCTTCGGTACGTTACTGGAATTGTTAAAGTGATAATACATGTAATAATACGTGTATGTGTGTCAAAATTGTGATTCGTCGTAGATAATACGTAGCTACATTATTACAGTATTATTATTGTTGATAGATAATGACATTCGATCAAATCAGGAAATACTCGATTCGTACATCCTGACAAACGAGTATTAGTTGAATTAGTTTCATTTCGCTCTCAAATTAATATTTGAAAAGGCGCTACTGAATAAGCCTGCAGATAATAACCTCATTACCTACTTAATTATATGAATATTATTCAAATGTCGATTGCTATGAAAAAATGGAATTTATTTTAAATACTGTCTCATGGACGCCTGCAGGAGCCATCTCAGGCCTCGGCTCGCTCTGGACTCTCGTGTTCATCAGTTACGACAGGCAAGTTTAAATAGAGAGAGAATTATATAGTAAAATTAGGTTAAAATGTGAAGTTAAAGTTAAAATTTAAAGTTGAAATTTTGGCATGATCAAGTGCTCTGGAATACGCAATAAAATTGCCAAGGGGTATTAATGCGCTCAGATAAAACGTCAATTTTTTACATCGGGTATCAAATATATATGTTATTAATGAACAAAAATACGAAAAAATAAGACCTAAGAAGGTCTAATGTTGGCGAACAATTTTATATAGAAAATCTTGCCACAGGTGCATTGTAATAACATATAACTTTCACTGGCAAATAACGAGCAATCGCTACGCTTTCCAAACACAAAACAACAAATTATTAATAATCAATTTTTACGTCTTAGATTTGCTGAAATTTATTAAAGTGAAGACGATGCTGACTTCTTGCCTGCGAATCGTTCAGACGCTAAGCGCTTGCCATGAGTAAAAGGTTTGCTCTTTTAATCGGACAAGCTACGCAGGTCATCTAGATGTTAGCCTACAATATAGATTTGATGTTGTCCTAAAATACAAGTAAAGATCTTATGTATTAAAATGCTAGCTATACATTCAAGGCTGCCAGCTGTGAACTAAAATTCGCGCAGAATATTTAAATTGCAAACCGAAGAAAATTCAAGGCTAACTCTTGTGGAATAAAATTCGTGCAAAATGTTAATTTGCAGGCTATCATTTCGAAGCCGATAAAATAAAATCCGAACAAAGTTTTGAAATGCATTCCATTAATTCATTCGTGGCAGGCTGTAATAATTTAAGAACCATACGAAAATAATCTGAGTCTCCAAGGTACAGGTCTGTGTCAAGACTCGTTAATGCGTGTACTCTTGAGCATTTATTACATTGAAACCTCTCAAGTAAATGCCTTTTTTATCAGCCACGTTTGAAGCATGTAACGGCGACCGACAATTGTCCGTGTGAAACAAAAGTATATGGAGGTAAATTAACGCCTATTTTCTTGCGCTCGACCTATTGTCATTAATAAAACATGATACACATTGTCATCCATAATTCAAATTAAGTGATAATCTTATTTATAGGTACAACGTGATCGTTAAAGGCGTCGGAGGCAAGCCGCTGAGCTTCGGTAAGGCCATGATGTGTTTGGTCTTCGTCTGGGGCTACGCCACCGCCATCTCCTTGCCCCCCTTCTTCGGCTGGGGGCGCTACATTCCTGAAGGCAAGCATGGAAGTTGTGTAACAAAGTGACATTTTTTACAGAACATTTCGAATTGATTCAAACGAAATTAATCTATGTTTAGTTTCGTGATCCATGCCATCCTACTCTGAAAAATCATGGTTTATTCATGTCGACATGTATAGAATCACGTATAATGAGAGACTTGTTACAAATCGAATGTTCTGACAGACAACTTGACTTCATCCTTAGAGACACTGACTTGCTCTAAATAGTCAATTTTGTAGCAATTCATGATATTTCTCATTCTATGCGGTCTCACGACATTCTGCTTCCTAAATTTCCAGGTATTCTCGACTCGTGCTCGTTCGACTATCTGTCTCGAGACTGGAGCATTCGGTCTCACGGAGTGTTCCTCTTCTTCTTCTGCTACTGCGTGCCTCTAAGCACCATTTTGTACTCGTACGTCTACATCGTAAAGGCCATAATTTCGCACGAGAAGGCCATGAGGGAGCAAGCCAAGAAAATGAACGTCACGAACTTACGATCTGGCAAGGTAAGTTCCAGAGAAGTGAAATGTTAGTGATTCCTACGAATTTCAATTAATGGAATGCTATGCCAGTTGTTTTTTTATTAGTTTTGATCTAATTTATTTACACGAAAGTATCAGTATGCCCAGAAAGGTATTTATTAGTTCTGTTGCTTGTAATGACACTGAACCCTGTTCTATTGGCTGCACAGGATGATGGCGGGCAGAGCGCCGAGATGCGTGTCGCTAAAGTCGCCTGCATCAACGTGACTCTATGGCTCGTCTGCTGGACGCCATACGCAGCTATTGTTCTCCAGGTACTAACGCGCCCAGCTTGCACCATATGTTTTAAAAGTAAATAATGATTGTTTAATTGTTCAGCAATTATGACGGTTTAGAGACAGCCTATATCACCAATTTACAGCCCTGCATGTACGGTGCAGAAATCTAACTTGGCTCAACAACGGCAAGGTTCGAACACAGGCCCAACAGAGCGACAGTGACAGTCATTTTTGATAGTCTCGTTGTTTGTGGTCACTGAAGCGAGTCATGATTGCTAACGAAGGTGAAATAAAACGATCACCCTGGCTGTATTTTTATGCTGCGTTGGGCAGGGCCTGTTCTTCGACCAGTCGAGCATCACGCCGCTGGTGTCGATGCTACCGGCGCTGCTGTGCAAGACCACCGCCTGCTACAACCCCATGGTGTATGCGCTCAGCCACCCGCGCTTCCGTCAGGTCCGTTCACAATAGACGCGCGCTTGTCGCCCGCCACGCCACGGTTCATTGGCTGGCGGTGGACGGTCTTTTGCTGAGGGTCATGTGGTGCATGCAAATGATTGTTATTTCCATATTTTTAATGTTATATAGATTTTCTGTGAGTCTACAAGACACGCTGAGTTAGGACTACAAGTCTCATAATAATTAGTTGATACAGCGCTCCGCCAAAGTGATGTAATTACAGTTAAATGTCACAGTCTCTGCACAGACTTTATATAGAATCTGTTTGAATTTCTGTGTTCATTTTATTCAATCTGTTTTTATAGCTCAAACTTTGCAAGCAGAAACCATAAACGGTAAAATTATATTTTGCACAAACTATGTGTGTCTCTTCAGTTTCAAACATGGAGATACAGATCAAAATAGAAAATTTTGTAAATATAATTTATCTAATCATTTTCACATCTCTATCATTATTGCAAAGAAAGAACTGGACCTCAATTTATAATGTTCAGGATAGTTCGAGTTGTTATGAGGGACGGAAAGTTACTTGATACAATGTATTTATTCCGACTTGCCAACCGATTTTTCCTACTGTAAGTTTGTGCGCTGTTGCTGCTTAGCGTGAGCCAGCGTTGAGATCTCGGGTACAATGTAACCTCATTTCAGCCCATGCCAAATTTGTTTGTTTACAAAGTTCGTAGGGCATTAAAAATTTGAACTGCCTTGTTTTACAACATGAAAACACAGGCGACCGACCGATCTCAAGAATACCTTGCACCTCAATCTTATTTGTGAAAGTCTCTAAACTAACTCTCGCAGGTGACAGACATATTCTTAACATCCAGATGAACATCATATTTCTAATCATGATCATTTTTAATACTTTTAACAGTATTATATATTGTCTTTGCCATGAGTGCAAAATTATTGAATTAATTACATGTTGACAGGCAATGATGACGGAGATTCCATGCTGCTGCGTGCACGAGCCTGACGACAGCACGGCTGAGAGTAAGAGCGCCGTCACGGAGCAGCAGGTTGCCGAGAAGTGAACTCCTCTCAACCACTCGTGACTGGACTATCTTTTCCAACTTATAACTATCCTTTCCTATCAATTCCTTTATGTTTTTAGTCCTCTATGACGATGATCCCAGTCTATTCAATTATTTACTTAAAATTCTGAAGATATACCATTGAAATTTGCCTGTTACCTTTTTCTTTTGAAATATTGTAAAAATGTTCACCAGATTTATTAATTATCGATACGATCGCTGTATTCCCGGCCATACATGTTGAATAGTTTAATAAAGCTCATCTCATTGCTCTGATAGTTACAGGCAGAATCCCGGGTGGTAAATTAAAAAAGTAGTTAACTATAACAAAATATAATTAATGAATCAAATTAGAATTTTATTTGAGGTATCGCGAACTGTAATTAATATAACCTCATTAACCTGAATTGCCTGGCACATTCAACTCAATTTCAAATATTAATTAGAAATCACATCGCTTTGAAGCAGCGAAGAATTCCGACGGACGCAAGATCAAAAGTTACCCTTTTTATGTCAGAATTATATTTTGGATGTTTATATTTTTTGTTCGCACTTTTGTTGCTTTACGAAAATGTTTTATTTAAACGAACGCCTGCAGCAGCCATGTGTATCTGTAACCTCATACACTATGAGGCTACCATGAATGCCTGCAACAGACTTATATGTCTTTAATCCTCATACACTAAAAGGTTATACAAGTACCATATGAAGTACAGAGGGTCCACGGTTCCAGAACATTCACCAGAAACACATCGCGGAACTCATTTTTCTTAGTTTTAAATAATTCAGTTCATCTAAGCCATATTACAGAAGTTATTTGCGACTAGAGGAAAATATAAGTAAATTAATTTAGAATATAAAAGCGATGTGCCTCCGCGCTTCGTTTTATGCAATCACTATGTGAATAGTTGCATAAAAAATGCCGCGAAACTTTGGAGTATTGCTTGGTCTGCTAACTTCCACTTGATACAAATACAAACGCAATCATACAGTAACATGATTTTCAGCCTGATGAAACTATTAATGCAGTTGGATATTTTGCGGTGGTGTGATTTACCATTCGGTGGAATATTAACCGTTTATTCCATATGTAATGGGGCCCGCTTTTATTTTACACATTTTACGCTTGACTTACATCTTGTTTTTTTTTTCAGAATTCATACGGACGGATACTTCATGTGTATAAGTTGCTTCTAAAGTTATACATATTTACTAATGTTCAAAACCCTTGTACGTTGACTATTTTCCGCGGCGGATCAAGCACGGTTATAAATATTTCAGATATTTGACAATAAACATACGATTAGATATTTCCAATTTAATTGTGTCCAACAGATCACTAATGTGGAGGGATATTTTCTCATTAATCACATTTCCAGTAGGCTCAGATGTCTCCCATTTAGCGATCACATTACGTATGCTTCCGATGGAAATTTTACGAAGTGTCTTTTTTCCTCGAACGGCTAAAAAATTGACTCACCATGTTTGAATCACACATAAAAATTCCGCATCATCCCCGAGTTCATGAAAAGTATTCGGTTTGATATTAACCCGCATGTCTGCATTTGATACCATCGCGAGGTAAGAGATCAGCTGTATCGGTAGCTACATCCCCCCCCTGAGCGGTGATGGTCCTGTAGATTCACAGTGGAAGAAACTTTGAAAAAAATTGTCTTCATCTTTACATGGTTTACATTGTATCGTCATGAATATAGTTGCTTGGTCGAAGATATCTTGATAAAACTTACTGTTGGCCTGACTATATACTCAATTGAAGACAATCTTGAGTAGACCTAAGCACTGAAAAAGCGCTAGCACTTTTTTCTTCTAAGTTTAACAATAATTTGGACAAAGTTATGATTGTTCACGGCGAGTTGGCAGAGAGGTTAATTAAGGTCACCAAGACGTACAGTATCACAAGTATAATTTTGATAGAGACAGTGATCCGTGAATTTGTCTGAAGGTTTCATTACTTCAAGAGTAGTCCTGAAATCTCCGAGAGTAAATGGAAATAAAAACCAATGCCAGATATTTGAATTAGGCTTTACTTACAGAATTTATATTACATTCAACAAATGCAGAACTACACGTACAAGAACAGGATTCACGTGTGCGTGGTTGTGACCAAGTATCGAGCTTATACAGGGTGTTTCAGAATTAAGTAACCCTTTTAATTTTTTAATAAATAAAAAACTAAGAACGTTATGAAGTTGAAACTTGTTTTATTTAAAAGAAGAACATTTTTATGGTAATATTGTATCCTAGTTTTTAAAATTTTGAAATGGATCCTGTAATCACGTTGAACTTCTGTTATTGACATCGTTATTGACTGTAGCGATAATTTTTGTTCTTTCTTCTTTGCTGTAGCGAATCATGATGAAAATTTAAGGCTTGATAATTAAACACAAATTTAGCAAGCTATACAGGATAATGACGTAACTATGATGCAATATTACCATGAAAATGTTTTTCTTTTAAATAAAACAAGTTTCAACTTCATAACGTTCTTAGTTTTTTATTTATTAACAAATTAAAAGGGTTACTTAATTCTGAAACACCCTGTACAAAGGTTCATGACGATGAAATACCAATGCAATTTCAGTTCAGGAGTCCTGACGCTATATAACTTATAAGTATGCAGGATACGACCTAAAACTTAGCGTACCAGAGATTTTGTAGCACATACGAAACGGCATAACAAAGACTAAAAAAATAAATAAAATGAAAGTTCATCATTCAAGTTAAGGAAATAGTGAATATCATGTGAGTCATTTGAGCGTCTGAAGGCTCGTGCAACAAAATGTCGAGATCACTCAATCGTGAATCGACAAAAATGTGAACACAGGGAAATTTAAACAGAAAATAGGATTTGGAAGAACTCCGCTCCGGAAACCAGTCCATTTGAGTAAGTCAAGGCATGAACAAAGAATGAAATATGGTGAGTGACATGGATCACGCAATTTGAGGGAACCACGTATAAATAAGCTATATACAAAGAAGAAAAATTTTATAAAGCTTCGTCTAATAATTTGAAGACGATATCAGCAGATGGTAGTGTTCAAAACCACCTCTTACGAAATAATTGATTATTTTGGCGTCTACACGATGAGCTATCAAGAGATTTCTTGGTTTCAAAATCCATTTATGCTTCATGGGACTACAGAACTGAGAAGCATCTGAGTTTTTAGGCTAAATTTAATTCTCATTCGTGCCCAAGGCTGATATCTTCCCTCGCTCCTTGATGGAAAGAAATGAGTGCACAACTAAACTTCTGTTCCAAGAATCCATTACTTTCTCAAGCTTCATTCTATGAACTTTACGTATTTCGGGGATAGATGAGGTACGATAGATGAGGTACGTGCAGCGGGGATAGATGAGGTATAGAAATGATTGAACTATATAAGGTTGACCCACGAGAAGTTCCGTCTTTCAGTTCAGCTTTCTTGTTACGTCACTGAGATCGAGAAACGTAAACAATCCCGTCATTCCCATGAAGGATTGGTTGACTGGTTTGATCGCATTTCGGTGATTGATTAATGCCCGTGACGTCACTGAAATCACTGACGTCACAGGCAAAATACGAACTGCATCCGCACTAATGAACTTCTCATGGGTCAACCTTATACTAGTTCAACCATGGATCAAAGCAATCAATGAGCTGCGTTAGAAGTTCATTCTAAATCTTAAGACCCCGTTCATTTGAACTGATGCATCTGGTCATTGGCAACGTATACACGCAGTTAAAAACCTGGTATATTTCGGCTCGAGCGAGCAGACTGCCTCGCGGCCGACGCTGAATCTTCCATCAAGCTATCATTTTCAGGCAGAAAATTAAGTAATTGAAGGTAAAATCGCGCAAATCCTACGATTTACTTACTTCAACTCCCAATTGTCACTGCCGGCCCAAACATCGCATGAGTTTGGACAGACTCCAAGTTTATGTACAGCCATAACAGGTAACAACAAATGAAAGAGAAAACGAAATAAGTTTCTTTACTGTACAAAAAAGCGTGCAACAGAAAACTCAAAATTTTAGGAACAACGTTTGAAAATGTGAGGAATGCACTTCGATGCAAGAAAAAAGAAGGCTCAAACGACTCGACTTTCTAGAATAAAAATATACACATTCTCAGCTCTTAAGTTCTTTTAAATGGTCAACTTAGATAGATCCTCCGAATTCACTCTAGACGCTGGCTAACGCCAAGCCGACACTAGCCTACGAAAGTTACGTGCATACTTACAGGGTGGATAGCGCTCTACCGGAGCCGGTGAACCAATGAGAGGAGAGTATATATAGGAGGGGAGAAGTACACTATATGAGGGAAACGGAGAACTATATGAGGGGAAATGAGAAAACAATATGAGCGGAAATGATGAAATATACGAGGGAAACGATGAACTATATGATCCGAGTATATGAAGAGACACGATGAACTATACGAGTTGAAATGAAAAACGGCACGAGGTTAAACGATGAAATATATGAGGAGAAAAGATTAACTATATGAAGAGAAACGAAGGACTGTACTAGGGTAACGTAGATCTATAAGAGAGGAACGTAGAACTATATACACAACACGTCTCGCCACATCTTCTGTAGCGTTTAGGAAATCTCATAAACTTCACTACCTTTTGTCCGAAACATTAGTTAGTATTCAAGGCCTCCAACCAAAGTCAGGGTTCGAGACCCTCCGACCAGAGTAATCATTTGAGACCCTACAACTGCTACGAGATTACTACCTTTTGTCACAGAGGGTCGAAAATAAGCGACGGGTGAAGCGTGATGCTTCCAGAAGCAACACCAATAACATATTACACGATAGCTGTGGGTACGAATAGTCGCCCGACGTATATACAGCAAACGATGGGCATCATGCGCATTACACGTGCATCAAACGTACTTGGTAATGTAACGTAAGAGCAAGTGATGCTACGCGGTGTAAATCTTCGAAGTTGATGCACGCACATGTATTTGGTGGCTGTGTCACCTGGCATTTTTCTAATTAATTATACCTTAAAATTTTGACAGCAACTGCTGCTTCGCAAAGAAACACCTGTAGCTTTAGATATCCGATATGGAAGTATTGTACCAATACTAGCACGGGTACAATACGAAGAAATAATATGATGATACAACTACGTCGATAAAATATAGTATGAATGTGACAGGAAGATGTTGCTCTAGGTAAGGGCATGCATGGGCTATCTATTCCCGGCAATAATTTGACTGCTGGCAGCTGCTGCGTAATTCCAGTCAACTTCGTGCAGACGATGTTGACGGTATCACAGATCCTTCACTAGTCTACACAAAGATATACTCATGATACCAATAAGGTCGATGAACAAACGCTCTAGCTTGCTTTTATGCTGCAAAGCATACTTCTTTCTTTAACTAAACTGCTGGTTAGCATTCACCACTATGCTGCATAGCATAGCTCTTCTTCAATTATGCTGCAAAGCATTGTTCTTTCTATAACTGAACTGCTGGAAAGCATAGTTCACCCCTATGCTGCATAGCATAGCTCTTCTTCAATTATGTTGCCTAGCTTAGTTTGCCTCTGCCCCCTGGAGCTCGCCACGCAGCGCAGCTCTAGAAGATGAGACGCCTTTGCCCGGCCAGGTTTTATTGTTGTCAACAATGCATAAACAGCTTGAGTTGAGGCACTACTAATATCTCTGTTTACTGTGCCACAATATCGTTATCGTTGCCACGGACAATAAATATCGTTAATACTGAATAAAGCAGTGATTTTTCTACTTACGGTACCAATGAAAAACAGACGATTTTAACATAAAGAGGGAAAAGGAATCTGAAGTCAGGAGAAAAGCCTCTAAGTAAATGAAATAATTAAAAAAAACACTTAGAAAATTTGTTCAACTTATTATAAGAGTATTTTTTCAGAAAATATTAATGAATACAAGCGAGAACTTGACAAATTTTTGAGCCAAATGAATGGCAAAAGGAAACAATTTCCGTTAGCATGAAGACTTGCAACTTCCTACTATCACTCTACTCAGAGAAGTTCGCTTTAAACTTACATTGTTGAGTAAATACTCGGAATGTCCTATCAAAAGTAATATAAATATCCTCTTACAATACATGAATTCTTTAAACATATAAATTAAGATGTAAAAAGTCAAATTATGGGACAGATGAAACACGATATTGCACAAGACATCAGTCAACGTACATGCTACACAAACTGTACAAATACAAAGAATACAGTGCCACCTACAAGCGAGTTACTCTTAACAGCATTAGAATGCAGTGCTTTACAGCCAAAACCAAACAAAACAGTATGAGAATGCGGCAGTTTACAGTCAAAACCGGGGACGAACATCGCTCAAAGCGGATACTTTTAAATTGTGTCGCGCTTGCTTATCTCTTTGAATAAAATAAAGACCCGCTGGCAAGGCTGGTCACATAAGGCATGCATCACATTGGCTAGCCTCGAGCAAACTAGTGACTTATGCCTCAGACATGAACTTGGCGCCACTCAACACAACCTGACTACCTTTAGCCTGTGGACGCGCGTCACAGGTTCTGCTCCCAGCCGTACCCCACACACCAAGTTCTGGACGCGTGTCACAGGTTCTGCTCCCAGCCATACCCCACCAAAGTTCCCTCATCTCCCAGCCACCAGCGATCAGCGGCAGACTTGGCGCTGTCATTGAAGGCGACCCCGAGCCAAAACTCAAGCTGTTTATCATTGTTGTAGCCGCCTCACCAGAGGTGGGCTTCATTGTGAGGGAGCTTCACCACCCCCACACCGCCACCCAAACGGCGGTAGTTCATGGAGCCACACAACCGCCAGTGGTTCTGGTCGGGGTCGTAGAGCTCGATGGTTTTTAGGTAGGTTGTGCCGTCAAAACCTCCCACCGCGTACAGCATTCCGTTCACAACAGCCAAACCAACCTGGGAAGCCAATGAATTCAGTATGAGTAAAATACAAGCAGAATTATTATCTTGATGTTCATGAAAAAAGATGAAGACGCTACAACTGAAAAAATTAATGATACATTCAAGGTTCAGGGACGGTTTGTGTTAATTGTTTTGATGAGAATGTAAACAAAATCGAACTGGCAGTAAAAGAAAGGGAATAAAAGCTCGTCTTTTACCGATAGCGCCAGCAAGTGAGCTACATTTAATACTAAATAGTTTTGACATGAAAATATATTTATATATTTTACATGACACAACATTAATACTCTCCATTTAAGCAGCTCATTGATTATAATTGCCGACAGTTCTTCAATAAGCGATGTTATACATTATAATGCTATAGGTAGATGCAATAAAAAAACAAAACTGAGCACAATAAGCCACCAGCCTTGACCATGACAGAGCTCACATGAAGTCTACATGCATGCACTGGATACAAAAAATAACTTCAGCCAAACGTCGGTGAACTTTGAAGCCCGCTACCCTCTAGTGAGGCACTAACGCCACTGGGGAGATGTATGCACAGAATAATTTTAGCCACACCATAACAACATTATATATAGCCCATTACATGAGGCATAACAAAGAACTAACACCACTGCGACGGCTGGTCATGGCTACGATGGGGCTCCACTGGTTGGTGTGTGGGTTATATCGCTCAGCGCTGCTGAGCTCAGTGCAGTCGTCGCGTCCTCCCACAGCATAGATCATCGTGCTGTACACGGCGCAGCCCAGGTGCTTGCGGCGCGTGCTCATGGCCGGCATCATCGACCACTTGTTCAGCTTCGGGTCGTAGCGTTCAACTGCACAGCAGGCGTCGCAGCGTTAAATTGCCAAACAAATGTCTGAGCTAAATGATGCTCCAGAAACTAGTAATATATGTGTTTTCCTGTTATAGTAAGAAGTCATTTCTGCATTACTCCAGAGAGACTAGAAACGAACAAGACCGCCTTGAAAAAAAAAAAAAGTTTTTAAACGATTGTATACCCTGTATTAAAATTTGAAAGATATCGTGACCTATTGAAGACAAGATAACATAGAGGATTAGGACGCAGCTCACCAGTATTGAGGGGACATTGTCCATCAGAGCCACCCACGGCATAGAGGTAGCCCCCCAGCACGGCGACTGCCACCCCCAGGCGGCGGGTGTTCATGGACGCCACCTTCGTCCAGCGGTTGTGCTGGGGATCATACCTGCGGGAGAGGGACCAATGTAACGGGAGAGGGACCAATGTAACGGGAGAGGGAACGTTGAGGCACGAGACGTCCTCTGCCCTCACCTCTCGACGACGTTGAGGCACGAGACACCGTCCTGGCCGCCCACGGCATACAAGAAGCCGTCGAGGACGGCAACGCCGACGCTGGTGCGGCAGGTGCTGGTGGGCGCCACCTCGCAGGACCACTGGTTCGTCTGCGGGTCATACCTGCCGGGGACAATGTAGAAAATTGTGAAGCGACCGTACTCAAATCACTTGGTTCAATAATCCGACTTTCTTAAAATGTAGACCGAATTCTACGTTGTAACCTAATCATGTATGCCGATTATTCCACTGAAGACTTTTGCCCAGCTTGCATCTTGTTTCAATTCCTTCCTAAACCATGTAGTCTCAGTCTCACCAGCTAGCTTCAGAACCTGCACTACTTTAGACAACTGCTTCAGTGCACCGTCACGTGGCATAGAACAATATTACAGCGCTATGATTAAAATAATTTATAAAAAGTTATACATTACAGAAACGCACGGAAAAAAAACCACCTTTGCACATTTTAAAGAATACTGAATAACTTCAAGAATAATATGATAAAAACATCATGATATTTCTACCAGAGGTGATAGGAAAATAAGAAGCTGACGCTGTTAAGATTTCACCTCTCGACGCTGTTGAGGTAGCTCTGGCCATCGTGCCCCCCCACGGCGTAGAGGAGGTCAGCGAGGACGGCGACGCCGACGCCACAGCGCCGTTTGCTCATGGGCGCCACGAGACGCCACTCGCACGTCGTCGGCTCGAACCGCTCCACGCTCGCGATGGCGTCCCCGCTGCACCAACCGCCCACTGCCGGGTCAGAGGCTCGGTTAGAGGCTTTAGAGAGGCTTAGTGAGGCTACAGAGAGAAGCTTAGTGAGGCTCAGTGAGAGGCTTGAGAGAGAAGCTCAGTGAGGTTACAGAAAGAAGCTAAGTGAGGCTTCGGAAAGAGGTTCAGAGAGGCTTCAACAAGAGCAGCTTTGAGTACCATCAGTCTGATGCTGGTCTCGCTGCCAAATAAGCAGTGCTAATAACAGCAGCTCTGACAAGACAAGCCTCAATAATGAGACGAGAAACGTCCCGCACGTCTCACTCGTACGTCCTGCACGTCTCACCCGTACGTCCCGCACGTCTCACCCGTACGTCCCGCACGTCTCACCCGTACGTCCCGCACGTCTCACCCGTACGTCCCGCACGTCTCACCCGTATGTCCCGCACGTCTCACCCGTACGTCCCGCACGTCTCACCCGTACGTCCCGCATGTCTCACCCGTACGTCCCGCACGTCTCACCCGCACGTCTCACCGGTACGTCCCGCACGTCTCACCCGTACGTCCCGCACGTCTCACCCGCACGTCCTGCACGTCTCACCCGTACGTCCCGCACGTCTCACACGTACGTCCCGCACATCTCACCCGTACGTCCCGCACGTCTCACACGTACGTCCCGCACGTCTCACCCGTACGTCCCGCACGTCTCATCTGTACGTCCCGCACGTCTCGCCCGTACGTCCCGCACGTCTCACCTGCAAAAAGCACCTGTCCCGTCTTGATGGGCTTGCGGGGACGTGTTCTGGGTCCCTGCATGAGGGGACGCTCTTGTGGCAGCAGCAGGTAGTTCTTAGCCTCGTCCACCAGGTCCCGGCATCCCTGTCACCAACACAGGGAGTATACAATACGCAGCATTCACTGTATCGTGACAATACACAAGAGATTTAGAGCTCAAAGTCCGAAAGAACTACCTATACAATATACACCATTCACTGTATTTTGAAAATACACAATAAATTCATCCCACAAAGTCCGAATAACGCATTCAAGAGCTTGTCACAATGGAATCGACAGAAGTTGTTCTACATTTGTGGATTAAATGTACTGACTTTTGGGTAATTTTTCAATAACAAACAGATTTACTACTATTACGACGACGTAATTTGTATGTTGCCAAGTGGCGACAACAAACTAAGTTAGTTTGTTAGTGTAGTGGCCAAATGTTTACATGCGCTTCAGCTATTTAGCTATCTCGCACCGAAAGTCAGGATGAACATCACCATAGAGGTGGAAGGTCTCAATTATTCATCACCCACAAGGGGCGGAAGGTCTCAATTGTCCAGCCCGCTGAAGCTGGCTCGAAAGGAGCAGCGTTAGCATCTCAAAGAGACGAAGTGACAAGGAGGGACAGGTGAAAAGCAACAGAAACGAAGACACTCGAACATGAGGTCGCTTACACGGGACGTCGGCCGCCCGCACGAGAGAGACAGAGAAGGGAAATGTAAGGAATCCTACCTACATAATAACTTAACCCCACAACTGAGACCTGCAGTCAGACACCGCGAGCTCATCGGTGGGGCGCTCAGGATCAATCCCCCTAGGAACGCGAAATCCCATAGGACTTCTGACGAGCACAGACACCCGTCAGAAGTCCCCCCTGAGGGGGACAACAAACTAAATCTCGATGCCACCAACTAGGCAGATTGCAGCAAAAAATTAAAGTAAATAAATCCCCTGACCTCGTGAGCAACACTGACCTCGTCGCTCTTGATGAGGAGGTCGGAGCCCACGGTGCCCACCAAGAACTTGGGGCTCAGCAGCGGCAGGCGGACGTGTTCCAGCACCTGCGACACAGGAGGTGACTTGTGACCTTGTCAGCATGACCTCATCATCATGACCTCATTATCATAATCTCAACATCATGACTTCATTATCATAACCTCTTCATCATGACCTCATTATCATCGAGCTCATCTCAGAAACTTTATGAAGAATATTCTCATTTTTTTCGGTAGTTTCATTGCTGCATCAAATTATGTTGAAAATGATGAAAGCTTAGATACGTCAGAGAATTAAATGAGCGCATCAAAACAAGAAAATAAATAAAATTTGAGTATTGCAAAAAGAAACTTCCATGGATACGACATTAAAAGCGTTAATAATAATAATATCACGACCATTGAACCGAGCTATAGAATCGACGGCCGTGGCTAAAACTGACGTGTATCATGCAACTGACCTGCGCCAGGTGTAATGCAACTGAACTGCGCCAGGTATCATGTAACCTGCCTTATATATCATGCAACAGACCTGCGCCAGGTATCATGTAACCTGCCTTATATATCATGCAACTGACCTGCGCCAGGTATCATGTAACCTGCCTTATATATCATGCAACTGACCTGCGCCAGGTATCATGTAACCTGCCCTATATATCATGCAACTGACCTGCGCCAGGTATCATGTAACCTGCCTTATATATCATGCAACTGACCTGCGCCAGGTAGGGGCGGCGGTCGGCGACGTTGTACTTGACCCAGGCCATGACGGCGCTGAAGACCTGCTCCTCTGAACGCACGTTCACCTCATCGCTGCTGATGATGTCCATGAGCTGGTTGACGGGCAGCTCCAGGAACTCCTCGCTCTCCATCACCTGCACATCACCGTATTTATGAGAACATCGCCATATTTATGAGGAACTCCTCGCTCTCCATCACCTGAACATCACCGTATTCATGAGAACATCACCATATTTATGAGGAACTCCTCGCTCTCCATCACCTGCACATCACCGTATTCATGAGAACATCACCATATTTATGAGGAACTCCTCGCTCTCCATCACCTGAACATCACAGTATTTATCATCAAATATCAGCTAATTAATGGGCAGCTCGAGGAACTCCTTGCAACAACGAGTCTCTCTGTCGTTTGTCTCTGAATTGTATTGAGTTTTCACTACTGGACTTCACTGATAAATAAGCGGCTTAAATGGAAACAATTTCCCGTGACAAATCAGAGTAAATGGAAGAGTCTGGAGCACTAGTTTAGCAGCGTGTGGAAAACACAAAAACCATGGAATTTTTAGCAAATAGCAAAAATATTAAGAACATTTCACAGGAAGCAACCCCATTTTAGAATATATTACTAAATATTGGCCATTCAGAATTTGTGTTGCTATTCAACCAGACAACACCTCTACTTGACATGCATTACAAGACAAGGCTTATTAGCACTTCCATGTCAGTTAATTTTTCATCTGCAAAAGTTTTTTACTTTTGCATTTGTTTACAAGCAAAACACTTCCAAGTTAATCTAGAATATTTTAAGCAAGATTTTATAGGATTTGATTAGATATGACGGACCTCCTGGAAGTTGTGCTGTGTGAATTTATCGGCTATCCTGAGGAGGTCGCGGCAGGAGTGCGTGTCGGCAAAAGCTCTGATGCCCAGGCAGTTGCTGGGGTGCAGCTGCTGCTTCAGGAACTCGCAGCACACCTCCTGTATCTCCTGCATCTGTAATAGGCACGCTGCAACAACAAGCACACGTGTTACTATAATGGCCACTTCAGAAACACGGCACAGCATCAGTTATCATAGTCTATTGGTAGTTAATATTGCTGCATTCTGATAAAACTTCATTTAAATGCGAGTTTCAACTATGCACAAGGATATTGAACTACATTCTTTTAAACAGGCTAAAATAAGGATGATGAAAGCCACTCGTATGGCAATTTAAATGCAAGTATCAGTGAGTCAGTGTAGGTATATTGCATTACCTATGACTTCCATTTAATTATAAAGAACTCCATGAAACACGAGATCCCGGCGGCCTCAACAATCCTGAGATGTAGAAGTACCACATACATGCAGCATCTGCACGTTGCCCCCATACCTGCAGGCAGCAGAATCTGCACGCCTTCATACCTGCAGGCAGCAGAGTCTGCATGCCTTCATACCTGCAGGCAGCAGAGTCTGCATGCCTTCATACCTGCAGGCAGCAGAGTCTGCACGCCTTCATACCTGCAGGCAGCAGAGTCTGCACGCCTTCATACCTGCAGGCAGCAGAGTCTGCACGTCTTCATACCTGCAGGCAGCAGAGTCTGTACGCCCCCATACCTGCAGGCAGCAGAGTCTGCACGCCCCCATACCTGCAGGCAGCAGAGTCTGCACGTTGCTCTCCTCGATGGTTATCTCGGAGGTGTAGCAGAAGTTCACCAGCAGGTCCACGGCGTGCTCGTCGATGTCGCGGATGGGGACCTCGGTCTGGCGGGCCTCCAGCAGCTCCGACGTAAACATGGCGTGGAAATATGGACTACAAGCTGACAAGATCACCCTGCAAATACAAGCAAAATCAGCCACTTTATATGCTGGCTGAATAAAACATAACTGCTCATATGCATGCTATGTTAGGCACACAGAAACTTACTGCTAAAATGGACTACATAGTTCATTAGCTGCCTGTACAAACAATCACTTGACATGAATTACATGATATGATAACCGAATCACCAGAGAAATTAGAAAAAATTCCACCATCACCATTTATTAAATGGTGATGATATTGGTGGTAGTGCAAATAACCATTTATTATGGTGAAAAAAAAAAGAATATTTGCAAAGTGCAAGTGGATATAAAATAAAATTCAGTGTATGGGCAATCTCAAAAATATATTAAAAATGCACACTAATACCATGTCATACAAATGATGGATTATGAAGGAAGTATCACAAGGCACATAATTACTCATCATCTATGAGAAAAGTTTACCTGTGAGCAAATATTTTACGGGAGCCGACCATAAGCACCACGTCGCAGAGCTCGCGCCGCTTCTGTAACATGTTGATGTTGGCCAGCGCAAGTTTTGGGTGTTTGTCCGAGGTATAGCGGAGGCCAGAGGGTGAAGATGGGGGACCAAGAAGAGAAGTATCCCCCACACCCCCCACAGGTCCCCCTGCTACTGTGTTGCCTATATTCAGCAGCCCCCCGGCCCCCGTCATGCCTGGCACGCCCCCCAGACCTAGACTCTCGTCTAGCAGCATGCCTGACGTGTTGCCTCCTCCTACTGAACCTGTACATGCACAAATAAAATACTATATTTATTCTATTCAAATAGATAAATGAGCACTAAAATGCGTAATTAATTGTACAAGTTATTATAGGAATGTGTAAGCACAGCATAATAACATGTGATTAATTATAGAGGTAGCTTAGGCAAGTATTGAAACATTAGTAATAAGAATTGGCTGAATAAAAAATCGGCAAGAAAAATAATAACTAAAAGTGAATTTTTATTTTTACATACCATATCATACCTGGTTCATGTCAAAAATAAACTTTGGTTTTACATATTTGTCAGCAAAACGATACCTAATAGGCCAAGCAGCTGGAAAAGATTAGGGACTTGTGACAAAGCCCCAGAACATGTCAATGAATTATTTGTGCTGTGTTCAGCACATTGTTCTCTAGATTATTGTGCTGTGTTCAGCCCATTGTTCTCAAGATTATTGTGCTGTGTTCAGCCCATTGTTCTCAAGATTATTGTGCTGTGTTCAGCCCATTGTTCTCAACATTATTTGTGCTGTGTTCAGCCCATTGTTCTCAAGATTATTTGTGCTGTGTTCAGCCCATTGTTCTGAACATTATGGCCATTGTTCTGAACATTATGGCCATTGTTCTGAACATTATGGCCATTGTTCTGAACATTATGGCCATTGTTCTGAACATTACATACCAGGCAAAGCTGCTGCAACTGATCCTGGCACAATAGCACCACCTGCCGCCCCAATGTTGACTCCTGCTCCACCTCCTGCCACACTCCTGCTCATTGCTGCGCCTCCTGCACTGCTGGACTGCGTCACTCTCAAGTTCATCATGACTGTCTCAGTCAGTCCTTCCATGCTGTAAACAAGGCAACATATTGAGAGAACTGCTCTTGTAGGTGCATAATAACACATGATGCATGACTGTGTCAGTCAGTCCTTCCATGCTGTAAACAAGGCAACATATTGAGAGAACTGCTCTTGTAGGTGCATCTTAACATATGATGCATGACTGTGTCAGTCAGTCCTTTCATGCTGTAAACAAAGCAACATATTGAGAGAACTGCTCTTGTAGGATATAAATACAAGGTGATTCATGGAAACTTCCTAATTTGCAAAATTCAGTAAAAACCAACTATTAATGGTTTCATGACAATATAAATTTAATTGAAGAATACATTCCCGGAGTTTTTGCATCACTTGGTTATAAAGATGACACTGGGCAAATGAAAGCCCCTATTGTCAATGCATTCATTTAGTCAATTTTTGAAGTTCCATTCAACTTGCTGAAGCATTTGCACCTCATCAATAGCAATATAGAATAAAATGACAGTCTCAAGAGACATACCAAAAAAGAGCAGCTAGCCAAGAATTGCAAAATAGAACTCAGGAAATTAGTTCTGGAGCAAGCATTCATTTTTTTCATGTGGACAATATGTCAAATTACAAGACAAATTGTCACAATTGTTGGGGATACATAATAATATGCATAGGTCTTAATAATTAAAACAGTCATTTCATTTCCAATGATAAATAGCAAATAAATGCCAATGATCTCATTAAATAATTGGTGCATCATCTTTGCTGCTTACTTTAATTCTCAAATTCATTATGAAGAGCATTACATATAATTATTACATAATGACAAATTGCATAATAAGAACTTACCTAATACAGGCTACAGAACTTCAGTTATTTGGTGCATTTTACCAAGGATCACTGGCACCAAGACAATGAAATAAGATGTTTGCCACAATAATGATGCGCAAGTGACAGGAAACCCTTTAAAGTAAAATTAAATCATTATAAATGCTTTTGTAATTCAGATTTGAATGCAAATGATGAACATGTTGTAAATAACAGTATTTTTCATGAAGCTGAATTCAGACAAAGAATCTGAAAAAGTTAGAGCAGGTATTGAAATTTCCTGAGAAACCACTTGTTTTACCAGCAACAACAATCAACCAATATACAGATTGAGCTTTTGCAAAAAGAACACACTAGGTAGATGATATATGTTGAGTAGCTGGCAAGCATATTGCTGATAGTAACCATGTACTTACTGATGTTGATACTATGATTAAAGAATGGTGCTTAACATTATGAAGGCAGATTAGTTGGTAGCTAATGGCAGTGATCAATTTGCCAATCTAAGTTTGTTGCTTAGTTAGAGTCATGCTGACTTCAGCCAGTGTCCCCTACTGGTATTTTTCCTATGTGAATTAATGATCTTGATTTACATGCTTAATGATGTACAATACAGGAAGTTGTGCGTCTCATATTTAATGGTTCTGCAGTAATATTAAACAGAATCTGAGCATAACAAACTATTTTATGTGTGATTTTTCTGATTTTAATCCTTTACCATTGAAACAGTCAGGGAGCAAAGTTAATTCACTTACACAACATAAGCCATAGAACCAGCACCTGAGTGATGAGTATACAGTCTACAGAGGGCATAAAAGTTGGAATTAAATGAGCAAAGTTGCCTGGAATTAATTTATATACCATCTTGGCTTCCAGCTGCAAGTGTTTGCCTCTGACATTAGTGAATAATAGTCCATAATAATGTTCAGTTGGCTTGTAGTTGTAGCAGACCTGGCCATTGACAACGAAATGGGGTGAATTAGTTGAAACTAGATTTCAGCTATGTTGTAGGTAATAGTTTTGCTTCTTTCAAATTTTTCTTCATATCATATGCTCATATTAGAATCAAGATTAATTATGCAAATCATGAGCATGAAAAATGCACAGCACTGCAGTTGTGCAGGCTCTAATTTTCATAGATAATCTTGTTGAGTTATTGCTTTTACGTGTGGAATGGAGTTTCATACTAAGCACAAGTCCACATAGTTGATAGGTACAATAGTGTTTTTGTTATGGACATAATATCCATGATCCACCAACCAACCACCATAGCAGCCATGGTGGAATTCCAAGCACTTAGCTCCACTGGGCCCACTGCCCAACGTACCAGAGCGCTCCACACTTAACCCTTTACTGCCAAATTGGACTTTCAAGTTGCCTTTAAAAAAACACCAGTTTTCTAAGAATTTCACGCTTTCTTTAATTTTTTCAAAAAATTCACATGAACATAAAAAGTTTTAGATTTATTTTTTACATATCTGTACCAAGTTTCAAAGCTATCTGTCTGTAAATAACCGAAATAAAATTTCCAATGGAAATTTCCAATTTCTTGTGGAAATTTTATTTCGGATATTTACAGACGGATCACTTTGAAACTTGGTACACATATGTAAAAAATAAATCTAAGACTTTTTGTTCCTGTAAATTTTTCGAAAAAAAATGAAAGAAAACCTGAAATTCTTAGAAAACAGCCAAAGAGGGGGTAGGTACTGTAGAAATCTACCTCCTCCTAGGATTTTTAAGCTACAATATCAAGATGCATATCATTTGATGTGTAAGGACCTTATCTATCAATTGGTCCTTGCTGTTTTTTGAAATTCTTATTTTTGAGGGTGGGGTGGGAATTTAAAAAAAAAATTTGATTCCCACCCCACCATTTTGAATTTCCCTCCACTTTTTTCAAAATATTTTCAAAACTATAACAAAATTGAAAAAAAGCTACAACTAATCTCTAGATCTTTTATTTGCAAATCAATCAATATATCTCTCATTGCTGTATCTTAAAAACTCTAGGAGGAGATAGGTTTGCCGTGACAATAAGTGTGAATGTTCAGTAGAGCACAACAAAGTCCCAAGCGCCTTGAAATAGGCATTCCAGGTGGCAGGGATACAAGACTAGACGTTACTGGAGCTGAAATTCAGTCAAGGATGGTGGGAACAACTGCATGAGCACCATCCCACACGACAGCAGCCAGGTAACTAAAGATCAGCATCTTCAGACCGTCTATTTATGCGCCTGGCCACTGCAAACTGGCAAACCAGAGCTTTTTTGGAATCAGTTTAGTTTTATTTTACTCAATAACTCAAGATTTAAACCAATTTCTTAAGTATGATACCGTAATGCTGTTAGTTTTAGTTTAGTTTAGTGGCCAAATGTTTACTAGTGCTTCAGCTATTTAGCTGTCTTGCACCGAAAGTCAAGATGAACATCACCATAGATGTGGAAGGTCTTAATTATTCATCAACCACACGGGGCAGAAGGTCTCAGATGTCCAGCCCGCTGAAGCTGGCTGGAAAGAAGCAGCGTTAGCATCTCAAAGAGACGAAGTGACAAGGAGGGACAGGTTAAAAGCAACAGAAACGAAGACACTCGAACAAGAGGTCACTTACATGGGACGTCAGCTGCCCGCACGAGAGAGACAGAGAAGGGAAATGTAAGGAATCCTACCTACATAATAATTTAACCCCACAACTGAGACCTGCAGTCAGACACCGCGAGCTCAGCTGTGGGGCGCTTAGGAACAATCCCCCTAGGAACGCGAGTAATGCTGGTAGCCATATTTTACTGGTCTAGGGTAAACGTGGTATATCCCGACATCGTGGTAATTCCGACACTTCTCAACTTTTTCCTTTATATTAAGCTTTTTTTTAGTTCCACGCATTTGTTGATGGTTGAAATAGTGACGTCATACTATTGCGCACCATACTATTGCGCACCATACTATTGCCAAAAAACTAGGTCTGGGCCATCTGGCGGGAAAATGTTGAGATCCAAAGAGAGACAGTGTCGAATTACGAATTAGTAGAGTTTGAAGCGCGGCCAGAATTAGTCTCACAAAATGCCAAATTTAGTCACGCACTGTGTCAGAATATATGGATTTGGTAGGTTTGCATTCTAAAGGCTTTTAAATAAATATTGCAACATTTTGTGACATTTCATTGTTACTGGCACTCCACTGTGCAGAGAGTGAATGAATATTGCAAGATCTTTAGTGACGCTTCAGTAGCAAAATTTATGCCTTCAGAAGATCTTTTGACACATTTAGATTTAAATTCTTTCATTAAATATATTTGTCAGTCTTCGGCCAACTATTTAAAAAAAGTAAGGTTTCCAATATGTTGGATTGATCAGTATGCAGTGAAGCTTGTCCGGAAATCAGTTGCGATGAGTTCCCACCAAAAAAATGTAAACATCAAGTTTACGATTACGTAGTTGCGGTCACATTAGAGTGGTCAGACTGCATTATCACATGTTCAGTTGATACTTGCTGTACAATCGGACTGTTTTTAGGGTAAAATTAGTTATTTGGAGTAACATGTGCATGCAACCTTGTAAATAAGTTTGTGGCTTGTAAATAGTTTTTCATTACTCAGCGTAAATGGCTTTACATTAAAAATTACCTGGCGACGCATCTTAAAATTACCCGGCGATGCTTAGGGCTTAAAAGTTTTGAGAGTGACGTAAAGCAAACAGAACTCGAGTTGCACGTACGGTATTTTTTTTATAGCCATTCATTTTTTGCTACGTCCTTAAAGTGTCAGAAATTGGAATATACCGTGTTTACCCTACTTTTAGGACTCAAAAATGAACTTCAGGGAGAGTCTAAATTCTAAAAAACTCTCTGCTTTGTCACTATGAGCAGCCAGACATTTTCGACTATCTTAAATGTGAAAGAACCCCCACCCCTAATGCCTAGGCCTCAAGTTCATTTTTGATACCTACTATAAGTAGCCCAGAAAAGTATCATGGATACCTACCAACTACCAAGTACCAGCATTATCATACAGAAAAAATTGGTTTAAATCTAGAGTAAATGAGGTTATGAGGAAATTAAAAATGAATTTATTCTTAAAAATCTCTGGTTTGTCACTATGCGCCTAACCCTTTCGCCCTGACCCTGAGTTCCGCGAACTGTCATCAAGGCATAAATCAACATACAGAGATGATTTTGGTACCGTTTGATAGGTCTGAATGTGAAATGTCAGCTTTAAGGTGAGACTAAAAACCAGAAAAGTGAAATTTGCAATTTTTGACTCAGAAAATCAGGCAGTTTGAGTAAAGCCAAGGGTTAAGAATGGGTGCACCGTGCGAGAAAATCAAGTCTGAAAATGAGATTGATTTTGGTGCTGAAGGCCTGAAGTGCTGTAGCTAATTGGAAAAGAAATACTTTTTCTAAAATATCAAAATATATCATATAATTTTAGTAGGTATGATTGTAGGCTATGAAATCTCATGGCTCTGTCAAACAGTCAAGTGTCAACTGTGTCAAGTCTGTTCATTTGATTGAAAAAGTTGCTGTTTGCACTTTGCAATCATGTCAGTGAGGTAGTTAAAAATAGTCTTGTACTCTATTATCTTCTTCAGCATTAATGATTAAAGAATAGGCCTGGTCCACCTGGATACTGGTCATTACTGGATAGGCCTGTCAAATCATCAAATGAACTGATTCTAAAAATCTTTGGTTTGCCACTAATAATTAGTGGCAAAGCAGACGCAGAGAGTTTTTTAGACTCTCCCTCAAGTTCATTTTTGACTTTTTGAGTCCTATAAGTAGACCAGTAAAGTATCCTTCAACTTCAACTTGGAGCGCTCAGCGCTTGACCATTGGACTAGAACAAGTCTATAAAATATGGGACGCTTCCTGTAAAATTATAATAACATGAAAGCTTAACACTTAAGTTAACAGTTATAGACTTATAGTTAGAAGTTTAGAACTATAGCCTAGTCTTGCATCTAGCCTGATCTGGGTAATGTAGGTATTCATAATTTTTTCACATATTGAATCACCCATGAACGTAATTACGTTATGATACCATATAGGCTATATAATAAGGGTGGAAAGATATAATTCTGAATGGCGAACAAGCCAATATCGACAACTTTTCCCATATTCCTTATGATAACAAAGCGTGTACAAACGTTAGGGCTTCAATTTATTATTGTATACAATACAACAGTTACAACTGAAACGGTCCCAGCTGCCAGCGCTGAAGTCCGCGTCCGCGACGAATAATGGACTGCTGGACATTAAAGTCGCTCAATGACTCGATCACCAGTAACAATTAATGTTAAGTTGTTAACATTTCTTAAAGCAAGTAATAACGAAATATATAATATCCATCTTGATCATCATAAAATGTTGCCTTACTGTCCATAAACCACAACATCTTTCCAATGGAGATCTTCTCACCGTCTACCTAGCATAGGTAAGGAAAGACTACGATCCTTCAAATTATTTATTGTCATAATACCATAAGTATATGGAAAAGCAAATTTATTAAAAATATTCCAATGATTAACCAAAGATGAATTTTCTGTAAGTAGGTCAAGAAAAAATAAAAATGAGTTGATGTAATACAATGTTTTAGGAATCGAATACCTAAGCTAACGATTCACAAAAATTGAGAATTTATCTACTGAGCCGCTAGAAATAGAAGACTCCTGTTTAACAGTTTTGCTAACGTAATTACACAAATAAAAGCTGCAGATTTTACACATTAACTGCAACTATGCAGAAGTATCAAGCAACGTTTAAAATGAAGCTTTAAAAATTAGGTTGGTGCATGAAATATCAATCAACCTAAAGTAGATGCAATGCCAGGGCTCGGTTTCTCGTAGGAAAAGGTTTTGTTTCAGTTTATCAATAAAAAACACCAATAAGTTCAGAGAACGAAAAAATTAACTAAGTAAGTCTCAAGTAACATAAAAAGGTATAATTTAACCAAAACAGGGACCTGAGAAACGTTTCTCAAAGTCTGAGAAGCTGCAAATGTAAATAAGAGATCACGCTGTGAGCGAGCGACGACGCACTTCATTAATGGGCCGAGTAACACATTCATACTTGCCGACAGGGTCGTTGTGAGGTAAACGTAAGTATAATTATTTTTGTGTAAAACGCTTACTTTCATCGAATACGCTTACACTTCGTGAAGAAACTTGTAACTGATATGTACCTTGATGACTTCACCATGAAGATTTAAGTTGATACAAAAACTTAGAAGAACAGTCAACTTTTCCAATAATTCACAATAATTAGGCATAGGAAACAAAGGTTTTTTACATCCATACAGCTGATTTTTGCCTCGAAAATGGAGATTTAGGTATACGTGTCTGCACAATATCTCTACCTATCATCGGTAAATTTTCACATGCATTCCCAATAAAGACTGACTCAGTTTCAACAACTTTTTTCAGTATTATCCGATATTAGGTATGCAGTGACGATTTATCGTTCCATGAAGAGTAACAGCAATCAGTTTTTCTTAACATACCCGGTCATGATGATGCGTCTGCTCTCCGGGTGGAGCATCCGGTGAAAGTCTTGATGCATCGGCTGGATCTCCTCGAGCAGACTCATCATCTAGCTCAAAATCACCCGAATTCAAAAGAGAGTCAACAAACTGACGATGTGGATGATCGTTCACTACAATATCCTCGAATGTCGAACAAATGATGCCGTTATTAGGGTCACGGCAAACGTTCTTGGAGAAATATCCGTTATGAGTATCCTGATTTGAGTGGTTCTCGCTGGCTGTGGACGCCCTGGCTGGCTGCCGTGGACATGATGAAGTGGTGGAGGTGCTTTGGAATGAAGTACCGATCGTTGTGGCAGACGAGGCTTGAGTAGTGGAGCTTGAGGCCAAGCTGTCAGTGCTTCGGTGAGCCACGACGGAGCCTCGAGTGTCAGCCGCAGATGACGACGTCACCAAAACAGGTTCATCTGAAAATTCCAAGTTATTAGAAGAACTGCAGGATGGCACATAGTAACTTGTTGGCAATAACTTAAAATAAGTAACAGTGTATCATAACAAAGGGCTAACCTCGCCATAAAAGCAAAGACGTTCAGAGGAGATTCACTTGGTCGGGAGTCGTGATCACGTCCCAAACCTAATGACAATTGAAACTGAACATAATTCCTACATTTAAAAATGTGTTTCATAAAATAACACAGATACACCATAAAAATATGTACTTTTTAAATTTTACTATAACACACCATGGCCAGTTGCTCGCACCAACACCATGTACAGAAATAACGTGAATTATCAGAGAAGCTGACACTACTAGGCAGCAGACGTGCATGCAAGAGTTCGCTATTAACGTAATGACAATACGTGTCCCTCACCGCTAGTTAGGTTGGTGGCGAGTGCCTCCGTCGCTGGCGGGAGGCGCGGCACAGCAGCGGTTGGGTCGTCGACGTAGTCGTTGTGCGGGTCTCCGGCGGCGTCGTGCGAGGCGTGGCCTGAGTTTTGTCTGCGAGCCTCACCAAGTCGGTGCTTTGATCGCGCTAAGAAATATACAATTATGTCAGCATCTCAAGTTGAGTTCATATTATTTGGTTAGTAGTAATATCATTAGTTTGTTCAAGTTGAACATAAACAGCATCTATAAAGCAAAGAAATTGAAAAGCAATTTTCAATATGAAAAGCAACCATAATTATGCGAGTATAAAGCACAATCGACCAAAAGACCGAAATTAACTCAGAATAGCTTGCTAACACCTGAAGAAAGAAGAAAATTTAAAATTATTGGCCAGCAATACATGCCAGTTAACATACGGAAAATACTTCACGAATACAATCTTCTACTAGTCGATCACGGTTCCGCATGCTTGGCAAAGTACGGAAAAGTGCAATAAATAAATTCCTACATCAACTTCAGCAATAAATTGGCATGTAATATTGTTGATCAATCTTAAAATTAGTTCCTTCTTCAGGTAAATGGATATTTTTCCAGCCCAATTGCTGTCCCGCATAGTTTATCCCTCTACCGCCTGACACGGTTAACAGGAGCAATATTGTCACGAGCATACTCCCCAAAAAAGGATACGTTCTAGTGAGCGCAAAATGATTTGCACTGATGGTTGCCGCCACGTACGACAACTTCAAATGTAAAATGTTCTCTGTTGCATACAAACGTCCTCAGGTTGCTACACTCAATAGTTTACGTATAATAAGTTGAAAGTTATGTTCCCGGAAAGTGACATACGGCTGTATAGGGTTCAGTATACAGTTGTACGCAGTCCGCATCAGCATTCGTCATGACGTCGCATGCATGAGAATGGCCGGACAAGTGTAAAAATTACCGTTGTAGAGTTCGGAAAGGCCACCCGCCCTATTTTGCTGTGTACCGTCACACTGAACAGACTTTGGAACTATAGGTAACAGCTCTGATGTCTTTGATCGACTTGACAACGCTTATAGTTCTTATCTATTTTAAATTGTAAATCGACAGTTTTCATTCATTGCTCTGCCCAGTTACCTGTCTATTAAGATATCAATCTCTTACATGTAAACGCAAAGTCACCTTTGAAAAAGCCTTTTAGCCGTGCAGCCACGCCATTATTTTGAGATGAGCCACCGCGAAGAATTACCGCATCCTGAACTCCATTCGCCTGTATGAGTTCAGGTTGAGAAGAGACGCTGTCCGGAGTCATAATTCTAGAATGAGGCGCCGTCACATGACGACGGGGCGAGCTCACTCGGTCACTGGACGAGACTTGAACTTCATCAGCGATGTTACCGCTGGCACCATTGGGCAGACTTCCGTTGCTAGCAGCTCCATGGTTTCTAATGTCATATCTCTCCACGTTGTTGCTGCCAGAGGTAACCGGGAACCGCAGTCTCTCGTGCGTTCTTGTGCTGCTTCCGCCAGAGGCAATAGAGGAGCCAAGAAACGTTGTGAGGGACGGCGTGGTAGTCCCAGCAGGGGAAGGTGAAATATCACGGGTAATATTAAGAGATACGGCAGAGTCACGGGTAGGCACGGTTTCCGTATTAGTAGCCAGCGTCGAGATACGTGAGCTTGGCCCGATGATGGGAGTAATCGGATTGGGAGATGATACAGCGGACGGTAAAGCATTACCATTAGGAAAGTTGCTCTTATCCATGCAAGTTGAGTACGTAGGCATTGTGACGGAACGAGTCATGGCGATGGATTCAAGTATTTCTGAAGGAAGCACAAAGGAGGAGGACTCCATGTAGGACTCGTGTAGCTCTGAGTCGGAGTGTGTCCGTGCAGACTCAGGAAAGGTGGTTGGGTAAGAGCGTCCTACCGTCCGCAGTTCTTCAAGGGTGAGATTAGCCGCGCTACTGATGGCGCGACTCTGGTGCATCATATTCAGAGAACCTGCAACAAAAAAATTTAGATTACTGTTATTCATTTATGTCATCAACATACGCAGAGAATATGAATGTAAAGTGAACCTAGGATGTATATAAAGGCCATGTTAGCATGGAAAATCAAACTGCAATGATCTCCTTCCACACGTTTCATCATCAACGTCTAAACTGTTCATTATCGGTCAAATCAGGCAAAGCAAATCCCATTGACAACAACTCACTGTTGAAGGTCGAGCCGTCTGATCGGGTCATGTCTAAATAACTAGAGTCCTGAGAATCAGTAACTTGCGACCGCGGGGTCCAAAGCAACTGGTTGTCATTCAAGGCACTGCCGTTGACGCTACTGAAACTCGGATCACAACACCATCTACTGGCACACGGGGTGGAGCTGGTGTGACCGTCGGAGTCGGGTCCTAAGTGGTTGGGTGACTCCAGGTTACTTTCAAGCAATTCTTCGGTTGGAAGAGGCGGCAGAGAGTCATGTGGGCTCCGGTAAGACGGCAAAGCAGCGGGACTATTTTCATAATTAAATCTATCTTCGTGGGTTGAAGAAATACGAGGAACTATCGAAGCGTCAGAGCAAACACTAATATTTGTAACTGACTCTTGCGTTGTAACCTTTGCAGAAACAGAACTACCAGAAAGTGAAGGTAGCTGAGAATTATTCGAAGAATTCGTAGGTGATGGTGCTCGCGCATTGCTATCTTCGTCCAAATTGCAATCGATGCTCTTGCTTCTGACTCCATCTAAGGGTTTAGTTTTAGTTTCCCTAGAATTAGACTCGTCTGATCGCTGTCTGCGGAAGACAACAGGCCTTGCACGAGGGCCTCCTAACGTGACCGATTGCATACTTTCTTCAAAGAGACCAGCGTGAAGCACAGGCCTCGGAAGAGACACCGTGTCATAATTGGCACCAATAGTGCGGTGCAATGGCAATTCTTTTCTGCTTTTTGCGCAAGTCTCGCGATCCGAATTATTTACGGCAGCATTTTTTAGAGCACGTTCCCCTGTTCCATAGGTGGCAGCGGCCTCACTTCTGGCAGTTGTTTTCGATTCAAAAACTCCTGTCGACTCATGGGCTCCATCTGACGAAGGAGAGCGACGGAGGACTTGATGTCCCTGGACTTGCTTCACATGACACCCAATTTTGTGCTCCTTTGATCCATCAACACAAGTTGTCACTTCTGAGATTGGCGTAGCTGAAGCGCAAACAGAAATAGTCGTGGAATTGACAGCCAAATCCAGACATTTTTTGGGATGTGAAGCACACAGTAAAGAGGGACTGCAAGTGAAGCGCGACCGCCTTGGGGAAGCAGCGTTGCAGGATAAGTCATGGCTGCGGTTGCTGCCTGTGGAGGAGGTCCTTGTGATATCCTTAGATCTCGGGGACTGGAGGCAGTCCGCAATGCCGGTACTGCAGCCAGTAGAGCTACGAGTGAAGCCCTCAGCTCTCGGAGAGTGGAGGCAGTCTGCCCTGGTGGCGCTGCAGTTCGAGAGCTCAGAGAGGTTCGGCGGAGCTTCGAAATCCGCCAGCGACTCGTCCGTTACCAGCAGCTAGTCAAACACAAGAAATGTTCAAGCATGGGTAAGTTACTATGAGTGGTGAGTGAGAGAGCTACTCATTAAAAAAATAGCAGCAAAATCATGGTATTATTTCGGAATTCACACACGTTTTTATGAATAATAAGCGAGTTTACATTCTCACTCATAGGAAAAATGATGCAAAATTGCTTGGTGATAGAAAGACAACAGAAAAAAAACACCCATTAAAATTATTTCCGAGCTACACAAAATTGCAGGCGATACTGAGCCCAATGATCGGCCCAGTATAGAAGTAAAGGAGCGTCAGGTGAGTGTGACTTCAAAAAAAATGAGGCGGTCTTTACAAATGTAGTAAACTATCGATCGACAGCCAGCTGTACAAAATCATCAACCAACAGATATCGAGTTCCCCCTAACCAACTAAATGAACTAATACTGAGCAACAGCTACCAGATCTCTCCGCATAATATATAGTATTGAGCAACAGCTGCCTGATATCTCCGATTAATATACATTGAGCACCAGCTACCTAATATCTTCAATTAACATAGGGCTTCGGCGCCATCACAACAAATGGGCAGCAGCAGGCGGCGTACATAGCGAGTCGCAATAACAAAGAGCAGATGACACGCACAGCGGGACGAACTTTTGCAGTTCGGGATGAATTCATCTCCTAAAGTGCCTTATAATTGATGGATCTCAAACCCCTCTCGTTGGAAAATTAAACATAAAAAGAAGACTACAAAATAAACCCAGATTTAAAGCCAGCGTTACTGGAGGGCGTACGGCAAGATATTCGAGCCTCTCAGCGAGATTGTCGTGGGCGTTGGCCTGGGCCAGCCTGTCAGGGGTGAGGCCATCGCAGTTGGGCAACCGCACGGCCTCCCGCCACCCCGGCACCGTCAGCAGCGCCGCCGTCAGCTCCAGCAGCCCGTGGTGCGCCGCGAAGTGGAGCCACGTCGGTAGATGACTTGGCGAGCGACAGTCTCCAGGTGCTGCGAACAAAGGAAAGTTTAATATTGAATGATTCGTTACATTTGTTTATGTAAAGAGGAGTTCAGGAGAGCTACGGCCATGATGGCCGCCTACAAATCGTATTCCCAGGATAGCCAGGTGAGTTTAGCATAGAAGCATCGCTATTTGGAGCGCAACGCTTCATAAAAAATTCATTACATTCTGTTTAGCGCAAGAAGATCTCACTTATATAACATTCCCCCCCCATACAACCGCCCTCTTCTCACTCGTCATTAAATCAGTAGGCGTTATTTTGGACACGTAGAGAAACAGGAAACTAAACCGCTAATGAATAACTGATTATATAAATAGAACTACAGGATCAACGCGGATAATAAGAACGCAATAAGAACCCGTACGCGGTTGTGCGCTGCTGCAGGAGAGGCGGGAGGGCGGCGGGAGGTGTGCTGCTAGTGGGGCGCCCGTGAAGGGCGGCAGACCGCGGCGCAGGCAGGAGGCAAGGTGCGCGTCTAGGCTCCTGGGGGCGACGCCCAGACTCTGCACGGAGGGGAGAGGAGTGAGCGTCACGAAGGGCTTGCCCGACACGAAGGGCTTGCCCGACACGAAGGGCTTGCTCGACACGAAGGGCTTGCTCGACACGAAGGGCTTGCTCGACACGAAGGGCTTGCTCGACACGAAGGGCTTGCTCGACACGAAGGGCTTGCTCGACAAGCACACAACACACCTGACTCATGACGTCAGCTGCACACAACACACCTGACTCATGACGTCAGCTGCACACAACACACCTGACTCATGACGTCAGCGCCGTCTGACAGCGTCAGCAGGAGGGCGGCGATGGTGTCTTGTCTGCTCTCGCATTTTATTTTACGGGCGCCGAGCGTCGCCCCCGGCAGCGCCAGCGTCACCTCCACCAGGCGAGACGTGCGCATCGCCTCGTCTGTGGGAGGAATAGGTCAGCTGCAAGGTCGCTCTTAAGGGAGGGCAACATTATTGTCTAGTGGCGTATGTCGCTAAATTTTTCTCATTTGAAATGCGGTGCTAAATTTCACCCAATTTACAAGCGGTCGACCACAGGGGCTCCGATATATATCATGACGGCAAATAATTATTTCTGAGCATCAAATAACTCCTGAGGAACCTCAGCCACTGACCTGGCATCCTGAAGGAGACGCAGTAGGGGTTGTGGTACTTCCAGTTGTGCACGCGCGTCGCTGTGACGCCTTCAAGCATCACATGGATCACAACGTCGTCCCTAGCGACGCCCTCCAGAGACACAAGCTCTCCCTGTCCCGCCCCTGAGTCTGAGTCCTCCACCAGCAGGTAGACCTGACGCTGGCTCTGTCAACGAGACGACGCGAGGAGTTACGGGTCCAACATAAACATAACATAATATAACATAACATGATCATAACATAGTTATGTCGGCGCTGAAGTGTAGGCCTGATGTGGCCTGTCGCCGATTCTTTTCCTTTTCGTGCCTTGTTCACAGAAGATCTAAACTCGTGTCATTTGACCGGATCTTTTCATGACTGACGATAGTTTGAAGTAGCTACTAGACTTCCACCGGGTTCGATAAGGAGCGAGGCATCGACATACAGAGACATGAGTGAACAATAGGCGACCGAGGCAATACAACAGAAGATGTTCGTGTTTACTCGCCGTCGGAATCAAGTTTAGCTGACATTAGCATGACGCTCCGAGTATGAACGCGTTCAAGAACAGACTAGATAAAGCTATGGAAAAATATATGTTCAGACTTGAAAGGCCTAGCACCATATCGAACCCGGTGGAAGTCTAGTAGCTATTGCAAACTATCGTCAGTTTTGAAATGATCCGGTCAAATGACACGATTTTAGATCTTCTGTGAACAAGTCACGAAAAGTACAAGAATCGGCGACAGGCCACATCAGGCCTACACTTCGGCGCCGACATCACTGCGTTATGTAATGTTATAACTTGCAGAATATTTAACATGAGGATACAACGCCATACAACTCACTAGTTGAGCAATACATTTACCGTCAAGACACGTTGCCTGAAGGCGTCTCAGAGGACGCGGTTCTCACCTCCGTCACCTTGGAGGGCGAGATCCTGAAGGCACCACGGGAAGGCTCCTCGCTGTACCCGCTGTACACGCGACTGCTGCACAGCACAGACAGCGCACGGCTCACCACAGCGGCGCACAGCCACACGCTGGGCTGTGCCACAGTCAGCAGTGGCCACTCTTGGAATGATATCAATGCTGCAAGATACAAGCCATTACCAATGTGCTGGTAACTCATGAGTGCTTAACATCGATGCGCACAGTAGCAATGTTCATGGAGTATATCAAAATACACGAGTATCATATACGGACAATTACGGCTAAGTCTTGACATTACAATGATAACATGGCTAACGCAATCGATAAATGTGTAATAAAGTTCGACGTATAACTTCTAAATGTAAACCAGAAACGCGGCTGTAGCAAACCATTAACGCGTGCGAATAATAGATTTAGTAAACCAGGACCGCGGATGCAGTAAAGCATTAACATTAACTGCGGATTACACGCTTCCTCCGAGCACTAGGAAGAGTACATCAGCAAGGAAGCTTCACCTCCAAGATGGCGGTCGTTGACGTGGTCGCAGGAGGTGCCGACGAGGAGGCCGAGTATTCGTCTGGGGACGAGCACGCAGCCGAGCTCCAGCTGCGGGTCGTTGACGTGGCTCAGGAAGCCAGGCGTCATCACCACGATCTACGGCAGCAATAATAACTCAATTATTGATGCAGGATAATGTATCAAAAACTTCTCTAGTTCCAGACGGATCAATGTATTACGGGACCAGTAATAACTCAAAATTTGATGCAGGATATTGTATTAAAAACTTCTCTCTAGTTCCAGACGGATCTATGTATCAATTTAATTCATAAAGTAAGTTTATAAGCTTGAAGGATGACGCACCTGTACCCTGGCGGAGTGCAGTCGCTGTGCTAGGATGGGAGGAACGCTGGGACCAAGGATACGCTCGACGTTGCGACACTCCACGCTTGATAAGTCGAAATTGAACAATTATAAGCACATTTATCTATGATATATTTAGAGCGTTTGTAATTATACATATCACGTATTAAGTGGAGGGGGTAAAAGAGGAGCTTCATTGTATGAATTCATCTATAAAAATCAACATCATAACGTGCTATACAGGCGACACAACAGGACGATATATATCAATGTATGTATCATAGAAGTAAGATATACAAACGATATATATCATAGAAGATACAAAATGCATAGTTTAAGGAGACAGCGAGAGGGGGCATTATGACAGCGGGAGAAATATAATAATAAAAAAACAAATATTACATAATTTCCACAAACCCAACTATGCCAAACTGAAAAAAAGAACAACAAACAGAACATGGAGAACTAGTAAACAATGAACATACGCGGCGTCGACGTACAGCTCGACGTACCTGGGGCGATGATGTATCTTCTGTCGACATGAACCAGCAACCGGAACCCACGTGAACCCGGTTTGTGGACCACTCGCCCCGCCGGTACAGGCGCTGCCACCACTCGCCCCGCCGGTACAGGCGCTGCCACCACTCGCCCCGCCGGTACAGGCGTCGTCCCCCAGGCGGTACGTGAGGGCGCTCGTCAGGAGGGAGGCAAGGTAGCGCGCCCACGGGGCGCCGTCGCTGGCGTGCAGGATAACAACCTCGCTGCAGGCGCCTCCTGTGGGACAACAAGAGATAACAGGATAACAACTTCGCAGCAGGAGCCTCCTGTGGGACAACAAGAGATAACAAGATTACAACTTCGCAGCAGGCGCCTCCTGTGGGACAACAAGAGATAACAGGATTACAACTTCGCAGCAGGCGCCTCCTGTAGGACAAGAGATAACAGGATTACAACTTCGCAGCAGGCGCCTCCTGTGGGACAACAAGAGATAACAAGATTACAACTTCGCTGCAAATGTCATCAACAGAACTACATAATTAATAGACGAGTATCGCACGTCATCTAATCACAAATCGGTTCCCAATTTTGTACGGTCATATGCTACAAACAGGTGGGGATTCCAAGTAAAACCAGACCCTGTCAAACCAACAAAAAATGCTGACTAATTACGTTTCAACTTCATTCAACCAACACCAGCACCGTAATATTTCACAATAAAAGCTGCTTCTGATGCTGAACTTTAAAATGACACGCGTCGCCGCCACGCTTCCAACATACGTTGAACTCGGGAGCTGAAGGAATGCAGTGCGGCAACGATCACGAGCGTCCCCTCCTATAAGTACGAGGGTATGTGACACTACAGGCTTCAGCCTAAGCTGTGTACACAGTACTTTTCTGTGTCTTTGCCGTTCTCAGATGATCAAAATAATATTTTTTGTCAACAAAAGGGACTTGGTCTCAATACAAGACAGATATAAACAGAAACATTAGAATCGCTTCACTCGACCACCTAACAACGTCTTTGTGTTCCCTCAGCACAGCGCAGTACAGTTAGGTGTTCCCTCAGCACAGCGCAGTACAGTTAGGTGTTCCCTCAGCACAGCGCAATACAGTTAGGTGTTCCCCTCAGCACAGCGCAGTACAGTTAGGTGTTCCCCTCAGCACAGTGCAACAGGTTACAAGAGACTCGGCAGTAGTGGGAAAAAACTCCGGTGTATGAAATCCATTGAAATTAAATTATAATTATTACTTATGTAGGATAATTTCAGGAATTTCCGCAGCATCAAATTTATTTTCGGCGCTGCGTTCCTCAAAGAGGAGAACTGCTCGGGATAATGTCAACCGGAGAGAACCTATCCCGATAAAACGAAAAGAAGAGTAGGTTCAGAGAACTATTCCCAAAGAAACGGAAATGAACGAATATTGAGAAAGCCCTGCCTGATAAAATGAAAATGGGAGAAGGTTCTGAAAAATCTTGCCGATAAGTTGAAACAAGAGGATGTTCAGAGTACTGTTGCCGATAGAACCGAAAGGATGCTTGCAGAAATGTTGTTGATAAAGTTAAAATAAAACGAAATTCGAGGAACAGTTTCTGATGGATGAGAAAGTAGAAGCTGTTCTTAGAACTGTTCATATAAGGTGATGAGCCGAGGGCAGGACAGGAAGGCTAAGTATAGGCACCACGTGAGGGTGCTCACTGCAGCTTCCGTCGCCACGCCTCTCTCAAGCCCCGCCTCCTCAGCTGCTCAGCAAAAATACGCCAAAATGTTCTGCCAAAAACTGTACAATTGTTGCTGCCTGATGCACCGCTAACAAGTCTTGACAGGCGTGGCATGTGGCCATTCAAACCCGACCAAAAGAGATGGAATTTAGGTAATATTTTTATTAAACAGGTCATGACTGGTATGCAACAACATTGCAAGGTATGCAGCAACATTGCAAGGTATGCAACAACATTGCAAGGTATGCAACAACATTGCAAGGTATGCAGCAACATTCCAAAGTAGGGCTATGTTTGCAGTTTATGCATGTGTACCCAAAATTAAGCTCAGTACGCGGAGTCAGAAAAACTCGGTAGATGAACAGTACAGTTCTAGCTAAGCTGAAAACCAAAAAGGAAGCCTACAAGCGTTATTTACAGATTCGTAGTGATGCTGATTATAACATATACACAAGAGCTCGAAATCAAGCTAAAAAACTGTCGCACCGCAGTTAAAAACTTTGAGAAAGATATTGCCTAAAATGCAAAAAAGAACCAGAAAGCCTTCTTTTTATACGATAGTTCGAAGTGCAAGACAACGATGGTATGTCTGATTTGAAAGTAGATCAACGAAAGATATCCTCTGATGAGGGCAAGGCTTACGTTTTTAATCAATCCTTTTGTAGCGTATTCACATATTAGGACTTAAACAGTATTCCCGCTATTGAGGAGCACCCAGTCGGCTAGAAGTTAACAAGTTTTGAAATTTAAGAAGAGGTTCTCACGCCTAGGTGCTCTGAATCAGGCCATGGGCCTATTTCTTCAGCGCCGACACCTATACTCTATTCTGAAACATAAAAAACTCTTGACATCACAACCGAGCTACGAGGAGAAGGCTCATAAAAGAAACGCCACAAACAGGGCCAGGCGTTTTGTTAGTGAACGGAATGCGTTTATGGGACCCGGAGGGGGGAGGGGGCCACATGTGGCACCCACACGGCCTCTGCTGCGGGGGAGGGGGCCACATGTGGCACCCTCGTCCCCCCACACACACGTCATCAACGGCGGCTCGCACCACGTCACTTCCGACCACGACACTATACCGTGCATGCACCAGCTCACCCAGACCTGTCATTGCTTTTCCCTCATTCATCTTAGATCCAAATTTACGATCATCTTTTCTCGGGAAATTTTGTGAAAGTTTTCCCTGAAAATTCGTGCGCGTTCAGGGTGAAAACAAGACCAAGGCTCGTTTCCACCCTGCATTCCTGCTGAGAACTGAACCAAGATTACATGCGATCATAATTTCCTGTTTCATATTATTGAGGTTAACGCATCTACACGCTAAAGGAAGGAAGAAATCCTTTATACAAATTCATTTGGCGTGAGTTTACGTAACATATTACGCGAGCGATACGAGTTGCAAGATCTTCATCATATTTCACGTTTAGCTAGCGAAGGTTCCTATTTTTACCCACTTGAACGCGCCAATATAAGCATAGGTTAGATAATAAATGTTGAAATTAAACATATATCGATTACCATCAATAATTAATGAATTACCGCGGCTCCGTGCCTGAAGGCACGGTCCCGAAGTAAGAGGTAAGCGGTAGAAACATGAGTAATTAAAAAATCAACATCTTGGACTACAAATCGCAATATCGGAATCAAGCACTGAATGCGAGCTAACACAAAACGATCAAGAGCAGCTATCTCAATCAATCATCACTTATGGAAAGATCGGGTTCCAAAGGCCGGATCCCTTGCGAATCAAGTCACGAAAAGTACAAGAATCGGCAACAGGCCATGGGCCTATTTCTTCAGTGCTGACACTTCTTTTCTATTCTATTCTAAGAGTTAAAGTACCGAGCGATGAATGAAGGCGTTACTGAGGCGACGTCAGTACCAGAATAATGCACAGCCTAGGTTGATATATGATGATATATGACGAGTGATAATGTTTCCATAGCCCGAGAGCGCAAGTCGACGCGACAAGAGCAAACGTCTCAAGCAATCGCGGCAACGTTGCGATGAAGACAAAACTGAAACGTAAGCACATTCCGAGCTGCGCACACACGTGCATGACACTCACGAGTGACGGTGTTACGTGTGGAGTGCCTCACTCGCAGCGACGTGCACGACACTCACGAGTGACGGTGTTACGTGTGGAGTGCCTCACTTGCAGCGACGTGCAGGACACTCACGNGAACGAAGTAGCGCGTGTACACAATAGGTTTCTTCAGTGATATCTTCATCAGAACGAAGTAGCGCGTGTACACAATAGGTTTCTTCAGTGATATCTTCATCAGAACGAAGTAGCGCGTGTACACAATAGGTTTCTTCAGTGATATCTTCATCAGAACGAAGTAGCGCGTGTACACAATAGGTTTCTTCAGTGATATCTTCATCAGAACGTACATGTGTTATCGGGGGTTGGGGGAGTTGTGGTTAGGTGCCTCAGAGGCCTATAGAGAGACGGGGGTTGGGGAGAAGCAATTCCCCACTTTTGGGGACATTCCGCTCGGCAGCCGCTCGTCATAGAGGAAAAAAAGATGTAAATGGATACGGAACTTGACGTGTAGATCAGCTTTGAATACACACATTTCTGCACATGTCCTTCACATGTCAAGAGCAGCTATACATGTAACGAAAGTAATCTTAGACCAACTTACAGTAATGGTAATGTAATGAGAGGATATAGCGTAGAATTAATTCGTATATTATTTTTTATGACTCGCGGCAGAATACACGTGGGTAAGAAACGTTCCGTTGTCACGTGTTGGCTTCAAGTTCAGCGTGGAGTTAGACAGCCTTACAAAGACCTGACCGTACGACCCAATTAAGGCATGCATTCACGAACTAGTGTTGAAAGAAGCACAATAATATTTTTAAAATGGTAAGAAACACAATAAGGCTCACACACAAATACCAGAACAAAACACGGTTAGATTCACGTAGGAATGACATAAGAAAAACAATTGCATTCACACATAAATGCCATAATGTTTAAGATAGGTCGGCTAGCCATACATTACTAATGGTCGTTTTGATTCAAGTTGATAATCAGGGAGAGGAATGTGGGGCGTGGCTGGGGAGGCAGGGGAGGAAGGAGGCTGGGGAGGCAGGGGAGGCTGGGGAGGCTGGGGAGGAAGGAGGCTGGGGCTGTCTCTTATACACATCTAGATGTGTATAAGAGACAGCCTCTGATGAGGGCAAGGCTTACGTTTTTAATCAATCCTTTTGTAGCGTATTCACATATTAGGACTTAAACAGTATTCCCGCTATTGAGGAGCACCCAGTCGGCTAGAAGTTAACAAGTTTTGAAATTTAAGAAGAGGTTCTCACGCCTAGGTGCTCTGAATCAGGCCATGGGCCTATTTCTTCAGCGCCGACACCTATACTCTATTCTGAAACATAAAAAACTCTTGACATCACAACCGAGCTACGAGGAGAAGGCTCATAAAAGAAACGCCACAAACAGGGCCAGGCGTTTTGTTAGTGAACGGAATGCGTTTATGGGACCCGGAGGGGGGAGGGGGCCACATGTGGCACCCACACGGCCTCTGCTGCGGGGGAGGGGGCCACATGTGGCACCCTCGTCCCCCCACACACACGTCATCAACGGCGGCTCGCACCACGTCACTTCCGACCACGACACTATACCGTGCATGCACCAGCTCACCCAGACCTGTCATTGCTTTTCCCTCATTCATCTTAGATCCAAATTTACGATCATCTTTTCTCGGGAAATTTTGTGAAAGTTTTCCCTGAAAATTCGTGCGCGTTCAGGGTGAAAACAAGACCAAGGCTCGTTTCCACCCTGCATTCCTGCTGAGAACTGAACCAAGATTACATGCGATCATAATTTCCTGTTTCATATTATTGAGGTTAACGCATCTACACGCTAAAGGAAGGAAGAAATCCTTTATACAAATTCATTTGGCGTGAGTTTACGTAACATATTACGCGAGCGATACGAGTTGCAAGATCTTCATCATATTTCACGTTTAGCTAGCGAAGGTTCCTATTTTTACCCACTTGAACGCGCCAATATAAGCATAGGTTAGATAATAAATGTTGAAATTANACTATGGGACTATGAATGCAACTATGGGACTATGAATGCAACTATGGGACTATGAATGCAACTACGGGACTATGAAGGCAACTACGGGACTATGAATGCAACTATGGGACTATGAATGCAACTATGGGACTATGCAGGCAACTATGGCACTTTGCAGGCAACTATGGGACTATGCACGCAACAATGCTACTATGAACGGACGTCTGTTGGACAATGCATTGGCACTGCAGGGCGCCGCTCAGCTGTCGGCCGCAGCAAACATTGCAGCTTTTGGCATAGAACAAGTGAAGTTTGATTTGGATACTAGGATACTGATGCGTTATGAGTACTAGGATACTGATGCGTTATGAGTACTAGGATACTGATGCGTTATGAGTACTAGGATACTGATGCGTTATGAGTACTAGGATACTGATGTAATACGTATACTAGGATACTGATGTAATATGTATACTAGGATACTGATGCGATACTAGTGCAAGGATACTAATACAATACGTGCACTAGGATACTTATGCGATACGTGTAATAGAATACTGATGCGATACGTGTAATAGAATACTGATGCGATACGTTTACTAAGATACTGATGCGATAAGTGTACTGGGATACTGAAACAAAACAAGGATATATGCTTAATAAACAATATGCATAATAAGCGTGCATGGCTGACGCTGACGTGAGATAACGGTGTTGGGCGAAGGCTAATAAGAGCTGATAGCTGGCGCTGAAAATAAAGCCCACTTACAGAGCACAAAAGCCCACTCACAAATCACAAAAGCCCACTCACAGATCACCTAAGCCCACTCACAAATCACATAAGCCCACTCACAAATCACCTAAGCCCACTCACAAATCACCTATGTCCACTCACAAATCACCTAAGCCCACTCACAAATCACCTATGCCCACTCACAAATCACCTATGCCCACTCACAAATCACAAAAGCCCACTCACAAATCACCTAAGCCCACTCACAACACACATAAGCCCACTCACAAATCACCTATGCCCACTCACAAATCACATAAGCCCACTCACAAATCACCTAAGCCCACTCACAAATCACCTATGTCCAATCATAAATCACATAAGCCCACTCACAAATCACCTATAAGCCCACTCACAAATCACCTCAGTCCACTCACAGATCACCTCAGCCCACTCACAGATCACCTCAGCCCACTCACAGATCACCTCAGCCCACTCACAGATCACCTCAGCCCACTCACAGATCACCTCAGCCCACTCACAAATTATACTAATGGCCTACAAGGATCTCACCCGGGGTCGCCTAATAAAACCCTGCTGCTCTTAGATGCAACAAAAAACTTATATACTACATATGCAGGAACCATCTTGCCATAGGTATATATTATATAGGGTACATAATGTGAATGCACTTGAGATTTACTGCTTGTGGCCGAAGAACTAAATAGACCATTTCGTCTCATTTTAGAGCTCAGGGTTACAGTAGCGCATTTATCAGCAATAAACTGTACGAGAATAGAGCCTTTTATGACATTTTTCCATGAGATGATATATAAATGAATACTCTTATTTTAGTCATGTAAATGAGAATTTTTGATTGGTTACAATCGGACATAGATCACATAATAAAGACAAGAATATAAGAGAACAACACAGCTCATAATATGATGTGGAAATTTACTTACCCATCTTCTTGAAAGTTTTCATTCGTTTCTTCTTGCTGAGCCACTCGCTCTTCTTCTGCCAATCGGCCAAGTTGGTTCTCATATTTCGTATTATTTTTCTGTCTCTATCGGAAACTCCGCTCTCGGAGTCCAGAGTAAACAGACGCGGCAACAACAGACTGCTGAACTCACCGGGCTCAAATTCGGCAGGCTGAGGCATAGCCAGCTGAGCCCCATCCCTGGACACCAGTCTTGGATATCTTTCGTTCATTGCTGAGTCGAGGTGTTGGCCGGCCAAGTCTCGGTACGTGAATGTTCTAGGTAATTGTGTTGGCGATTGTGTATTATCGCAACGCAAAACTGGCATCGATCCATCGTTAGCGCACAGGACGTAAAGATCGTTAGAAAACCCAGTGGGATTCACACCACTTGACATGTTTTCGGTTGGAACAGATGGTCGTTGATAATTAACAATTTTAGGCTTGACAAAAGATGCCCTGGCGGTGTAGCTCTGACTATAGATGTCTGCTGGAGAAGAGCTCTGCGACTCTGCTGGTCTCACGCTACTTGCCGTCTGACTGCATATCGCTCGCTCCAGTTCATCGTCATCCGTATCAGTTGTGTCCACATCAGCGACCGCCTTGTGTAACCCGTTAGTCCTGACGCTATCTCCGAGATGCGTCCCTGATGCCGACTGCCCTGAAGACCTCGGTACATTAGCCGCTACGTTGGCAAGAGAAAAAGCCGTTGACTCATCGTAAGAGGCTGATGTTTTCAGTTCGCAATCCGTAGCGTTGGCAGTAAAATTTTGCTGATGTATATCATTAGAAGATGTCACAGAGCAGCCAGCAAGATGTGATGACGATGGGTCATTAGACATTTCCGAGGTGCATTCAGCAGTAGTGGAGTCAGGGATGAGAGTAACTCGGTTAGAAGAATCTGCAGGTCTTGGTACATCAAGTGGCGCATTAACCAAGATTTCTCTGCGGTCGCTGCTAAGAGGTTTAACCACAATGTCCTTAACTTCATAAACGACAGCGTTGCGCATAGAATTCGAGGTCGATAATTGTTCGCGTCCAAAATCAATCTGTGATTCAATATTTATGTTCGTGATATCAGCATTAGGCCGAGTGGCCAATTTACTGATGGATTCTTTGATTCCAGCGATAGTGACCTCCTGACTTATCACGTTACTATCAGATAAAGGTTCCACGCCAGAGCCAGCATTCGTTTCGTCCTTTATGAAATGATAAACAATAGACGAATTCTCATTTTGAAATGCAGCAACTAATCTGTTCATAGGCATTTTATTTTCTGAGCACTGATCTGATTGGTGAGATTTATCTTGGCCTACCTCTGAAATTCTAGTAGAATTATAATCATTTTCAATAAGATTTTCACATGACATACGCCCGTCTCCATTTCCGTTCATAATTTGATCGACTTTCTCTTGCACTCGTGTTCCCAATTTGATTTCGCGTTCCTGATCTGCTGGCTCTGAAAGTTCAGTAGGACTAAGAAGGTGCAGCCAGCAGTGAGGCACGCTGACGCCATTCGCAATTAGTCCTAAATTAGGTTTAGACGAAGAAGAAAAATCGTCACTTGCATTTACGACCAGCGGATAGCCCATATTGTGGGCGGACGTAACTCGTAAATTCTTTGCCTCAGTCGAGGTGCCGCTAGCGCAGTTGAAAAGATTGACTCCGGCCTCAGGACGCAAACATGAAGTGTTGTCAGGACAGCCATGGAAGAGATTCTCAACGACACGCACGTCGCTTTGGTCCTCCTCATGGACTGACGAAGTCATCCATGCAAGATTGCAGTACTCGACCTTGGAAGAAGCTATGCATTTGATTCTATCATCAGAAACGTGACTATTCTGTCCTACCATGGTGCCATCGCTTGCTATGGAGAGGTTGTCGGAAAATGATTCCAGAATTGAGTTTGTGAGGTTCATGTCTATTTGATTCGAGTAAATGTCTACAGATGATGCTCGGGACATTGTGTCTGAGGAAGGGGACAAGTTCAAACATTTAGAACTTCTGTGAGGATCCTCATTGCTGGCTCTGTAATTCTCCTCTAGGTTGGCTGCGATGTCAGCTGGAGGAAGGTCATCAAACTTCCACGAAATTCCTGAGACGGCGCGCGGCGATAACGTGAAGCTAGCTCGTTGTGGTGCGCATAGAGTTTCAGTCGAGCGAAGATTTGGATCGAGATGTTCGTTACAATCCAAACTGCTGTTGTCTCGCGTGCATGTTTCTGGGGTCTCCACTGCGCTGGGCAACAAAGTCGGCTTCAGGTCAGTGGTGGAATTGGATTCTTTCCCTTTCTTCCTAAGCCAAGAACCGAAAAGGCTGCTGGTTGAAGAACTTTTCTTCTTCGCGGGCTTTGACTCTGAAGGAATTTCTCGGCTGTTTGAATGGACATTATTTACGAAAATTGCTTGGTTAAGAACATCGACTGAATTCTTGCTTAACTGATCACTTTCAGTGGCACAATTATTTGGAAGCACTTCGTCTTTTTCTTTATTTCTAATCTTGAGCACCCTACTCAGCGAAGTTCTTTTAGAAGGAACTGGACCAGTCTTATGTTTGAGAACTGGCAGTTTACTGGGCGATGCTTTCTTACTAAACCCTTGACGACTGGCGGTAATGTTTTCACGACAGATAGGTTGAAGAGGCGCACTGTGATCGTTCACTGAAGTAAAGGATGCAGGGAGCAGCGTAGTCAGGGCAGCTGCATCAGCGGGCAAACACTCGGGCTTCTCACAAGAGGCGGAAGCTGGCAGGTTGTAATACACACCAGGGCCTTGCTTGCCCACAACCTCAGTCGGCTCAAGCCTACTTGATGCCATTGGCAATCACAAAATAAATGCAGTAGATTATTTCACGCCTTTATGGCTCAATTTTACTCTGAGAACACTATTTGATAAAAGTTAATGAATTGACACTAGCAACTAAAATGACAGAGAAATTTCTTAAAAACATCCCGATGAAGTTCAATGCGTAATAGTCAGTAATGAATTTACGACTACGCAAGTTAATTAAGTAAGTTAATATTCCCTATAACAATCCTATGGCTAGATTCTATAAAAATCTGAACACAACTATGCCATATCCACTAGTGTACTATTTAACTGACTTATTCCTTAACAAGCGCGTGGTGGCACCTTGGAATGTGGAAACTCAAACCGACGGTCGTAAATCAAATTTAATATTCGATAGGACATGAACGCGCAAATGACAGCATGGTTGAACTATACTAGTTACCATTAATGAAAGCGTCCGTCTTAAACACCTACAAGTCAAAAAGATTCACTGTTATTGTCACTAAGTAGTTTTGAGGTACCAAACAAAAAAGTGTAAACATTCTTTAAAATTTGGTTAATATGGTATTATTGCAGATTAACTACATCCAAAAAAAAGGGTGTTTTTTTTTTAATTATATATTTTTTGGGGATGGTTCGCCCAGGTTCCTTTTAGATCAAAATGCTATCTAAAAAAAGGAACTTGGCTGACTTAACCCAACCTAAGAGCTTTTTGTAAAATTTCGATGAACAATCCGACCCTTTATATAAAGGTGAGTTGGTAACGTAAGTTACGTAACCCCCATGTTAGTAAATAAAGGTGAGTGGGTAACGTAAGTTACGTAACCCCCATGTTAGTAAATAAAGGTGAGTGGGTAACGTAAGTTACGTAACCCCCATGTTAGTAAGTCGCGAAAAAAATCGGTTTTCCGATGCCGACCGCCAAAAATGGATTTCAGATTCGTAATCTACACCCCAAAAAACATATAATTAAAAAAAAACACCCTTTTTTTGGATGTAGTTAATCTGCAATAATACCGTTAATATGACCAAATTGTTAGGTTTATCAACAATAATACGTAATTAGGAAATAAAACTGGCCTCTTAGTAAAAACGGTTTTGCAGATCACAGTCCCTTTGTCAATAGGTAGTACGAAACAAATTTATAAAAAAAATTATGCAAGGCGTAGAAATAAGCGGCAGAATATTCGGCACATCCAAACTAGGGCTAGCATAATCACTGATGCAGAAATTAAGAATTCACGCATTGGAACCTCTTGCTCTTGCAGTTTCATAACTCACCCGTTGAAACCCGCCTGCAGTTACAAAACGAATTTGACGGGAGCTCGGGACGACTTGAAACGGCCGTAAATGTTAATATTTTGACCCATCCACTTAAAATTTTGAAGAAGTCAAACAACAAAGGCATAAAAGTCAACAATTTTGTTATTACAGACAGCTGCGAAGACGGCAACTAAATAAGTTTTTGAGAAACGACGCCGAAACTGAGAAACGAACGTGATCTTGACTCGTACCTACCTATGTTGTAAGTCGTAACACTAACAGTTTATTGTAGCTGGCATCAACACGCATTAAAAAGATAAATACAAAATTTCCTTCTAAATTTGTAAAGTTGCAAATTGTTCAAAACTTTATAATTTCCCTTCATCATAAAAGAATTTCTAAAACGTTCTCCTACTACAGCGACGCACAGAGGCCACGAATTGATTCAAACAGCACTGCCACACCTTCACACACACGTGTTCACTCGGCTACTGACAACTGACAAGATCTGAGACTGAAACAAACGTGAGTTTCGAGAATTCGAGTTATATATAGTCTATAATTAAAAACTCGAAGCTGTTATCATTTTTCAATAATAACGTATGGTCAATTATATTATGACAAAGTTTTTTTTTCGTAAGATCATGAAAAATCATAAGGAGCTGATATATTTTTTTTCCTTTTTTCGTTCGTGATTTGCGGGAGCCTATGAAGATTAGTCCAATACGGGCGGCCCTCTGATGAACATTTGAGTGGTGCAAGAGTGCATCATCGGCGTATTTTCCTAGGCCGTAGATGCACAGATTAAAAAGCAAGAAAAACATTTTTCAAATAAGCAACATTTGAAGTATCTCATCTGCGCTCATATAACTACGCAGTACGTACCAAAATTCAGTGCGTCAGAACGTAAAATCGTTTATTAAACTTTATTAGATAACTTTTAAGCAACTAAACTTCAACTTGCTCTTAAAGTTAAACGCTTACGGTAGTTATTCAATTTTAATGCGTTGTTCAACCGCTTTTTATTAGTTATATACCATTTATTGATTGCGCTGCAAATGATAGCAAAATAACACAGTATACTACCTTGAAATACTACCTTTCAGTAGTATTTCACATGACAGAGTTTTTTTTTTCAAGAAATCACCCATCATAACATAACATAACATAGTGATGTCGGCGCTGAAGTGTAGGCCTGATGTGGCCTGTCGCCGATTCTTTTCCTTTTCGTGCCTTGTTCATAGATCTAAGCTCGTGTCATTTGACCGGATCTTTTCATGACTGACGATAGTTTGAAGTAGCTACTAGACTTCACCGGATCGACACTTCAGCGAACTCGCCTGCGAACTCGCCTGCGAGCTGAAGTGTCGGACCGGTTGATTCGAAGCGAGAAGAAATTTTGTCGCGTGGAGAAGTTGCAGCGCAGTTTTTTTTAGCTTATAGCCGTGGCTCCTGGTGTTGGTTCTTGTTTCAAATTCTAGTAGCCCTTCAGGGACCTTGTATAGACCATGAGTATATATATCATGACCCATGTAGCGTAGTTAAGTTAGATAGCATGATCTACTTTCAACACATCTCGGACAAATTTACGTCCGGACTCGTGGCCATCTTCAAAGACATGATTGCAGAGGTCCTGCATTTATTTTTTGAACATAACTTAATCTTATACCCTACCTAGACATGTTGTAGACATCCAAACTGGAAGTCACTCACCAGTAACGTGACGCAATTACAAAACTTTCGGTGCAACACGTTCAGTTTGAGCTTCGCTCTAGAATTTGTTCACCAAAATCATAATTTATTTCGGGCAATGGAAAATAAAATTCATTTGCATTCAATTCATACATGTGGCTTATATTTCTGAAAGAAACCTAAAGGCCTCTCATTTGCCTCCTATGATCAAATTAAAGAAAACCTCTACAGTGCTAAAGCAATAAATATTTCTCAGGGATGATTAGGCATCCATAGGTGTAGATAACGAAATACAATTTATTTTTAAATAATCAAACTTGGTATGGAATATTTTTTCTCTGTATCGTTTGACGGATGGAACACATGGACCATGATGGACGTAACTTCTGTCCTAAACTGGGTTAAGGTCGCAAGTGTTACGTGGAACGATCAAACTTCCTTCCACTGCAGAAGCTCTCAGGCCCCACGGTCATCCTTGCGGTTGTCCTGTGGCTTTAAGTCCACCCAGCGTGGACATCCGGAAAAGAAGAAGAAGATCAAACTTCCGAGCTTGCATTAACAGTGCATAGTAGTTGGTGCTCTTCAGCTCCTGAACATTTTCTAAGTTGTAGTTTACCAGTTAATTTCGGATGGCAAAGCGAGGTGTTGCTATCATAATAATTACATTTACCTGAAACTGTTTTGTTGTCATTGTTGTGCTAGAATGTGTTATGTTGTTAGGATGTGTTATTAACTGTTATAATGTGCTTGGTTATTTGTACAGCGCGTGTGTCCTTGTCAATCATCGGGCATCGGTCAGAGTTGCACTTTTGTATTGTTAGCAAACATATCAGCAACTTTCTTCCCTGGCATACTAGGCTTACATCCCAAAATAAACCTCCATCGTACACGCCGCACCTTCCAGACTCCAGAGTCCAGCAGGCCATGGAAGACAAGATGGAAGTCAGAGCCTCAGAGGATCTCAGTTCTCAGGATGATGTAACTTTTGAGGGAATTTTCCCATGCATAATGAATTTTTTGAAGCCACTGGTCCACTCCACACAGTTTGCGCAAAACAATCTAAATCTTTCTCTTTCTCTTTGCAGGGGAGGAAAACATCTACTCTGTGAGCCGCGACTGAATTTTTTGAGCCGCAAACTAACAAATTTTTAAGCCGTATGCCTAATTCTCAAGCCATCAGCCATGGAAAGCCATTCTTGAACTGCGAAGTTGCGAACTCTTGGCGAATGGCGGCGATGGCCATGGTGCAGAGGGTGGATGCCACACTCAGGAAGATGTATATAAACAGGGAAATTTCTCGCGTAAATCAATCTAATTATATTTTGTTTGCGCAGACGTTCGTGCAAATCACGGTCATCGATTCCGCGCCGCGCCGCACTCGGCGCGGGCCGCGGAGCTGTCCGACACAGTTCTGATTTAGACACAGTTTTCATCTGAATGGAATGGCAACATCGTCTGTAGATGATTTCAAGTAACACTGAACCAGCATTGCCAGATGGTATATTTCTATACCAGATTTCACAAATCTGGTATTTTCAAAAGGTGTCTGGTATGAATATTTTAGATCTGGTATATATGCCTAAATCTGGTATTTTTCTGGTATTTTCTGAATTACTGCAAATTTACTGCATTTAGTTCCACCTCTGAAGTTTGAACTTCCTCCAGCGTAGGCGTGGATTATATTATTATTTATATGAATTGCCTTCAGACTGGCGCGATTACAGCTTTCCCGCCATTTTTGGAACCGCAAGTTTTCATGTCAACTGGAACTCGAACACCACAGCAGAGAGTATTTTATGCAGCTAATGAATTTCGCAAACTTTGCTGGAAGAGAGATAATTGAATTTTAGAAAAAAGGCGGGATAATTCAATGAAGGCTGGTGGCAGAGCTGCAATCTTGATACTCTATTGTGATTCGTGCTATGATAACCTACGTAACAATTTTCATATGATAGTTATAATTTTTGCACATTCAAAGTACACATGACATAACATACTGTAACGCACCCAGATTTGGAAACCATTATTGCTCAAATGAAGCAAAAATAAACGACAGACCATTGACTTATCTTGCAAATATATATATTCATATTATGTATCACATAGCATAATTACGCTCTGTAATTATGCCATATTGACCTAATTTGTATAGTCCATTTACGCGCATTGTTATTAGGTATTGATCATGTCGATTTTGCTGGCCGGGAGGATGTCGGTAATGTAAATGTAGTCATAACATTGGCATGCAGGATCGTACTGTTGACATACAGGTTCATACCCTACTTGCCGCAACCAGTCCAGTCATTCATTAGAATTTAGAAGGCACCGATGGCACATCTAAAGCCATGTTGCCTTTTTTAGTTCTGTAATTCATGTCCGATTGAATTGTGATCTATGAATGAATATTCATTACTGTGCTGACTCTTAGAACCTGAGTCCTGAGTTGACGCGGTAGCAATCTAGTTAACTCGTATCCAACCACAACATAGTGCGGATACACGTTTGTGTGTACGGTAGTGTGATTACGTAATTTGCATTGCCGCGCATCCATATTTAAACTATTTTAGCTTTCTAAAAGTACGGCGCTGTCGGCGCATGGCGAATTTTTTTTACCGGCATAGTACGGCGCACCGCGCAGGTCGTTAAAATGACAATATAAATTCCCGCGCACCTGGCACATCTTCCTGACCATGGGGTGGATGCAGTGTCGCCAATATATGGGTTTTTAAGCCCTAAGCGTCGCCGGGTAATTTTAAGATGAGTTGCCGGGTGATTTTTAATTAAAAGCCATTTACGCTGAGTAATGAAAAACTATTTACAAGCCACAAACTTATTCACAAGATTGCATGAATGTGTTACCCCAAATAACTAATTTTGCCCTAAAAACAATCCGATTGTACAGCAAGTGTCAACTGAACATGTAATAATGCAGTCTGACCGCTCTAATGTGACCGCAACTACGTAACTGTAAACTTGATGTTTACATTTTTTGGCGGGAACTCATCGCAACTGATTTCTGGACAAGTTTCACTGCATACTGATCAATCCAACATACCGGAAACCTTACTTTTTTAAAATAGTTGGCCAAAGACCGAAAAATATATTAAATGAAAGAATTTCAATCTAAATGTGTTGGCAAGATCTTTTGAAGGCGTAAATTTTGCTACTGAAGCGTTGCCAAAGATCTTGCAATATTCATCCACTCTCTGCACAGTGGGGCGATGGCACGCGCGAAGATCACGAATAAGTTCGATTTTTGCCCTAGAAATAGCAGTTAAACATTATTCCCCAATTCAAATGTAATTTAGCTCATGCTAATACCTACCTTACGATATTGCAAAAATATAACACGGTTTTACACGAGTCTGAGAGGTGAGTTCAAGATCTTCATCTTCGACATAACGTTCACAGTTTAATATATACGAGTATGATGAGAGCGTGGTACTAAACCGCGGACTTGAATATTTTGTGGAATGATAAATTCTATGATAAAGAAAAAAAAGAGTCAAACATATGGTACAAAGTTTGGGAAACACTTGTTAAATGTTTTGACCAACTAGTGAACAAAAAAGTTTACCTGCAATGAAATATAAGCTCAAACAGAATAACTTAAAAAGGCTACTTTATATCTACAACTACAACTAATATAATTAGAGAAAGAAATATAACAGAAAATTTTTTTTGGAACCGAACACTTTTTTTGGTTGTCAGATCATAATAGTGGGCGTAAATAAATAGACTTATGGCAGATCTAGTAAGACCTAAAGATACCTCCAAACCTTGAATTCTAGCATGCATTAATTTTTTTTATGTATGTTGGTATGCCAGATTGTAAGTTACTTTGATTGGCCCAAAGAGACTTTATATTGTTCATCCTAATTAGGGAACATGAGCTGGGTTTATGCCACACTGAGCATGCTGAAAAGTAGAAACTAATGTATTACAGTTACAAGATGATACAAAGTCTCTTGGGTGCACATCAATAACCAATGATGTCATTGTTATTAGCCACCAGTACCATGTAATATCACACAATGATTATAATGACAATGCTTATAATGACACTGCTTATAATGAAACACTTATAAATCTTTTTGTTGCTTCAATATTTAACATATTCAAGTAGGTTTTCTGTATGTGCCAACCATCGATAATAGAACTGGAGTTTTAGTGGCAATCATAAGCACTCATAAAGAAAGATTCTAAAAATTTATTCTTTGCCACTGTGCCTCAAGATTAGAAAACTCATACGTACTTATGACTAAAATCTTGACCTACTAAAATATTTTCAGTAATTATGGAATATTATGTCTTATTTGTGCATTTTTTTTTAAATAAGTAGTCCTATAATTAATCTGGCAGCAATTTTCTGGCTCCAAATATGATGGGGAAAGCTGTAGTTGTGGCTCAGAAAGTTGATATATTTCATGCCTGCTATACCCCACAGCTTGGTGGTAACTGAAAGATTTTTTGGAAACCTGTTCATTCTGATTTTGCAATCTACTGTACTTCAAGGTTTTATATGATATCTTATACCTATATGTTAATACTTGTGGCTGTGATCTCTACTTGTTTAGTTACAAGACTCAAGAGAGGTCAACTAAAAATGGTGTTGTGTTTGCTACTATGCCCCATAATGGCAATCAGAGATTGTGCTTAGGAAAACCCCCTAAAAATAAGAGGAAAGCTATTGTGCTTGTAATGAATCAGTACCTATGACAGTTCAGTTGTGAAACCGACAGTGTTGTCTAAATGTTTGCCAGTGAACTAATATGTCAATCTTATTCAACAGGTTGCAAGATAGAAGCCACAGGCTTGGAGAATGATTTTTTATTCCATATCCAAGTATCATGGCCAAAGTGTTGCTAATTTTGTGGCTTGCTATTTAAGCTTTATACAGGCTGCAAATCTCCAGGCCTAATTCTTAACTGCATTAAAATATATAATAGTTGCATTATTTACTTTGAGTTCAATAGGAAGTGTTGGTTCAAATTTGCAATAAAACTTCATAGCGTAAAAAGCCATGACTTCCTTCTGGTTAATAATGAATTATTTTAAAGTCTCTGATTATTACGGTTATGTATATCTTCTTTGCATCGTTGTTACGGCATCACAACAATGTGAAGCACACCTCACGTCTGAGCCCATGCTCGAGGTTGAACGTCTGGCCATGAAGTGAGTTTTACTATTATTTTTCTAATTACATAGTTTAAGTATATATTTACTACATTAAAGCAGGTTTCATTGAAGACCAGAGAGTATTTCTTATTGACAATTTTCTTATTGTTTTGCTCTATTCGGCAAATAGAGAAAAACTATCACTTCCTAACTATCACATAGTTTCTATCACTTCCTATCAAGAGCCTAATTCGCTGAATAGAGAAAAACAATAAGAAAATCATCAATAAGAAATACTCTCTGGTCTTCAATGAAACCTGCATTAAATAACAGCTACTGCCAAACTACACAAATTTACTACATTATAGATATAAATGTTAGCTTTATTTGCTTCAAATTGGCTAATTTATACACTCATACTTTTGCTGATAAGGCATGGACAGTATCTAAGGCAGCCAGCTGCAGCACTTTCTGGCATTTTTTAAGTATTCCACCATGCTGTCTGAACGTTAATGTGATTCCTAAAGTCAATTGCTTATCTGATGAAAGTTAAATTATCATCTATAGCAAATAAATTGGTACTACCAATCTGCCCCAGATTGTATTGTGTTGTAGTGTGTGTTGATAATTAATCATATTGATTGTTAATTGTAATCCATGGAGAAGTGAAACTGGTAAGATATAAGACTAGTGACATGCCAAGTCGTTCATAGTTGTGTCATTGGATTCTTTAGTTTCTGATGAATTGATAATGCCACTGCTAGGCTTGTCATGTGCCAGACATGACTCAACTTTGTGGCAGTGCAAGCAAAGAACAATTAATCTCATTTTTATTTACTTCTGCAATTGGCCATGCTTTCATGAGGAGAAATTAGTCAGCCTAATTGTGCTCTTGATTGTCATTAATTTGTCATTGTTTCTCTTTGCAGGGAAGAAGCAAGAGAAATGTTCTACCATGCATATAACGCATACATGGTGAGTTGACAATGCATATAATGCATACATGGTGAGTTGACAATGTGTATAATGTAGGTATATGTAGTGAATTTACATTCATACGTGATAATGCTTAGCTCTTGGTATATCAATGATTGCAATATTAATGGAAAAAATTCAGGTTTATTTTGGCTCTTCACAAGATAAATTAGTTTGTAATGGACTGGTTAAGAGAGTGTGTTCCACCCATATTACAGGGATGTGAACTAATTTGTAATGATACAGTACATATTTTTGTCATATGCGAGTGTAAAATAATAAATGTTCAGGGTACTGTTGAACTGTGCATGTTTAATGCTGTGCCTTTTGCCAGGCCAATGCCTACCCTGCCGATGAACTGCTGCCGCTGTCGTGTGCTGGACGGTACAGGGGAGTCATGCCATCCCGGGGAGACATCGATGATGTGCTGGGCAAGTGAGTGATGCTGACCTGCAACACTCACATCACTGACCTGCAACACTCACATCACTGACCTGCAACACTCACATCACTGACCTGCTACACTCACATCACTGACCTGCAACACTCACATCACTGACCTGCAACACTCACATCACTGACCTGCCACCCACTAACCTGCACTGATCCCCCAGCTTCTCGCTGACGCTGGTGGACGCCCTGGACACTCTGGCGGTGCTGGGGGACATTGAGGAGTTCGAGAGGGCGGCGCGTCTCATCGTCCGCGACGTGAGCTTCGACACGGACGTCGTCGTGTCCGTCTTCGAGACCAACATCCGCATACTGGGCGGTCTGCTCAGCGGACATGTGCTCGCTGAGCTCTTCCAGCAGGTGAGAGCAACATCCGCATACTGGGCGGTCTGCTCAGCGGACATGTGCTCGCTGAGCTCTTCCAGCAGATGCCTTATGATGTACTCACACTGAGTACAAATGACATCAATGTGTCTCATTATAGGTCTTTATATACCGTAGACATTTAATGCAGGTTTCATTGGAGACCAGAGAGTATTTTGTATTGAAAATATTATTATCCTTTTTCCTTATTTGGCTAATTAGGCTTTTGATAGGAATTGAAAATTCAAATATGCTCACCAATGTACATATGCTAACTGAAGAAAGTGCAGCTACGTTTAAATAAGTTGATACGTCGTGCATAAAGCTAAGTATATATGTGAGTTAATTTGTATGTGTTAAGCTGTGTACCGGTTTACATGAGTTTATACAATGTATATGTATACAGCTGTATGGCGCGATGCCGTGGTACCATTAAGCTGCGTATATATGAGTTAATACAAGTTATATGTGTGCAGCTGTATGGCGCGATGGCGTGGTACCATTAAGCTGCATATACACGAGTTAATACAAGCTATATGTGTGCAGCTGTATGGCGCGATGCCGTGGTACCAGGGCGAGCTGCTGACCATGGCCCAGGACCTGGGCGACCGTCTGCTGCCGGCCTTCAACACCTCCACTGGAGTGCCCTTCCCTAGGGTGCGTGTACAGCCCTAACTACATGATGTCTTAATGACATATTAGTACATAGTGACAGTGTAGTATAAAATACATACATTACTGTCATGATGTCTTGTCTTAATGACATATTAGTACACAGTGTAGTATTAAATACATACATTACTGTCATGATGCCTTGTCTTAATGACATATTAGTACACAGTGTAGTATTAAATACATACATTACTGTCATGATGCCTTGTCTTAATGACATATTAGTACATGGTCTAGTATTAAATACATATATACATATTCTTAATTACATATTCTTCCTTATGTCTTGTGTTGAATACTTACAATATTGCCATGAAGCTCTGGGCTGTCACCCCAAGATTGATGCTCCCACAGTAGATGTTGTCTAGTCTACTTGTGTCTTGAATGTAGGGCTCAGCTCCCTCATAACACCTCCCTCAGGGGTGCAGGGCTCAGCTCCCTCATAACACCTCCCTCAGGGGTGCAGGGCTCAGCTCCCTCGTAACACCTCCCTCAGGAGTGCAGGGCTCAGCTCCCTCATAACACCTCCCTCAGGAGTGCAGGGCTCAGCTCCCTCATAACGCCTCCCTCAGGAGTGCAGGCCTCAGCTCCCTCATAACACCTCTCCCTCAGGAGTGCCTCATAACACCTCTCCCTCAGGAGTGCCTCATAACACCTCTCCCTCAGGAGTGCCTCATAACACCTCTCTCCCTCAGGTGAACCTCCGACACGGCATGAACGCCCCAGAGCTGGGGGGCGCGCGGGACACGTGCACGTCGTGTGCAGGGACGATGATCCTGGAGTTCGCGACGCTGTCACGTCTCACGGGCGACGGCGTCTACGAGGAGAAGGCGCGTCGCACGCTCGACTACCTCTGGGGCCAACGCCACCGCTCCACCGACCTCGTCGGCACCGTCCTCAACGTCCACTCAGGTCAGGGGCAAGGGCGGCAGTAGCGTGCTACATGTAGCGGTAGCAGCGCTACATTTAAGCAATTGTAGCGGTAGCGGCCGCTATATTTCAAAGTAGCGCTGCTCAGCTCTGGTCAGACCCTCAGGGGCAAGGGCGTCAGGGGCGTGGCCACTCAAGGGCGTCAGGGGCGTGGCCAGTCAAGGGCGTCAGGGGCGTGGCCACTCAAGGGCGTGGCCACTCATGGGCGTCAGGGGCGTGGCCACCCAAGGGCGTCAGGAGCAGCTCCCTGAACTAGACCGTCCAGGTACAGACAGCTCCCTGAACTAGACCGTCCAGGTACAGACAGCTCCCTGAACTAGACCGTCCAGGTACAGACAGCTCCCTGAACTAGACCGTTCAGTTAGACCGAAGGCTATCAACAAACTACTACTGCTGCTGTGCTAAGCCGTGGTCGCGCAGCTCAAAGGTCCTAATGCAATGTATATGACGGGGCCACCCGATGCGTGCTATCTCGTATCTAAAAGTGGTTCAGAGGGAAATGCATTGAAAATCCTATAAAATATAGTAAAAAATAGCAAGTAATTTTAAGAACTACTGTTTCCTGTCGTTACACGTGCAGTGGTGCGGTGTTTTGTTTGTGTGGTGTGGTGTTATGTTGGTGTGGTGTTAGTGTGGTGTTGGTGTTGGTGTGATGTTTAGGTAGTGTGATGTGGTGTTCCTGAGAAGCACGTGTCCCTACAGGCGACTGGGTGCGGCGGGAGAGCGGCGTGGGTGCTGGCATAGACTCCTACTACGAGTATCTGCTGAAGGCGCACATCCTTCTGGGCGACAGCGACTACCTGCACAGGTTCAACAAGGTGACGTGGCGTGACGTGTTGTGACGTGCTGTGACGTGTGGTGACGTGGCGTGACGTGTTGTGACGGGGTGTGACGTGGCGTGACGTGGTGTGACGTGGCGTGACGTGTGGTGACGTGGTGTGACGTGCTGTGACGTGTGGTGACGTGTTGTGACGTGCTGTGACGCGGCGTGACGTGCTGTGACGTGTGGTGACGTGTTGTGACATGTACCTGGTGGTTACGTGTGCCAAGACTTAATCTTTACTCATATTTAACACGTAGACTACGATTGTTTCATCTTGTACTATTATATCATTTTTTGTACTTTTTTTAAGCAGGGTTGCCAGACGGTCATTTTTTCCGGACAAATTCCGTGCTTTAGTTTTTCTCAATTGCGTTGTCCGGCTAAAATTTATCATAGGGGTACTTCCTAATTAAATTTTAAATTCTGCAAAAAGAAAATAAATGGAATTTTTATAGCGGAACCTACAAATAAACTAGTATACATTGAATTATCGGCCTTTTTTGGCCTTTTTTGTTCTCGGATTTGGCCGATTTAAGGCAACCTGAATTATGTACCACTACCTCCTGGAGAAATACATTTCGTGGTATGCATATGTACCAATACGTAGTCAACGTGTTAAAGTATTCTGTTGTTATCAACCCTGCCGTGTAATGTCATACGAGGTCCTTACCTTAGCACTCAGTGTCAGTGACAGCATAATCTCTGCCCTTGCTGACATTGCTGCCGTGCTGACGCCGTGCTGACATGTGCTCTCCCTGTACAGCACTACTCTGCCGTGATGAAGTACGTCAGTCAAGGCCCCATGCTGCTAGACGTACACATGCACCGGCCCCACACCACCACACGCAACTACATGGACGCCTTCCTGGCCTTCTGGCCCGGTCTGCAGGTCTGCTATACACTAGCTGCACTAGCCTGTTCATCACACTAGCTGCACTAGCCACATACCACCACACTCACCACACCCACGCCTCGTCATCACCTCTGATGATGTACACAAGACTAGGACGTCAGAGTATCTCTGTCACCAGAAGTTGGCCGCCGTCTTCAGCATGTCAGGAGGCTCGAACCACACGACCAGACGCCGGCAAAACACCGATCTCAGTAGTTTCTAGCTCAGTGCATTAGCTGGTATCTTATTGCACTTGCTTTCTGTTCGTTAAGACTTCAGTACACGTCAATAAAAAGTAGTTTTTATTTCAGTAAAGAACAGTTGAAACATTTAAACACTTGAAAAAAGCGTAACAGATAGATAGCTTCATGATCGATAAACTGCTTAATAAAGCCTTTAAAGAACATCCACAAGATCTAGCGTAAAAGCTAGATCTTGTCGCCTCACAGTCATTCTGACCTGACCTCAACGCTACGTCACTGCTACGGCAGTAATGTTGGACGTTGCTCTAATATTATGGTATCTACTACCATAATAATTGATATCATGGGTACCTATGGTATCTACTACCATAATTAATAATTGATTTAGTAGATACTTATGTTATCTACTACCTACCATAATTTAATCGATTTAGTAGTTACTCATGGTATCTATTACCATAATTTACAATTGATTTAGTAGATACTTATGGTATCTACCAAACATGCACACAAAGAACATTGAATGATCACAATTCAGAACTACACAGCCACAACAGACTTCACCACACCACCCTAAGTCTGGTGTATGTGTGCAGGTGCTGAAGGGAGACATTAAGCCTGCCATTGAGACACACGAGATGCTCTACCAGGTGACGCAGCGCCACCACTTCCTGCCTGAGGCCTTCACTACTGACTTCCAGGTCAACAGCTCTCTTGTTTATTTATTTATCAGCTCTCTCTTGATTCTAATATTAATCTTATAATCAATGATCTATGTATTAATCAAAATCAAAGGTGGTATTATAACAATCTTATAAAAATATATTATAAAAATCGTATAACAATATATTATAACAATCGTTATCACGTAATTTATTTATGAGCCCTATCTTGATTCGAATATTAATCTCATCATTGATAATCTACGCATTAATCACAATCAAATGCTGAATTATATCCGCGGATAATAAGTGTCATCGCAATCATTGTCGCAGCGTATACTTATCAAGGTATACGATAAGGACGCTCTGTTATTCATCCTCATTTATTTATGAGCCCTTTCTTGATTCAAATATTAATCTCATGGTCGATAATCTTCACATTAATCACAATCAAAGGCTGGATTATAACCGCGGACAATAAGTGCCATCACAATCATTGTCACGGCGTATACTTATCAAGGTACGTATATGAAAAGGACGCTCTGTTATTTATCCTCATTTATTTGTTAACCCTTTATATATTGGTCTATTGATGATCTTCGCATTAATCGCATTCAAATGCTGGACTATAACCGCGGACAATAAATGTCATAAGAATCGTCCCGGCAGGTGCACTGGGGGCAGCACCCACTGCGTCCAGAGTTCGTAGAGTCGACGTACCTGCTGCACGAGGCGACGGGTGACCCTTACTACCTGAGGGTGGGACAAGAGGCGCTGCGCTCCCTGCAGAAGCGCGCATGGGTGCCTTGTGGCTACGCCGCCGTCAAGGACGTGCGCACGGGCGCCCACGAGGACAGGATGGACTCCTTCGTGCTCTCCGAAACATTCAAGTATCTTTACCTGCTCTTCTCGAAGCCCCACGAGCTGCCCTTCAATATGGACAACTTCGTGCTGACCACCGAGGCTCATCTACTGCCGCTGTCCCTCGCTCGAGCCTCTGTCGCGTCCGTCCCACGGAATTCATCATCCCCACCCCTGCTGGAGGTCGAGGATCCTCCTGTAGATGACGCGGATGGGGAGTTTTCGCACTCGTGCCCTAACGCTCACTCCCTGTACCCCGGCGAGCAGAAGTTTGCAGAGAGCATAAGGAAGCCGCTCAAGAACTACGTGGACTCGGTGTGTCCCAGCCGCGGCCGCCACGCCGCCAAGAGGAAACTGCGAGCTTCAGAGTTCAGGGCGGGCGACAGCGACCAGCTGCAGCTGCTCGCTGACATGGGCATCAAGATTGTTGAGCTGCCGGGGGGCAAAGTGCAGCTCCTGCAGACTTCTGCTCATGTGAGATATGCTCCACTGTCTTGCTACTGTCTGTTGTCTCATGTGAGATATGCTCCACTGTCTTGCTACTGTCTGTTGTCTCATGTGAGATATGCTCTACTGTCTTGGTGCTGTCTGTTTTGTCCCAGTTTTGCCGTAAGTCCAAGCCAGTCACAAGTTTACTCCCAAATATATTGTTGTTGTGCAGGCGCTGAGCCGCGACGACGCTGAGGAAGGAGTGCTGTTCATGCAGGAAATGATCGACCTAAGCAACACTCAGCAAGCACAGCCAGACCATCCCCCCAGACTGGTCACCTTCGCTTACTGTGCTGACGAAGGTGAGCATCCCTCCAAGCTGGTCAGCTTTGCCTACTATGCTGACGAAGGTGAGCACCCCCCCCCCATAGGGATCATGTGTGTTCTCTAAATGACATCACATGATTTGTAAGAAGGTCTGAACGGAGCACGCCTTAAGTTAGGGCAGAACTGCGACACAGGACCTCATGATAACCGCCGTATTCTGAACGCTCTATTATGACATTGTATTACGACCACCGTATCATGAGCGTCATATTATGACTTCGTATTATGGCAAACGTATCTTGAGCGTCGTATAATGAACAATATATAATGAGCTTTTTCTTGCAGGTAGCAACTCTGACGTGGACAGTGCGGCATCGGACAAGATAACTTCTGCAGCTGATGCTGAGGTTGATGCTGAGTCTTGTGCCCTTGAAGCGGAGGCTGTTGCTGCTGTAACGGAGACTGGTCCAGCAGCAGCGGAGACAGTTGCAGCTGCATTGGAAGTTGATGCAGCTGCAACTGAGGCTGAATCTTGTGCCCTTGAAGCAGAGGCTGGTGCAGCTGCAGCGGAGGCTGATGGAGATGCAGCTGCTGCACAGGCTGTTGGAGATACATCTGAGGCTGGTGGAGCTGCAGCGAAGGCTGGTGGAGATGTTGCTGAGGCAGAGTCTTGTGCAGCTGCTGTGGAGGCTGGTGGAGATACAGCTGAGGCTGGTGGAGATACAGCTGAGGCTGGTGCAGCTGCAGCAGAAGATATACCAGCTGCCGTGTCACGCTTGGACAGCATTTTAGTGCAAAGCATCATCGCTGGTCCTGCTCAGTTCGGGCTGCAGCTGGAGGGCGACACGATGGTGAGTGTCCAGTGATTGGTTAGCCTGCCAGTTCCTTGTACTGCTGATTGAAGAAACTGTAAACAAAGCGCTGCCGCTCACAACGCTCGTCCCAAAACTGTTGCTTTACTCTGTGAGTAGCTGATGCCCCGAGGCAGCGATGCATAGAGGCTTCGTTTCGCTGGCCGCTCAATAGGCTCGGCCAACCAGTGATGTGCTAGTCCGTCTAGCCTTGCTGTTGCGGCCCAAAAAACGCGCTCTTTTAACACGTTGAGTGCGGCACGACCCACCGTTGGGCTGCAAGGTCTTTTTTCCAGACAAATTACGCAATTTAGTTTTTTTTAATTGCGTATGTTGACAAAAATTTATAATGGCACTCCTACCTTATTAAATTTTAAAAAGTGCGAAAAGAATGAAAATTTAATTTTTGCACCGGACAACTTCTATGTCTTTGACTAATTACTTCACTTCACTACGTTTTTGACTAATTTACTATGTCTTCAACTAATTACTTCACTTTACTATTTTGACTAATAACCTCAGACCGGAAGACGTGTTCTTCACTACACCACCGCTGCCATAGAAACGAAATTTATTGTCAGGTGGAGGGCGAGGTGCTGGTGGCTGCTCCGTTCCGCGCATGCGGCGCTCTGGAAAACGGCCACCTCGCCAAGGGCAAGATCGTGGTGGTCGAGCGCGGCGACTGCCTCTTCGTTGATAAGGTAGCATCCAAACTAGGGTAGGATCCAGCGACATGGTAGGATCCTGCGACACGGTAAGGTCATGCGGGATCCTACCATGCAAGTTATTAGGCAAGTTATTATGGTAAACCCTGGGGGCTTTAGAGTCCTTAATAGAGTTGGATCCTGCGACATGGTAGGGTCATGCAGGGGCAAGTTATTAGGGTAAACCCTGGGGGCTTTAGGGTCCTTAATAGAGTAGGATCCAGCGACATGGTAGGATCCTGCGACACGGTAGGGTCATGCAGGGGCAAGTTATTAGGGTAAACCCTGGGGGTTTTAGGGTCCTTAATAGAGTAGGATCCAGCGATGCGGTAGGGTCCTGCTATGGACGAGTGATTAAGGAAAACCTTATGGGCTGGCTTTAGGGTGCTACCAGGTAATCCTCTTTCGTACCTCACGTACCACGAGTCAATGTACAAGTGAGACACCAACGCCCGTTGTTGTGTTGATGTTGTTGTTGGCTCAGCATCGTGTATCAGGTGGCCCAAATGAGGGCCTTGGATGCGCGATAGTCAGAGGCGGCGATCTATCGTGGACTGGGACTGCTACATCCGAAACAAATACTAAGGATACTAAAGATGTTGTGTTGGGCAGGCGCGCGTGCTGCAAGGTTCGGGCGCCGTGGGTGGCATTGTCGTGGACAACGCTGAGCTTGCCGCGCCTGACGAGGGCGGCCAGGCTGACGAGGAGCTGCCTATGTTCGCCATGTCGGGGGACAGCGCCTCGGAGGACGTGACCATCCCTCTGGTGTTCGTGTACCGCCGGCCAGCGCAGCAACTCCTGCGTGCCGCCGCTGCGCCGGGCCACCTCACCGCCGTGCTGTCCGATGGCGCTAGTGAGACCAGACACTTTGCTTCTCATTTGTACTTTATTACATCTTGCAATTAGCTTTTCAGACTTGTAGCTACTGACCCTGACACTTTACTTCTCATTTGTACTTTATTACATCTTGCAATTAGATGTTCTGCGGCCATACTTTCAAAATTCGCTAAGTGAACTTAAGTACTTACGCTCTATTTTCCTGTCTATGATTGGTGGATTTTGCTTGAAATGACGTCAATGATTGGCTGATGAACTTACGATCTCTTAAATTTTTTGAAAGTATGGGCCCAGACTTGTAGCTACTAACATTCACTCTCATAACCATACCTTTGACATGAATAGCCTTGAGTACGATTAATGTATGTAATGTAATGTATGCCTAAGAGGCTAACTCCCGTCAATGTGAGCAGAGCGGAGCAGAGACACGGACAGTCTCATTGTGTCTCTGGGCGACATCGCGGCGTCACGTGACACTCACACGCCGGTGGTGCAGGCGCTGCTGCGGGCGCGAGCCAAGGTGAGGCTACTTTTTGCTCCCCATCTACTATCCATTTTACTCAATTTATTTTTGCTTAATTCCTATTATATCTCTTAAAGATATATTATGTTTTATTTTAGATCAATTATATATTTTCATATAGTGTATGTGCCTTATTTCACTTTATATTTTAGAAAGATAGTGTGTGTATTTGAACTTTAACACTACACTGGTAAATACATGTGGGCTTATCGAGAGCATACCCAGTCCACAATACCTGCCGTGTTGGATGTTACTTTGACCTGCTGTTCTACAGGAATACTGTCCCGCTTAAGTGTTTTGTATTTCAATAATTTACCACATCCTCCCTAGCTTCATTGCCTGCACCATGTCTCTTGTTTCTCTACTGGTGTACTTTTTTCTGGTGTTAAGTGTGTTATTATTTTGTATATTGAATGAAGCAAGTCGGTTGCTATCGTAGATCATCACTGCTTGTTGTGTAGCTGCCAAGAAATGAGATCTTCATTATCTTCAGCCGCACGGAAGCACTTTTTTCCAATTTTATTTTGAAATTCTTCATGTCTTCATTTGGTTGCTTTTATTACTATGACTTTCATCAAGGCTTAAGATATTATTTTTTTTGGGTGTTGCGGGCAAGGTTCTTATTATTTAATGTTTTATTGTTTTGCTACTCATGGCGTTGTACTCTCATCTTACCTCTTCTCACCCTCTGTCCATTTCTCTTTCAGTTAGTTCTACTCGTGTTATTTTCCCTTTATCTGCTGTCCTTGTGGCGCACCGCAATGCCTCAACTTCGGTGACCCTCGCCAGACCCACGAAGGCCTCCTGCAGCAGCAGGACCTGGGGCTCCCTCAAGTCCCCAGCTCTGGTGGTGGTGGTGCCCTTGGTCTCTGCTCGGACGACCTCGTCACAGTCATCGGCACTGCCGACACGCTGGTACGTCGCGTCTCTGACGTGTTGCCTTCACCTTGTCATGGTCTCTGTGACGTGTTGCCTGCTCTTAGTCATAGTCTCTGTGACGTGTTGCCTGCTGCTTCTCATGGTCTCTGTGACGTGTTGCCGGCACCTTGTCATGGTCTCTGTGACGTGTTGCCGGCACCTTGTCATGGTCTCTGTGACGTGTTGCCTGCACCTTGTCATGGTCTCTGTGACGTGTTGCCTGCTGCTTGTCATGGTCTCTGTGACGTGTTGCCGGCACCTTGTCATGGTCTCTGTGACGTGTTGCCTTCTCCGTGGGGTGGCACCATGACAAGGTGCCACGTGTTGGGTGCCACGTGTTGGGAGCCACGTGTTGGGTGCCACGTGTNCACGTGTTGGGTGCCGCTTGTTGGGTGCCACGTGTTGGGTGCCACGTGTTGCGCTGTAATACACCACGTAATCGTCTTGCCCCCCTACAGGCGGAGGGCTCAGCTTCCCTGCTGGAGGGGTCGGCGGGGGTGGGTCGCTGGGAGGCGGCGCTCCTCGAGGCGCGGTCTGCTGACGACCTCATCGCTGCGCTGGGGGAGATCGTGCGCCACCACAGGCCTGAGGGCGGAGGCGCTGCTGGGGGCGAGGGCGATGGAGCGGAGAATGTCAGCACCCAGTGGCTCCTGCAGAGAATACAAGTGAGGCGTCCTTGATGTTGCGTTCACTGCAGATACGTGCTGCTCACTTACTGCTCTTTTACTGCTCACTTACTGCTCTTTTACTGCTCACTTACTGCTCACTTACTGCTCACTTACTGCTCAATTACTGCTCACTTACTGCTCACTTACTGCTCACTTACTGCTCACTTNCTCACTCACTGCTCACTCACTGCTCACTCACTACTCACTCACTGCTCACTCACTGCTCACTCACTGCTCTCTCACTGCTCTCTCACTGCTCTCTTACTGCTCTCTCACTGCTCACTCACTACTCACTCACTGCTCACTCACTGCTCACTCACTGCTCTCTCACTGCTCTCTCACTGCTCTCTTACTGCTCTCTCACTGCTCACTCACTACTCACTCACTGCTCACTCACTGCTCACTCACTGCTCTCTCACTGCTCTCTCACTGCTCACTACTCATTTCTCCCCCTCCCCCCACAGCACCTGCTGAGCCAGAAGGGACGCCGCAGCCCTCAGCTGCTGCGCGTGCTGCTGTCGTCGCACGTGACGCCCCTCCTCGCCGTGCTGGACCAGGCGGCCGCTGACGAGGACGACAGAACGCGGCCACTGGCTGCCATCGTGGGGCAGCTCATACACATCCTAGGGGCCTCTAGTGCTGGTGATGGTCAGCAACTGGCCGCCCTAGACGCCTCTAGTGCTGGTGATGGCCAGCAACTGGCCGGCTTAGATGCCTCTGGTGCTGGTGATGGCCAGCAACTGGCCGGCCTAGACGCCTCTGGTGCTGGTGATGGCCAGCAACTGGCCGGCCTAGACGCCTCTAGTGCTGACCAGCAACACAGTGAATTTATTACTAGAGAAGCTAGTGTAGATTTATTAAGTGACTCATGTCATAGTGAAGACAACTTAAGAGAAGAAGATAGAAACGAGCAGCCACCTGGGCAGGCTGCTGCACCTGCAGATATAAGTGTGGCATCAGACTCCGAAGATAAATTCCCGTCGCAAGATGCAGACGGAAAAAAGCCCCCACAAGAACTTGACAAAGAAAGACAAGCAAGGCAGTCGTTACCACAACCGCCCCCTCTACGGAGTCCAGACGACAGGGACGCTCGGGACGAGTTGTGATAATGAGCCTGGCTGGTCCCTTCACGCTAGTTGGGTCCTGTCCCATCGTTGCGGTCTAGTGGGAACGCTGTCCAGGGACGGAGTTCTTTATTCTGTAAAATGAATGTTTGATAATAAAGATGTGTGTCTTCGACTGGTCAGTTGTACAAGGAAATTGCGAGTGTGGCTTTGACTTTTGATATGGCCAAACTGCAGTGACTTTTGATACATGGCCAAACTGCCGTGAATTCGATATGGCCACAGTGCCGTGACTTTTGATATGGCCAAACTGCAGTTAGTTTCGATATGGCCAAAGTGAAGGCTTGTCTTGCAGGCGCTCGGTTATCCTGCGTCTTCAGTAAGATAATGTTATTTTTTTAGACAATCGCCAACGCAGGACAAAAAACATTCTCTGATCAACTCTCACCAGTGATCAGGACAAGTGCCGCTAGTATCTTATTGAACTTTATACTGGAATTTTGTTACAGAAAAAACAGAATTGTTATGAGTTATGAGAGGTTGGAATATGATGGCACTCCAGTGACTTGATGTTCTGCTTGGGCTGCTTGCATGTCCTCTCAGATTTGATTGCACTGTCCTGAGTTAATTTTTGTTCGTTATAATCAAAGAAAGTCTAGTTTCTTCTGTGTTACGCGTGGCTTGTGTGTTGTGTATTCCGTGTGTTGTTTTGCCTCTCCAGGCTATGAGCTGTCATTTTATTTAGAATTCACTCGTGAGTATTGATCATGTGTGACGAGTTATCTGCACCATAGCTTGTTATCTTGCAGCGAACAGGGCTCTCATTGTGAAATTTAGCTCATTCTCAACTGAAGGAAATTGTAGGGGCTGCACCATGTTGGCCTCCCAGTGAGAGACGACGTGCTGACACGTGCTTGCCAAATGAGCGTCATGGAGGGCAAGGGATTTACTTTAGGGACTACATTTCAGTGGTTACAGCGTTAGTACAGTGGTAACGCGCTGTCGCTTGTTACACGTGTTACTTGGAGGAAAGGTGAGGCCTGCTGTCCTGCTAGTGTGGCAGGCCTGTGACGTGCTCACTGCCATGAGTGTCCTGCACGTCATTAGAGTGCAGGGCTTCAACATAATTGTTTTTTGATGATCGCTCCGGGCAAAGCGGGTTCTGGAAACGTTTTCATTCTAAACGTTTCAATTACTTGTGCAATAACCTGAATAATAATATAAGATTTCTTAATGTATATAGTATGGATTTCTGAGAAGCGAAGTGTCCGCGCTCTCTGGATGCGTTGCGCTGGCTGTTGAAGTTCAGCCGCGCTGAGAGAGACCTGTGATATTTTAAGATAGTTCAATAGGTAGATTGTTTTACTAAGATCTAAATGTTCTGAAACTCTATGCACTTCAGTCGCTAGCAAAGCTAACCAAATGCTCGCATCCTAACCTCTGCGCTGGTGCGTTAGTTTGAACGCGTTGCGTGGTCGCTTCGTACGACATGCGACCGAGTCTGGCTCGAGCAGCACAAAACAGTGCATGCCGGTGTTGTGTTGTGCTCGAACTGTTCTGGTTCAAGTTGTTGGATGGACTGGTTGTTGGGTTAAACTTTAGTTATTTCCTTGTATCTTATTAACCAAATTGCTCAGTATTCGAAATCACCATGTCTGGTTTTGTTTGATTCAGCAAAGTTTTTTCATTTTAAAATCATTGACGGCAAACATCGGTTATGTATTTCCGATACTTAGACAAATTATTATGTGAACTTACTGATGTTTTATTAATGCTTTTAGACCATTTTTGTGAGCTTACTACGCCTTTCAGACCGATACGTGAGACGCACGGTAAGTCACGGTCTCGACTGGCTGTCGAGACCGTGACGGTCTCGACTTCATTTGACGGTCTCGACTTCATTTGACGGTCTCGACTTCATCACGGTCTCGACTTCATTTACATTAATGAATTCTTCAAAATCGTTATATCCTTAACGACATATTCTTATAAGCACTGAATTTCCTCTGGGTCCTCTGCTGCTTGTGTTTGTAAATCGACTACACGTTATTGTTTTGCCTTCTATTATTTATATGCAATTACTTATGCTTTGGAGAAATAATTTGTATTTAATGCGACCAAACAATATTTGTTGTTCATTAACATCCTGCTCATGTTATGCTCATCTCTACCGTGCTTCGTGCGATGGGATTAAGCAGACAAAATAATATATTTTCGTGTTTCTTTCACCTCCCATTTGCACGTTTGATCTTTACTTCTAACGCTGACGCAATGAGATTGTAGTCTTCATTTTGTTTCCATTGCGCTTCTCATTTTTTGCCGATTTCTACGAATATTTAATTCTTCGATACCTGAAAACTCGTGGGTTTTAAAGAATATTTGTTGAAGGAATTCCGTTTGAGAGTAACATGATATTTGACGAAGAGTTTTTTTATTGTCCTATTCGACGACGACCAACTTTCTTGTCGACGAGATTTCTTTAAAATACGTTGACCAACTTACCTTTCAGTGAATGTTTGGAGTAGATTTTCGGTACGAGAAATTATTTCCATCGATGGAAGTGATGGAATGACCATCAGCATTGTAGCATGAAAATGCATGCATAATTGCTGGGACCTTGTGTTGTATAGAAATCGATTTGTGTAATGTAGTAAGTAAAATGCAGTGACTTGATCAATGTGAAAGGTGAAAATCATTGCATACCCGTGCATTACGCATAATTTTTTTCAATACGGTAACGTTACAAATAATTAGAGTCAGCGATGTATAGTATTTGTGCAATATAAAAAGGCATTTTAAGTCAAACAGCGCGGTTAAAACTTGATATTCGATTAAAACGTTTATTTTTATCGCACCCAGTTGAATTCTGTAGAATTACTTCAATCAAGAATACCGCTTGAATTTGTTAGCATACACCAGATCATAGTCGACCATTTCTTGGTTAACGTGAATAAATTTTATTCTGAAAATAATAATCTTGTCATATTTATCTCGACATAATTAGATAATATTCAATTCAATATTGACAAAATTAAGAAACACTTTCAACAAAGTCAGTCAAGCTTTTCATTCAATATATTGTGCATATAACAAAAGTTTGTTTAAAGAATGTTTTTCAGTAAGAATAAAATTTTATATAGCAGCTTGAACATTTCTCTTTTGACTCTCCGCGATGTCATGACGTGTAGTGTGTTTTGATTTGAGAGTCAGGCAGCCAAGTGAGCCAACCAGTTTGACACTCAACAAGTAGTAGCGATGTCGTGCCGACGGCTCATTGTAGTTTTATGTGGCCTTATTGCCTCAATACCTGAATTTTCTTTAGGACAAAGCCCTCATCGAAGATTTGAGTATAAATACAGTTTTAAATCCCCTTATTTGGCCCAGAAGGATAATCAAGTGCCCTTCTGGACTTATAGTGGCAGTAAGTATTTCAAATAAGCGAAGAAACCGCACCGCTAACTGTAAAAGCACACGGTACTGACTACAAAGTACAACTAGTTGGATATAAATTAAATTCTAATAGTCCAAGTAGAAATTTTACGACCACTGACGTTGAATATTCAGTTGCAATGAACTTTTTAGGTTGTGGCCACTGCCGGCTGCTGCCACTCAAAATTTTCAAAATTCAAATGTTGATGGCAGAATTTCTTTTTGAGTAAATTATTCTGAATGTGCTTTCATTCTTCGGATTCGGAGTTTCAATACTTCGAACAATTGGGTGATTACCAACCTTAGTTAGTTAACTCAAGATATGATTATGAACGTATGTCTTACGTTTTTCTGTTGTTGTAGCCTAATGTTCTTCAATCTTCATAGGTAATTTAGGTATATAATTTATTCACAACACTAGTTAAGAATTGAGGCAAGTTTCTAAAGGGGTTAATAGTTGCAATTAAAAAGTATCACAAGTTCACAACCTTGTTTGATTAGTTTAAATTTTGAAGCCTTCACATACAATTAGGGATTATTTGTTTCTATTTGGACCTATTTAAAATAATTTATTCTTTCATTATGCTTGGCAGCTTGAGACTTCTGAGTTCTGAAGTAAAGGAGAGGTATCATGGATTCATGGGTGATCTGTGATTTATAATGGTGTTCTTAATCTTGCAAGGTTTCTACAATATAGATACTGTAAGATACACTCAAACAGTCAAACTTATTGACAGACAGAATGCAGAATGACATTTTACCTTGTGTAGAATGTTTTGCTGCTCCTACAGCAAACAGCAATGATGTATCATTAGTTCATTACACATGGCAGCTGAAGTGTGTCAAAAAGTTCTATATATAATAATAATAATATAATATAAAGAAATATTTTTTCTCAAAATGGGCCTATAAGCTTACCAAGGTCTCAATTAAATTTAAAAAATTTCAAATTTAACTAAATTTTCTGATGTAATTGCTGCCATATTTTTATCATATGACAATTTAAAAATTTTTCCTTCCATTCTTGCCATTATTTAATAGTAAAAGTATATATTTATATCTATCAAAAATTAATTGCAAAAAGAACATTGCAGGGAATGTTTGAAGCTATATTTTTACAAGTAATAATAGTTACAGCAAATTCTATCCTCAGGCTACTTGAATTTTTAATTTTTTCATATTTATTGACAAGCAATGGGGTGAGTGACTCAGGTCACTGTGTGGTGGGTGCAATGAAGAACCCTGGAACTGAAGTGCTGTGGTACTTGCTAATTAAACTGTGCTGTAAAATTGGAGCAAAATATTCTAGGTTCCCATCAATTTGATTCAAGGAGCTAAATTGACTAACCATTTGTTGTTAAAGTCAAGTGTAGACAAGTCAAACTTGTAAGAATAGTAGCTTGGTTGGTGTCAGTTGTATATATAACTAGGAGTTTATAGTCATTATGGGCAGTTTCAAATAGATTTGAAATATTGAAATCAAAATAAGATATCTGAAACTTGAGTTTCAATACTGCTCTCTGAAATGTTTCAAAAGCTGGAAAGGAAAAAAAACCCCTGCTGTTGATATAAAATTTTTCACAGTAAACTAAGGGTAAATACAGCAAGAAATTTGCCATAGGGTGTTAAAAATTTGAAGAATATATACTGTCAACTGGGGTGACTTTGGCCACCACTACAACAGAAACAAATGGTAGCAAAACAAAATAATAAACGTTGGGCAAAGTGACTCATTTGACTTTGGCCACCAGGGTGACTCTGTTGACGATATCACCCCAGTTGACAGTATCTAAGGAAGCTAATTTTAATGGCATGAATTCTTTAAAGGAAAAGGAAATTTGAAGGAAATGAAATATGTTCTAATGAATTTTTCATAATTATTCATGATGAGAGATCAAAGACAGCCTTCTATTGAATGAAAAATTGAGCTTTCAAATTCATGCTTGCTGCAAAAGTTGTCAATGTCTTTAAGTAAGGAATTGACTTGTTCAATAATGAGACCAGGAAACATTTGTGTATACATATATAGTAATTAAATGGCTGAGTTAATGAGACCTGGAAACATTCATGTATCCATGTAGTAATCAGATGGCTGAGTTAATGAGACCAGGAAACATTTGTGTATACATATATAGTAATTAAATGGCTGAGTTAATGAGACCAGGAAACTTTCATGTATACAAACAGTAATGGGATGGCCGAGTTAATGAGACCAGAAAACATGCAATATTGATGACCGCCTCTAAGCAGTAATTGACTGAAGAACTAATGAGACCAATCAAGATATTGATTGATGGAAACATATATTTATGTAGAACAGAAGTCTTAATCCTATTGTTCATATTATACAATTTATCCTACTTCTTGTTCATGACTGTATTTGTTTGTTAAATTGAGATTAGGTGGGGATTAAATTTTTGGCATAGAAGAAGCACGTTTCCTAACAGAAATAAAAAACTTGAAACTAAGAACAAAAATGTATTGCCTTTCTCATAATCCTCGCACATTGACATATATATATATATATATATATATATACTATAAGAAATTGTGAGGGCTATATGCCATAATTTGCCTTGCTCTTGTTGCCACAGTATGCCATAATTTACCTTGCTCTTGTTGCCACGGTATGCCATAATTTGCCTTGCTCTTGTTGCCACAGCTTGCCATAATTTGCCTTGCTCTTGTTGCCACAGTATGCCATAATTTGCCTTGCTCTTGTTGCCACAGTATGCCATCATCTGGCTTGCTCTTGTTGCCACTGTCTCCTGCGTATCACCACATCTCTGTCACCCTGCAGACGCTATAGCCAGCAGCGAGAGCCTGCGTATCACGCCGTCGCTGCGCAGTCAGAAGGGCCAGGCGTGGTGCAAGCAGCCGACCTCCTTCGAGTGGTGGGAGGTCGAGATCGTCTTCAGGATCAACGGCAGGGGGCGCGTCGGCGCCGATGGCTTGGTGAGAACTATGTTGTTTTTATATTATATGGGATGCTTGGTGAGAACAATGTTGTTTTTTTGCTGTATAGAATGCTTGGTGAGAACAATGTTGCGGTAATGCTTTCCCTAATAGATAAGAATAGAATAGAAGTGTCGGCACTGAAGAAATAGGCCTATGATTTGTTGCCGATTCTTGAACTTTTCGTGACTTGATTCACAAGGGATCCGGCCTTTGTAACCCGATATTCCCTTAACTGACGATTGATTGAGATAGCTGCTGGACTTACTGCCTGGTCCGTAATTTGCTAGGCATTTTAAGACTGAACATATGCATCTGCATAGCTCCATCTAGTCTAATGTTGCGGTGACTAATGTTGCGGTAATGCTGTCTAATTTCATGAATTTCGTGGATTCTATTTAGTTCGGCAGGATGTTTTATGCAGTACAGTGGATGATGATGTCTTGCAGCTCTTTTCAGCTCTCCATAATTGGCTCTAACATTCATGTTAATTCCAGCTTCTCTGTACTCGTGACTTTGTGCAATGGATTTAAAAGAACTTGACTTTCACATCGTCTCGACTGCATCAATTCAGCCAACTTGATATAATCTTGCATTGAAATGAACTAAAGTTTAGATTTTAATATAATGAAGGGTCTCCCTTGGATGCTAAATTGAGACCGGCATGTTTCTTAAATTTTACACATCATTCGTTTTCTGAAGAGCTGTTATATTATGGGGTTAACCAATGTTTCCGTGTCGTTTCTGTGAACCACGTGAAAATGTTCGCCTAAACCATATTCAGAATAAAATGAAGACCAAATTTTCGATTGGAATGACTCGCGCTGCCCCATGAGTCTTGACATCTACTTTGTGGAACTAAATGAAAATCGAATTGATAATGAGTTAGCAGTTTTTGCTGGTATTTTTTATGTGTTAATATTCAATTTACTGGCTTGATGTGGCCATTTAATATTCGAATTTAATATTCTCGACGTGTGCGCCGACATCACTGCTACAGTTGGGTATTGCCGTGGCCGGTGTGTGTGGGGTGGTCACTGCCACACACCTGTCCCCTCCCACGCTGATTGTAGTGTTGGGTGCCTTGTTTTGTCAGCTGATGTGTGGCGCCTGTACCTTGTTCTCTGGCTGATAAGAACAGTTCTTATATGTTTACTGTTTGTTTTTGTAGCTAGAGAAAGAGACTAGTCTTTCGCTTCATCCTTATTCTTTAAAGTTTATCGCCACCTTGTTCGTCGATTGATGAAACGGTATAAACGCCAATCAGCCGCAACCTCTGCTACCATCACAACACACACATTGCCACCATGCAGCTGACAGAGAAACAAGCCTTATATGCATAATGCTGCATTGATGCAGCACGATGTTATCTCGGCCATATTTAATGCATATAGTCTGCGTTTCGTATATGGTGTTTGTCAGTGCATGATCTGATGAATGACAGTGCATCGAATTCTAAAATTAATTAGTGAATTTCGTGACGTTTTCTGTTGTGTGCAGGCATTCTGGTTCACGACAGCACACGGCGTAGAAGGTCCGGTGTTCGGCAGCTCGGACAAGTGGAATGGCTTGGGTATTTTCTTCGATTCATTCGACAATGACAACAAACGCAACAACCCCTACGTCATGGCCATGATCAACGACGGTACCAAGGCTTACGACCACGAGAAGTGAGTCAATAGACTACGTCAACGTGTGTGTCAAGTCTGGGCTGTGATGATATGGGCTGGATAACTGAGCCTGGGCTTGTGATGATATGGCCTTGATTTTCTTTGTCACTTCGCCGTTCTTCTGATTTCCTCGACTTTGCAAGAAGTTTCTCCTTTCAAAGGGAATTTTATTTTCTTCTTAGTTAGGAGGAGGGTATTCGGGGTTACAAGTATTTTGTTGTGAACGGTAAATTCATATTGTGGCTTAATAAAATTGGCACCAAGATGGAAGCTTAGGCAGCACTGGCAAGATATCACTGAACCGATCGATGTATATCATTTTTGATCTAAAATATGTGTGGTCTATAAGATGTATGATCGATAAGATCAATGATCTATGAGATGTGTGTTCAATAAGATATGTGATCTGAAAGATATTGTGTAATTGACGCGGTTGTTCACGTGCAGCGACGGCATGAGCCAGCTGTTGGGCGGCTGCCTGCGAGACTTCCGCAACAAACCTCATCCCGTGCGCGCCAAGATAGAGTACTACAAGCACGTGCTGACGGTGAGTTACGTGTACTACAAGCACGTGCTGACGGTGAGTTACGTGCACTACAAGCACGTGCTGACGGTGAGTTACGTGTACTACAAGCACGTGCTGACGGTGAGTTACGTGTACTACAAGCACGTGCTGACGGTGAGTTACGTGTACTACAAGCACGTGCTGACGGTGAGTTACGTGCACTACAAGCACGTGCTGACGGTGAGTTACGTGTACTACAAGCACGGGCTTGTAGTCATTCTTTACTGAAATATATTATCAGTGTCAGACCAGTGACCACCCGCGTCTATGTACACTCTCATGTCCTGGTCCATGTTTACTGTCCCTGCCACTCATCTTGCTGGTATACTCGAGTCCTCGCGGCCACACGTTATATTATATCAATATTTGTTAGATTGTACATCGTACAAGTTTCATTATGTCAATAATTCTGATCATGGTAATAAGACTGCGTTTAAAAAAGCACTCACCAATATCTGACAAGTGAGATCTTGCGCGCTCAGGTGAAGATACAAAACCTGAACTTGGACGCCCTGGGACTGGAAGACGCAGTGGGCGCTGACATGTACAGCCTGTACCATACCGACCCATCCTCCATGGGACAGCCCCTACACCCCAGCTTGCTGTACAAGTTCTCCACCAACCAGACAAGCACTTCTCAAGACTCGGAGAGTCACGGCTCGTTTTTTGGCTCCTGGTTTGCAGATGCGCAGGAGCTCGAGCCGCGAAGCCCTGACTACGACTCTGAGTCTGCATACGTGAACGAGGACTTGGATTACGTCCCAGGCATGGGAGTTGTGTCAGATGCAGGCGCCACCGATGTGATCGATGAAGAAGTGGTGGCCGTTGATGGCACCAGGTCGCTATATTCCAGCATTAATGAAGCTGGCAATGTGGACAATGTTGCGTCAAATAGTGACAAACCATCATCGGGATGGTTCGGTGGAGAAGAAACCCCCACGACGAGCGAGTCGCTTACTGCAGACAGCAAGGATGTGTCTAACGCGGCTAAGCTAAGTCGTGCCAAGAAGCTGCGCAGGAAGCGACGTCTCGAGCGCCGGCGAAGGAGGAAGATCGCCACCAAACACAGCAAGCTGAGCAAGACGAAGCCATCGGTAGACGTGGCCTGTCGTGAGACGTGTTGTGCCGTGGCCCTACCTCACGAGTGGTGTGACTCATATTTTGAGTTATAACTCATACTTAACTTATAATATTTCTTCGTTTCAGCACGGCTTTGAACCTGAAGTCTATGTCTAGAGAATTTTAACGCACTGGCTTTGATTTGAGCGAAGCTTTCCTCCAAACTTGAACGTTTTGTTCTCACCTCATCACAGATGCTGTGTTCGTAGTCATCCTCCTAATTGATTGAAGTGACTAATTCGAACTTGAGTTATGCATTGAGTGATTCATCGTCTGTTTATTCGTACTTCTTCCGTAATATGAGCTTGTAGTCTGCTACATTCATCCGACTTTTTAAATATCCCTCTCGCCGCTTCTCAATAAAGCAAGACTCAATGTATCAGTTATCAGTATTTTGGCTACTAACTTTTTCTGCCTTGAGGGCCTTCAACAAATCTGTTTTCAGTGTTTAATTAATAACGTGCCTTGCTTTAAGTTCAAACATTTCCATAATGAACCTCTTTTACTGATGATTTTATTAATATTTTATCCTTATAAGCATATATTTGCCTAAGTTTAACCTGTAACATGCTCAAGAGCGTATAAGCCTATATAAGCCCCTGACATATTTTAGTACAGTTATACTATCCTGGGCCTATACGTTAAAAAAAAGTTAAGAGATCGTAAGTTCATCAGCCAATCATTGACGGCCTTTCAAGCAAAATCCAACAACCATAGACAAGATAATAGAGCGTAAGTACTTACGTTCACTTAGCGAGTTTTGAAAGTAAAGGCCCTGATTGTTATGCACAAACTGTTGTGCAGTTGATGGTGCACAACGGTCTCACCGCGGGCGACAAGGACTACGAGATTTGCACGCGCGTCGAGGGCGTTCATCTGCCCACCTCGGGCTACTTCGGCCTCTCAGCGGCTACTGGGGGCCTGGCTGATGACCACGACGTGAGTGTCTGCTCGGGACGGTCTGCCGTTCCTCCACCTTAATGAAAAACACTGCATTTAAGGAGACAATAAATTCTAAAAGCAGTTATTTTAGTCTGAACTGTGCGCGAATAATCACCATATAGATCCGCGCTAAATTCAAGCCATCATCATCAGAGAGATGAGCCGCTACATTGCCCATTGTTCACTCTTGTCTGATTTGATTGTATCGATATTTGGTAGCCTAATAACTGCTATGTACATTCTTGTTAATTTTAAAATTAACTTGAAAATTGATCTGCTAATGCCCGATCCCGATGTACGGGATCAATCCCCGTCTGATATTTTCATGAGTTTTGAATCATCTTTTAGACTTAATCGTAAGCTTAGCGTTACGATCGCGAGATTTCTGCTTACGATTTATGTGTTCTAATGTGTTACTTGTTTTGCATGACAGGTTCTGAAGTTCTTGGTGTCATCCTTGCGTAGTCCCGACGAGCTGGCCGCCGCCGCCTCGACTGACAAGGAACAGGAAGAACAATACCAGCGAGAGTTCCAGCAGTACCAGGAGAAAACTCAGAGAGCCAGAGACGAGTGAGTGTAGAGAGCCAGAGACGAGTGAGTGTAGAGAGCCAGAGACGAGTGAGTGTAGAGAGCCAGGGACGAGTGAGTGTAGAGAGCCAGGGACGAGTGAGTGTAGAGAGCCAGGGACGAGTGAGTGTAGTGAGAGCCAGGGACGAGTGAGTGTAGTGAGAGCCAGGGACGAGTGAGTGTAGTGAGAGCCAGAGACGAGTGAGTGTAGAGAGCCAAATATGATTGAGTGTAGAGAGCCAAATATGATTGAGTGTAGAGAGCCGGAGACGGTTGAGTGTAGCGTGCTGGAATCTCATGTTCTTGAGCCTCATAAACATCTTTGGTTAAGGAACTACTGTTTGTGTGTGGCTGGAAGGGTGCGCGTCTTTGAAAAGTCAGTTGGTCTTTATCAAAAAACATGAATTCAGAATATCGTCTGCTTATTTTTACGATAATACTGGGCCAGAATGACTCATCATACCGCAAACGGGGGCAAAAGTGTCTAGTTTATGAACCGTGACCAAGGTCTTTCTCGGTCACCTCACGCTAGGTACGAATAGCGTTGTTTGTTTTTTGGACCTTGACCTACGCTTTTCTCGGTCACCTCGCGCTAGGTACGAATAGCATTGACATCTGTAAGTCTACGAATGTAAGACATCATTACTTCGCCCGCAGGTACGTTGCCGCGAACCCTGACGCTCGTAAGCAGCACGTTGACGAGGACGACGAGTACGAGGCTGCCGACATCAGGGAGCTGCGGCAGATCTTCACAGGACAGTCGCAGATCTACGACGCCATGCGACAACTCAACGCTAAGATGGATGAGATCATCGGGCGGCAGGAGCGAACCTTGTCTCTTGTTGGTGCCGTACACTCTGGCTTGGGTTAGTGTCGTCATTAGTGTCATATATTAACCCTCTACCGCCTAACATGAGTAAGCAGAGCAATATTGTCACAAGTCTTCCCAAAAAGAATGCGTTCTAGTGAGCGCAAAATGACTTGCACTGATGGTTGCCACCACGTACGACAACTTTAAAATGTTCTCTGTTGCGTATAAACGTCCTCAAGTTGCTACACTCAATAGTTTACATATAATTTAAGTTGAAAGTTGTGTTCCCGGAGAGTGACATACGTCGGTAGAGGGTTAAGCTTAATTTATATTATTTAACTTTAGTTTTTATTTATCCTGCTATTTATCAAGTGTTAATTGTACAGCGTCATTCCGTCCTTTGAAACAAGTGACGTCTCGGTCACTAGTTAGCCGTGTTTCTCCTCTAATACAGTGCCGGAAATGGCTATACGACCACCCTGTTTTCTCCGAATATTTTTTGGTGCACAAAAAATTATGGGATTCAAATTATACAATGTTAAACTACGTTTAAAAACGGTTCCAACGCAATGCGAAAAAAATAATTTTCTCAAAATATATGAGAAGAAATTATGAAAATTAGAAAAACCTAGGTGAAAATGGTTATAAGACCAGGACAGGTTTTTCACCATTGTGATATCTTTCTGTAATATTTTCACTTTAAAAAGTACAGCAATATAAAAAATATATTGATTTTCGTCATTTAGGGCCTTTCTGGTGTACTTCTGGTGTAGTTCAGTGTCCTCACTTATATTTTTTCGAAGTAAAAAATATACCAAATGGGACAAGACTCACTGAGGCCGAGAAGGCGCAGATTTTCGGCTTTGTGAAATGCAGTAGAAGCCAACGGGACATCGCAATGGGAATAAAACGCTCAAAACCCATTGCACAATCATTTTTTGCTAATCCGGACGGCTACGGGTGAAAAAAGCGCACTGGACCAACACCAAAATTAACCAACAGGGATCTTAGGCTTCTTAAACTTACGCTACCTCTACTTCTATAAAATTGGCCACTGGAGTTGATGTGACAGCACGACGCATCCGTTAGACATTGCATGACTCGAAGAAATTCAAATACATGACGAGGAAAAATGCCCCTGTGCTCCAACAAAAGCATATTATCAACCGACAAAAATTTGCTGAAAAATATTTGCTTATTGGTAAAGGGATGGCACAAGATTATCTTCAGTGATGTAAACAGTTCAATCTTTATGGTCCAGATAGATGGCAATGCTATTGGCATCACTGGGCCGCGTGCCTGAAATTTTTTTTCCAAGCGGCAATCTTGTGGTGGCTCGGTCATGGTTTGGAGGGCGTTTAGCCGAAAGAGAAAATCAACTCTAGCTATTTTACATGGGAGACAAGATTCCGTGGCTACAAGCACACGCTGTTCTACCAACTTCTCCCTTTTGCCGATGAGAAACATGAGGGATCATATGTTTTCCAACAAGACAATGCTTCGATTCACACCTCAAAATCAGCAAACATGTGGTTCCTAGAGCAGAATATTACTCTGTTGCCGTGGCCGGCGCTTAGTCCTGACCTCAACCCCCATTGAAAACCTATGGGGCATCATGGCGAGGGATGTTTACCGAAATGAGCGCCAGTTTCAATGTGTGAGGGACCTGAGCATGGCTATCCTTCGTTCTTGGGATAAAATTTCTCAAAAGTCACTGGATTATATGGTAAATAGCGTGGGGAGAAGATGCTTTGAGGTAATTATGGCGAAAGGAGGAGAGATTGTCTATTAAAATGAGTGTATGTGATCCACAAACGGAAAAACATATCTTGGTCTTATAACCATTTTCACCTAGGTTTTTCTAATTTTCATAATTTCTTCTCATATATTTTGAGAACATTATTTTTTCGCATAGCGTTGGAACCGTTTTTAAACGTAGTTTAACCTCATGTAATTAAAATCTCATATTTTCTGTGCAATAAAAAATATTTGCAGACAACTGGGCAGTCGTACAGCCATTTCTGGCACTGTATTACCAGCATTTCTTCCACGTCAGTCATTTTATTGTGTGGAGTATTCTAACTGTACAAAGTACGCATCATTAGTAAAGTAAATTACTAATCTAATTGATTTGAGTAGCCTGGTCATGTATGGATACTTTTCACTCTGTTTCCTTACAATACCAGAAGTTATTTCTGTTTTTATTAAAGCATTATTGCGTTTTAGAACATATCCTCCTGGTTAGTCACCGATAACGCCAGGATCGTACATAATCTACTTGTATGATAGCCTGATAGACTTAAAAGTTTTTGCCCCTCAGGGGGGACTTCTGACGTGTGTCTGTGCGCGTCAAAAGTCCTATGGGATTTCGCGTTCCTAGAGGGATTGTTCCTGAGCGCCCCACCGCTGAGCTCGCGGTGTCTGACTGCAGGTCTCAGTTGTGGGGTTAAGTTATTATGTAGGTAGGATTCCTTACATTTCTCTTCTCTGTCTCTCTCGTGCGGGCGGCCGACGTCCCGTGTAAGCGACCTCTTTTTCGAGTGTCTTAGTTTCCATTGCTTTTCACCTGTCTCTCCTTGTCACTTCGTCTCTCTGAGATGCTAACGCTGCTTCTTTCGAGCCAGCTTCAGCGGGCTGGACATCCGAGACCTTCCACCCCTTGTGGGTGATGAATAATTGAGACCTTCCACCTCTATGGTGATGTTCATCTTGACTTTCGGTGCGAGATAGCTAAATAGCTGAAGCGCTAGTAAACATTTGGCCACTAAACTAACTAACTTAAAAGTTTTTGTATGATAGCCGTGGCGGGGGGAGGTGTGCCGCTGCCTACAGGGGGCGCTGCGCCCCCGCCTCCCGCAGTGGGGGGCGCTAGCCCCATCTCCCGCTTCGAGGTGGACTCGCTCATCAACACACAGCGAGACATCGCGCAGACTGCTAAAGATGTCAAGTGAGACGCGTCTAACGCACTCCTTAGCGGCTAAGCGCAGTATGAGAGCAAACTAGCTCACTCCAAAAGTAAAATTAACGTTTATTGCAACTGTTTAGATGAGCAAAAACAATTTTGAAATAAATTTGCACTTTGTTACACATTTTGATTGAAATTTGAAGTAACATATTGAATATTTGCAGGAACATGGTGGTGGACATCAGCCAGAAGAGCACGCAGCTGCTGAACAAAGCTGGCCAGCCCGTGGGGTCGGCGCAGCCTGTGGGGGGCGCGTACGACATGCACGTCACTCTTAAGGAGCTCAACGAAGGCCTCAACCACATCAAGGTGACGAGCAACCTTGGGTGCTGTGTTGGTAGTAGCGAGGCAAGGCCTCAGCCACATCAAGGTGACGTGCAACCTTGGGTGCTGTGTTGGTAGTAGCGAGGCAAGGCCTCAACCACATCAAGGTGACGTGCAGCCTTGGGTGCTGTGTTGGTAGTAGCGAGGCAAGGCCTCAACCACATCAAGGTGACGTGCAACCTTGGGTGCGGTGTTGGTAGTAGCGAGGCAAGGCCTCAACCACATCAAGGTGACATGCAACCTTGGGTGCGGTGTTGGTAGTAGCGCGCTGCAAGGCCTCAACCACATCAAGGTGGATACATCCAAAACCTTTTTCTGTTAGTGATAGCACTTCCTGCGGCTAGCGATACTACAGAGCTGCGGTATACGCGTGCATAGTACCGTCTTCAATGATTCTTAATTAAGTTCAAACTTGATGAGTTCTATTATATGCCTGTGTCCTTATGTTAATCATTATACGTCTTCATCCAACGCTGAGCTGATGCCCTGCCTTTGTGGTACGCAGTCCCCCGCCTCAAGCTCTCGCTTGCAAAGTTTGGGGCTAGTGAGGCCATCATATTCCTATTCCCCAACCACGGGCCCCTTTCTGACCAGCCATAATTGTTTTCAGCACTCTAGTGTGATGATGATGTGGTGGCCTAGTCCAGTTCTACGTCCGTTCAGGCAATGTGAATGCGTAAGAGCAACCTAAGCATGAGCAACGAATCCTCAGCAACCGTAGTTTCCTTAATAGTGAATATCGCTTCGTGATTCACATTGTTAAGGGTTTTTGCATTGTCCAATTACACGATCACCAACCCTCTGCTCAAGTATGGTGACGATATGGTTGGGCAAAGCCACAATACTGTGGAGTACGGCCACAATAAGACAGATACTGCATCAACTGTAACTAACAGGAGTGACTGCTCTGTAGTCGCAGTGTCGTCCTTTACCTTCAAGGTAGAGGACGACACTTATGCATGTTGGGCGCCAATCTCCTAACGGCGACTTCCTCAAATAGCTATAGATTAATTGTTGAGTTAAGGTCACTGTACTGTGATTCTTAAGCACAAACTTTGTGGAGTAATGATATCATTCCATTTTACTCAAGACGTTTAATTCATTAGCTGTTAGTTGGCAGGCATTCATATCATGTCAACCCCAGTAGGTTGCAGGCATTGATGTCATTAATTTTGCATGCAGCACACCTTAAGCGCGCCTGGTGGGCAGCAGCAGCGGGGAGGAGTGGTGGAGGCCTGTCCGTCATGTCTCTCCACGTGGCTCTTCGTGGGAGTAGCTCTATCACAGCTAATCTGCATAATCGGCTACATGATGTATCGGTGAGTTGACATTAGGCTACATGATGTATTGGTGAGTTGACGTAGGCTACATGATGTATTGGTGAGTTGATGTAGGCTACATAATGATGTATCAGTGAGTTGACGTTAGGCTACATGATGTATTGGTGAGTTGACGTTAGGCTACATGATGTATCTGTGAGTTGACGTTAGGCTAAATGATGTATCAGTGAGTTGACGTTAGGCTACATGATGTATTGGTGAGTTGACGTTAGGCTACATGATGTATTGGTGAGTTGATGTAGGCTACATGATGTATTGGTGAGTTGATGTTAGGCTACATGATGTATCGGTGAGTTGATGTTAGGCTACATGATGTATCAGTGAGTTGACATAGGCTACATGATGTATTGGTGAGTTGACGTTAGGCTACATGATGTATCAGTGAGTTGACGTTAGGCTACATGATGTATTGGTGAGTTGCGTTAGGCTACATGATGTATCGGTGAGTTGATGTAGGCTACAGCCAACATGATGTATCAGTGAGACAACTCTGTGCTCATCCAAATGACTCGCTGCACGAGTCAACAAGTTGAAGCTGATGGATGAGTATGCAGCTCTCAGTTGCACGGCACCTGAAACTGTATGTCTGTATCATTCATCACAGTTCTGTAATTTAGCCAAGACTTGTAAGTCAGGGAGGAGTTTGGCATTTTGTTGTGTTTAATAACCATGATTATTATTTAGTTAAATCTTTTGAGAAACATCTAGTTTGGTTATTGTAAAAAGATTTTGCCTGTTTTGTATAAAAAATCGAGGGAAACTCTTCTAGACACATCGCTTCGCGTTATGATTATCTTGAGATGCTATTGTTTGATCTGCTTTGGTGTGAGCCAAAGCAAATGTAGGATGGAATATTTCTTGATCTTCAACTGTAATTATGAAATCAGGAATTCGAGTCATCGTAGTGGGAATCTTGGTAGTGATGACGATCCAAGCAGTGATGGTGACGGCCTCATCACCCGCCTCTTCTCCAGCAGACATGAGCATTTCCACTGGTAGTCGAGTGATGACGCACCCCAAACCCATCATTTACTCAACCCATCATTATTTGTCCCGCTACTTCATCATTAACCACCAACTGTCATTATTTCCGCCGCTCCTTCATGATTCCCTTAACACCTTGATCGTGTTCCAAATATCCGCGTGTGCATTAATGCATGCTTCGTAACCCATACAAAATTACAGCCTTATAAGGCGAAACAATTAGTGTTATAGATGTATTAATGGCTCTCTGTTGAATACATTTCTGTTAATCTCTAAAATTATGCTATTATTAATTAGTATTCATCTCTCCACAGAGACAACAGAGATGCACAAGCCAAGAAGTTCTACTAGCATCGCTCGAACTCCTAGACCAATTTTCAGAATATTTTTACAAACCCCGTCACAAAGCCTGTCAATTGATGCTTTGAGAATACGATGTATGGTTGTTGACGAGTCTTGCTTTCTTAGCGACATGATCGCTGAAGCTGCTGCTTATAGCCAAACTTACTTCTGAACGCCTCGACCTGTTCCATTGTTGAAAATCTTTTATTTTATTGTTAACTTGGTTATTCTCATAAATCTCGTACGCGTAGCAGTTGCGGTTCCAGCCTTTAAGTTGTTTAGGTACACAAGGTGCAATGAGAGAATTACTTTTTATTTTAATTTATAAAAATCTTTTGAGATTTATTATTTATTTGTTTTAGTTACTTATTTCATTACTTGCCTCTTTTAGTTCGGTGCTTAACGTTACTTTTTACATCGAATCTAAGTGATAAATTGTCCAATTCGATTGACAGCAAACCAAACGCTGCGTTCATTTGAATTCTCTTGTAAATTTTAGCGTGATGCTTGAAGTGCGCCGTACGAAGACCATTTATGCTCTTCGCTGTATCCTCATTCTTCTTTCTCATCCAAGAAATCAATGTGGAAAGAATTGAATTTATTGGCTCCTAATTTACAGTCCCTCGCGTTTGTGTACGGGCGGGCCTTGTAACTCTCAAATTCTGTAGGCGCAGAGAATCGCTGTACTGTGCTTCTGTGCTGCTAGCTTATCCTCGAACTAAAATTGTGAATTTGCCAAGTTTTCTTTCGGAATGTATTGATTGTTATTATCATGAAGTTAATTCATAAAATTGAAGCGAGAGCCGGTTGATATTCGTTGATATTTCATTGAAATAGGAGCGAATTACTAAAGTGCGTTATTGCATGTTCTATACGGGACAAACGCTTGAGGTTGCTGTCTGGCCGAGCATTGTATCGACAGTAATTTGTTCGTTGATATGTTTATTCCATCAGTCAACGTCTTCCATTGCCAATTTCTCCACCTTTTACTCGTGACACCTCAGGCCTGCGAAGACGTAGCGTCGTCTCACCAAACCCAAGTTCCTGCAATGTAGCCAACCATGCGTTCCTAGCAGCGCTTGAATTGAAATTCTCGCTTTGGTTATTAAGTTCAAGTTTTAGACTTGCAATTTTAAGCCGCATCTTCACATTTCATGACATGATCTTCAAGTTGAAGTTGTTGGGTAGTCTATGTAACTTTCAACGACACGTTTTTGAGAGTTTTCATATCGTTTTCTCGGCTTGCTTTTCGTATTTGACATGTAAGATTGTTGAAAGTTTTAACGTCTGGTTAAGTTTTTGGGAAGGTTTAGGGTAGATGCGAGAACTCATGCTCTGTCATACACTAATTTCCTTTGAACAAGCGGTCAGGGATTATGCGTCAAGGCGGCACTTTTCGCATCAGAAACAGAAAGCATTGTTTGTCAATATCACCAGATTAAAAATATGAATTATTTTAGATAATATTGTTTTTTATACATGTCCGTCCTCTTGTATTTATTTTTTTTTTCTTTTTGCAGTGATGGTGTGCTAGATCCTGAGTTCTCTATGATTAGTATTACGTAGAGTAAGTTATGTCTTGTTGGTCGTGTATATGAATGAAACTGAATAGATTTTATTGCACTTTATATCGAAACATTGCATTCATTACTGTCTTCCTCGTGGACCCATTGCAAAATGTCTGGAAATGTAATCATAAGTAGACATCAGCCCTGCCAACCTACTGAGCTTGATATTTAGGCCTGAGTTCTAAACGTTTATGACTGCGGACCTGAACTGCATTAAATGCTACATAATGCTAGGGTTAGGCTTGACTGCAAGCATCCGTTTAATGTGAGTGCGTTGGAATATTATACTCTCATTTAAAATGTATTATTGATGTATGTAAAATTGTCGCTCGTGGCTTCAGACACGTGTCGGACCCACCAAACGTTTATCTCTGTTTGGTATCGTTTATGATGATGAAATCCATGGCTGAATTGTTGACCTTTTATTCATTTCATAGCATTTGGTTCAATTTAAATCATTTTCAACATGCGTAGTTTTTATAATACCTTCGTTAGTGCAATTGTATCTGATGAAGAGTTATCATGATGATGTCAGGTCGGTCTTGGGCGTCACTTGAAATAAGTTTTCGTGCTCAACGTTGGTTAGATTGTTAGTGTTTGTTTTTTAAGGTTTTTACAAACTTGTGACCTTGACGTAAGATCTTCTGATATTGCATTCATATCGCTTGAGTCATGATGCTTAATCTTTCATTGATATAGGTATTTTCGATTAAATTTGTTCTTTTTTCCACATATTGTCAACACGGCAAGTTGGTAGCGATATTTCCCTCAAATCAAGTTCTTATGTTATCTATAAATGCCCCATGTACGCACAATTTGCCATATTCTTATGAGCGCATCAATGTTAACAGCGTTTTGAGAGCCACTGGCGTAGTTGGCTGCAGACGTCGCTTAGGGTGGTCTCCTACGTGAGAACAGTCTTCCCCCTAGGAGCTGCCTCCTCGTTAAAATGGTCTCCTCTTAAGTGCGGTCTCTCCCTGGCGCCTCCTGAAAACCTTCGTCTAGTTCACTCGGTTCCGCGATGTCATTCTTTATAATTGGTTGTTCTTGTACCTTATTCTTGGCAGAAAATGTACTTAGGTTTTTTGGTGTTTGTGGCTACTGAAAGAAATGGGGTTTCCTATCAAAGGGAGTGAAGGGAAACTTCGTTTTTTTTCTTCTTCTGCATTGCGTTCGCCTGAGACGAGGTTCGAAGTACCCAAAGCGTCGCTCAGTATTGAGTTCATCCTAAGCAATGAGTAGCCGCTACCCCGATATCCCTACAAGTAATTATATGTTTTTCAAATACGCAGATAAAATTCAAATTATAAGTGTGTGAAAGATTATAAAATAAGATTCATCAATGAGTACGCTATATATGCTCTTGAATGAGGTTCAGACGTCACACCGTAACTGATATTATTTATTGCGACTCCAATAACTCATGGAATATTTTTATTGATGTACGCATGAGCTGTTGTAATCTCTTCCTGCCTATTGTACGAGCGGAGCCAGGAGTCGCGTCCGAAATTTGATATTAATTTGAATGTTTTATTCTTATTGACTCAAAGTTCACATGATTAAACTCAAATGATTATTGCTCTCAAGTAGTGTATCTATCATGTAGTATTTTTAGAGCTTTTTAGTGAACTCAAGTGCATTCAGCGGAATTTATTTTCTTGTTATATTCTGTTGCCGCGACATCAATAGGTATGCATTTTTCTTGAGCGTTCAGTGTTGGTTTTCCTTGTCGAAACATTCATCCAATGGAAGCGCCAACACCAGTTTCCTGGTACCTTCCCTCTAACGAGCTTGATCGTTTTAATGTTAGGTATTTAGGTAATGATGAATTGTAAACTAATTTAGTATTCACATTTAGGGACTCGCATGAGTTAAGACAGGCTTCATTCTTGTAGAATGATACCAGCTGATATTTCTTATTGAAACGAGCTTCACAAAATGTGTTGATATAATCCTTGCTGACAATGACCGCTGCGACGACACGTAGCAGATGACGCCTCATCGCCCTCTGAGGCCTCTTGTGTCTTGTCGTGTGCTAAGTACTTGTAACTTTTAACTTTCTTGGTGTTCCATTTTACTTTTACATCATCTTCCATCTCGCTCTTCCATTATGTTCCATCTCATGAATCGTGTTCCGTCTAACCTTCTTGCCACCTTCAGAGTGCTGGCCGGTCAAGACCACTAGCCTGCAGTTGTTAGCGATTAATCTTTTTCTTTTAGTTGAAGAAGAACCTTCTTTTGACGCTCCACAAAATCATATGTCTGTCCAAACTTGACTTTTGCTGTTAATAATTTCAGATGTTGTAGGGTCATAGTATTAAATACCTTAGGATTTATCATGCAGAAAATATCGTTGTTCAGGAATTACGGCGCTTTTTAAGTTTTAACTCTAAAATTTTCTTATCTCATTCAATTCTACTGCTGTGATTCAATTCTACTGCTTGATTCACTTTACTGCTGCTTGTGAATCAAGCAATCCTGCTCCTGGCTCGTTTGTAATTGATACCACACTTTTTTTCGCCGTTATTATCTGAGATTGAATAATTTCGCAAGAGATGTTCCATTTAGCGGCCATTTAAATATTCAAACAGCGGCCATTCAAAGTTGCTGTCCTCCAGTTAATCTGAGCCATCAGCGGTCTCCCTCCGGCGCCCTGAGTTGACGTGCGGTGCGAGCTTCCTTCTCGTTGTCTACTTTGCGTCTAGGCCGGCGAAGTCGTAATATTTCAGTAGACTTTGTGACGCAGGCTTTTGTGTGACCACAACATAGGCTGTTGTGGCTTTGACTGGACATAAGCCTTTGTGGCTTTGACTGAACATAGGCTTTTGTGCATTTGACGGAACATAGACTTTTGTGCCTAGACTTTTAGACTGAACATAACTTTTATTATCGCACTAGTTAGGGTATTAAAGTTTTCTTAAGCGTCTTTCTCATTGTTATCACGTTATGTAAAGATCTTTTGTTTCTCTTGTGTTATTTTTTTCAACTTCTAAAAGTTTGTTTACTCGCCGCTAAACTTTCATGCTGAGAATACAACAGAAAGAGAAGTTCAAGCAACGTCGCCGCCGCTGTCGTCTGTTCCTCTAGCGCGTCTTGCGCGCGTGCGCCGGAAACTCAACCTTGTCTTCCACGGCGCCGTGAAGCATCGTGGGGCCCTTCTTCCATCACGAGTAATTGTTCGTTTTTATATGATGAATGTGTATTATTGACAATTGCGTACAGATTTATGGGGATGACTTAGAATGCGTCAAGTTTCTCTTTTTATTTCTCAACTCCAGAGAGATTTGTAAGACGTTGTAATTTCTTGAATATATTTCTTAGGAAGCAAGGAGATTCATTGCGTACTTCATTATTTAACCTTCGTTTATGCCATTACTTTTACTTGCCAGTTATGTGATAGATTGAATTTAGCAAACGCACTTGCAATCATCACCGTTCGAAAGCTTACAATATATCATTTATGAATAATTTGGCAAATCTAAAACCATTTAAATCTCTTCGAACTATTTCTGTTGGGCTCGATGCTCAGACAGTGTTTCCCTCACTTGTGTACAACTTGCTGGTTCTTTACAGTTACAGCGTACAATTAATACAACAAATTGAACACTAATATGCAGCATTTTATATCACTTATGTTCAGCGAGTTTACTGTTTGAATTAATTTAACGGTGGGTTGCTGCGTACAGGTTGCTAGCGTAGAAAACTGTTGTAAATCGATGTCAGATTTTCTTGTGTTAGGCAATATACGTTTTTGCGATGTAACAATCGCTAGCCAATAGTAGTAACTAATAAACATACCACCTGGGCATGGTTCCACAGTTTAAGCAGCACTGTTCTAAGTTGCATCCTTTGACACGGTCCGATTAAGGGTTGCTGTGAAAGCGGTGTTCTCCAGTCCACGCGGCGCTATTTCTGCACAAGACTCGCCGTCATCTGCTCCAAGCAACTGCTTCTTCTTAGACTTCCTTGCCTTCTTTCCCATTGACGACTCTCTGGACTGGGGCACCGAGTGTGCTGATGGCAGAGAACAATCTTCAGGTATGGAAGCGAAGGAACACGACTGCGCCACGAGAGTTGCCACGTCGCTATCTTTAGTCGCGCCTCTGGAGTTCTCTTCATGCTGTTGCTTCATGGCACTGTCATGACCGTATAACCCGGGCGCCTCATCGCCGTATGGATAACCGTGTTGCGGCACAAATTGAGGCTTCAGACTACCTTGGGCATTTTTTTCAGCTGTAGAAGTCCTGCTAAGGGCCGAGGCTCGCTCTCCGTGGTAGGGCGACGTGTTTTGGTTCTGATATCGGAGTGAATTGTAAGTAAAGCCGTCTGGATACTGCATGCTGACTGCACCTGTGGACATGAATGTGTGAGCCGTTACGTTATTCATTACGTATCGAGTCTGATCGTTAAGTATTCGTTCGAGTCTCAAATCGAAGTGTTGAAATTATTTCATTAGGATATCAGTTCACAAAAAAAAACACGAAAGAAACAATGTATTCGAATTAATTAAGCCCAATCAAAGGCTCGATTCTTCACTCTCAGTAAAGAGACAAGTCAATATTTGCAGAATTTCCTCAATTTCAAGATCAATTGATTTGCTCACGTGGGTTGGGACTGCTGGGATACACGACAGAGGCGGGGGCGGAGCGAGGGTTGGCGCCCGACATGCGCACTCTTGCCCCGCTGCTGGCGCCGCCTCCGTCCAGCTGACTCATGACCGCGTCACGCGTGTTCTTGTCGGGCTTGAAAATCACCAAGTGAACTTTGGGCAGGAACAGACAGCCCAGTTGCACAAATCCACTGCGCAGAAAGCTCCAATGAATATTCATTATATGATTATGATACTCTTACAAATAAGTTCAGTGCGTAGGAGTAGCAAATATTTCTTTTAAGAATCTGTTAAAACGTGTGAAGTATTCACTTCTCCTCCTAACTTCCTAACGCGCTGTATACTCTGACTAACGTCATCCTGAACAATTAACTAAAAGCAAGACTATGCGTGTAATCTAATTAAACTCCTTAAACTATAAGCACTCAATGCAATTACAATTACCAGAGCGACAGTGACATGGCGAGTGAGACAATCCTCGTCTCATCGGAGGGTTCCTTGGAGAGGTAGAGCGGCACGAACACCACCCAAATGATGCACGACGTGTAGTTGGTGAACGCGATGTAGCGTGCCTC